TCTCTTGGCCATAAAAAGACCCCTTAAGTTAGCAGTAAGGGAAGTAGCAAAGTCATAGATTGTTCTCCAGTATCTCTTGCGTAAATGGGGGTGGGATGGAAATCACCACTGTTACGGACTGTCTCCCTATCAGCCTGCCTTTACAGCAGGTCCCCTCAGCGATGAGCCTGAATCTCACACCCGATGAGGGCTGAAAGGAAGGTCTGAAGAAATGTGGGCGGGTAAGATCAATTAAAAATAGAACAGCAGGTAACGACCGTAAGACCGACAAAGTAACGACTACTCAGCCTAATGGGAAGCAGAACCGTAGGTTGATCATTGCCCCTTTTACTCATGCGAAAAAATCTGAAAAAAGCAGATCCTGGTCTCGCCGCCTGTAACTTATGGCTGAAGCCATCTGCACTTCACCACTAGCCTCGTTCGATCCCTAAGATGAATCCAACAGTCGGCAGCTCAGGTCTTCCGAGTCACCCCCGAAAGGCCAATCGAAAAATCTGAGTCTGCATTCAAGGGGAGGAATAAGCCCCAAAAGATAGACCATAACCTTAGATCGCTCGTATTCTTCAACTTTCGGGAAGGTGGCCCCTCCCTACTGACTGATCGTAAAGAGCATGATCTTTGCCAAAGGAAGAGTTGTTGCAGACTCCTAGTAACCTCCCCCTGCAGTTCCTCTCTTCAACGCCTAGCGCGTAGGAAGTTTTCCCCGAAGGCTATCTCTGGTCTTTAGGAGTGTCTCTCCATAGTACACGTCAGTCTGAGCACATCCCTCTGAAATGTCATCAGTTGGTGAATCGTAAACTCACCTCTCAACTATTCGTACTCTCAGGCCACTCCAAATAACCCTGGACTCTCCGGACATGGTTAGAACTACCTTGAAATCCTGGTGTAGCGTATCTGACACATTCCCTAGAGGAATAAAGGTAAGTGAGTGCAGACCCAGAAAACAAAGGCCGACTGAGAGGCGGTTGAGGTGCCTACCGTTGGCCAACCCACATCTAACGATAGAACGGTTGGATGGTGAACAGAAGTCTTTATCGACCTCGTCCGAGATCCAAGAGCCCTGGACTAGTTCCCAGTCAACCAGATCAGTGGATCCGGTAGCCCTCGGTTTTTGTAGCCTGATCAAAAAGCTTATCAAAGCTGGCTATTTAAAGGCTGGCAACACATCCTTAGCTCAACCCGTTTCCGGGACCTCCGGCCCTCATACTCTTATTCGCTGTACCTATAGTAATGTATGTGACCTGCGCTCCAAAATACCTGAGTTAAGGTTGTTAGTGGATGGAGACAGCCCCAGCATAATGGCTTTCTGTGAAACATGGCTCACAGAGAACATGAAAAACGAGGAAGCTCGTTTAGGGCAGCTCAGCCCAATCCGAAAGGATAGACTGGAGGGCCCCGGGGATATCGTTACTCTTTACACCACCCTCCCCTAAGAGCCCATGAGATTTAGTCCCATAAAATTGGCACTGAAGATGTTCCCTGGTGTAGCACTAAATGCTTTGGAGGCCCGTGTTTAGCTGGAGTCTTACACCGCCCTTCTACAGCACGTGCCACGTTGAATAAAATGTTAATACAGTCCATTAGAGGAGCTCTGGTACTGAACCTCCCATAGGTCCACATTATTGGAGATTTTAACTTTCCTCGACTCTCCATCACAGAAAGTCCATCTACTGCTCTAAATGGCTTTCAGTACTTATTACTGGAAAATTCCTCCATGGAACATGTCTCCCAGTGTACTAGCTGGGGGCTTGAAGGCAAGGCATCCCGACCAGATATATTTTCACAAATCAGTTCGTTGGGGTAACCAACTTGAATGTTTTCAGCTCTTTTGGACTGAGTGACCATGCAGTTACCTCATTCAGTGTTTCTGTGTCTAGGCCACCCGCCCCTGATCACCCACTAGTCAGGAATTACAGGAGAATTGACTTTGAGAAGGTCTGGCAAGATCTAGAAGGTTCCGCTTGCCTGAATTGTGATGACCTACTGGATTTGGATGTCAGATGGGATCTACTGAAAATACTGTCCTCTAGAAGATAGAAGATACCACTCCTCTGATTCCAAGAAGAATCAACAAATTCCGCTCCTCCCGGCTTAAGTCAAGGACGCGTAAACCAACACCGCGTAAAAGGTCATCTTGGAATCTAAGGAGGTGCACTAATAGCCCTTTTGACTGGCTAAATTATAAAGATATCTATGACAAATGTACAATAAGGATCAGAAATGACAGAATAAACCACCAGACAGCTTCGTAGAACCCTGGAGGGGAATCATGGGATACTTTACTCTTTGACGAAACAGAAGACCAACAGTTTATTTAGTTTACAGGACCCCATTGGTTTGGAGATTCTTTATTCCAACCCCGAAGTCGCAAACCTACTGGCTCATGAGTTCCAAAACAACTGTCATTTGGGGGGCAAAACCCCGCCTCTGTCCGACACCCGTATCACAGAGGGACTAAACCACATGGAGATCGAACCCTCCTTAATTATGGGAATATTAAAGAGTCTGAACCCGATTAAGTTTCCAGGAATCGATGAGATTCACCCAAGAGCACTCAAAGAGCGTGCTGAAGTTCTGTGCACCCAACTAGCAAACCTGTTGAAATGCTCGTTTCTGGAAGGCAGGTTACCCTCTGATTGGAAATAGGTGGCTGACGTCCCAGTTCATAAAGGTGGAAACAACCTATTTGCCTCCAAAAATAGACTAATCTCTCCCTCCATCCTGTCATCAGTTTGAAGAATTTTCACCCTGTCCCATCCCATTTTGTGTGGTTGTGTGTCATCGCATGCACACCTATGGCCGAGCTTTTTTCTAAATTCCCCACATTACTAAGATCTACCAATTTTGACCTAGCTGAGTTTTTGTGTTCCGATGGCCTAATTGATCCTGGCCGACCACCTTGACTTATGCATTTTACCTCTCAATAGTTGCAAGGGATTTGGTAAACTAAGTTATTCTGCTTAATTGAGTCAACAGGATCTTTCAACCTACAAGTCTCATTTTGAGGTGAGTTTGTAGGTTTAAACGCAGCTCTAATCTCAGCCCTATTCAGAATTCTACGCAGTGTTTCTGAGGCGCCTTCTTTATATGGCAATGCCGTGGAGGTTTTGAATTCTCTATTCATAGTATTGCCGCTACCATTGTTAGCATCGTTATCAACGTCGTTACTACCATAACTGTTGTCGTTGTTACTACTACTAATAACTGTGCTACCGATATTTTTCTTACATTTCCTAAGGAGCTTATCAATCAATTTAGGAGGGTTATTGACGACAATCAAGGCGTCTTTAGTGTATCTGGTTTCTTGTTTTAGATCTTCTGTCTTACTGGTAAGCTTTTATCCCTGTTATGTAGGCACTTTACTCAGCCAAGTTTAACTGACATAGGGTGAGACGGTCTGAAATCTAAGTAACGGTTTGAATGTGAAGGTTTTCTGTGGACGCTAGTATCTAAACTCTTATCTTGTTTTCGTTCTATTCGGCAACTCAACATCGCTAATTCTCCTCCGCCATTTTCTGATTCATAGGTGAGTTGGATTGCGTTGACTACGGAATTTACGTGTGAAGAAATTGTGTATGTGTTCCGATTTCAACACTGTAAACTTGTTGTCTATTTAGCGAAACCATATATCTGGGGCCATCCTTTCTCAATTATCCATAAATATGTCAGCCACAGGATATGGCGTTAAACAAGTCTGGTTTTATTCAGAAAGTCAAGGAGCATATAGAAACGGGACCCTACGAAGAAATCAAGAAACTTATCGACACTGTCATGAATAAAGTTAAAAGAACCACGATGGATCTAATAGGCCAAACGAAGGTCATGGAATCATTTCACGATCACTTAAACGGCTGTCAACGTGGCTTTCTACCGGGAGGGTCATGTAACACCAACTGGTTGATGGCTTGGAATAGCTGGACACTTGTTTCCCGATGCTGAGTGGGGTGCCTCAAGGTTCTGTACTGGACTCACTACTGTTTCTTGCTTTTATCAGTGACTTACTAGGAGTCCTTAATTCACACCCACTATTACATGCCGACGATCTGAAGATTTTGAGGGAAATACAGGAGCCAATGGATATTTCTGTCTTCCAGGAGGACTTTACGAAAATCCTTAATTGGACTGCGGAAAACCTGCTTACTCTCAACCCGAAGAAGTGTCGAATAGTGATAGTTGACAAACATGAGGGCAGTCCTAGTTCTTACTCTCTAGGTGAAATGAATGTCTGTCGCTCTAACGTGGAACAAGACCTGGGACTTACACGAAACGACATACTAGGAGCCTCAGCCCACTGTCACCTTGCAGCCAACAGAGGTTATGGAACCCTAGGGGTCTAACTCCTCTTTTCATCACAGTGTATGCTCTGAACATCCACCTCCACCTAGGAAAAGTTCGCTTGTGATGTCCCCATACTTGAAAAAGGATATATCCACTCTAGAACGGGTGCAAAGAAGAGCTACAAAGAAAGTGACTGGGATGCGGCACAAACCGTAACCAGACCTCTGAGTTGCCCTTCAGCTGCACCGAACACAATATCGGAGGGTTAGAGGGGATATGATCATGATATCCCTCATCGCCCATAACACCCTCTATCCTAACAGATCCCTTCTAAGCTTTAGTCGGAAACGCGATCCTAGGGGTCACCTGTTAAGAACAGAGCACAAGAGAGCACGTACAAAGATTCGTGCTTACTCATTTGCAGTTAGAGTCCGTAAACTGAGGAACTGCCTCCCTTCAACAGTTGTAACAGCCCCATCCCACGATACTTTTAAGAGGAGGCTAGACGCACACCTCGAGTCCTACCGTGCCAATGGGCTGTACTCCAGAAGCTTTCCCCAGATCAGATGCAGTAATACTAACTTGAGACCGGATTAATTAATTAATCGTATTTCTACCCCTTCAGGTTTCTCAGAACCGGGGAGATAATTGTGACCATTCCAAACTCAGAACGTATTTCAATAAGACAGACGTAGAACCCAAGGAACCGCCGTTCACTAATTCTACAACAGAAAGTTTGAAGTCTGAATGACCTTTAAAGGTCAACCGAACTTTCAATCGAGGTGGGCGTTTTCTGCTTTAGTTTTTAGAGAAGATAGGTTTAGAAGGTGCCTATCATTTGATCATTGTTTATTATTATTTAGTTCGTCTTCAAAGTTGTATATTACTACAAGTTGACCTACGTATCTCTATAAGACTAAATCCAGGGTGATGTATCTTCGCACACCAGATCATCGCCTGGAGTCGATGAAAACCAGCTACACTCCTAATGAGTGTGCAGTCACCAAGGTATCCACAGCGAAGGACATGGGGCTAAACGTTTCTGACACACTGGACGCTACTGACACTTGTAAGGAAATGGCAGTAAGGGCGAACGCCATCATGCACTTTCTAAGAAGTCAGCTTGGATCGTTAACTCCAGAATTATTTCTTCTGGTATCTAAAACTTATGTTAGACCACACCTAGAGGTGCTCAACACGATGGCCCCCTCAGTACTAAGAGAGATACAAATACTCTCGAGAAGGTACAGAGAACCACAAGATCGGTTATCAGACTAACAGGTAAAACATATGCACGACACCTCAGACAACTCAACTTGTTCACATTAAACCATCGGAAGAAACGAGGTGACCTGATAACAGCCTACAAGATCATTCACCAAGTGGACTACCCATGTAGGTCAATATTATCGATCTAAAACGAACAGTCCCGCGGGAACCCCACTCGCATACCCCACCATAGGACATAAACGAGAGTAGACCCAACTTCTTCTTGCCCATAGTATGTGCATTACGGAACGCCAAAGGAAGTAGCCCCAGCTATATCAGTCGACTTCTTCAAACGACTACTGGATAAGTACGTGTGCGCGAATGGCTTACCACGAACATTTTTTGGTAGCAAGTGATGATATGCCCTTCAATGCCTGCATTCCCCAACACTAGTGTCCGCATTAAGACGCATCTCTGCTCCATATTATTACCAGCAACACTTGTTTTTCAATAAGTACTTTTCACTTCCCTTTTTCTCATTTCCCACACCCTATTTGTAGCACATTCAAGTAACTCTTGATATTTACTTGCAGATGCTTAAAAAACAGGAATTATAAGAGGTTAATTAGTCTTATCAGTAGTTCCGTTGCCCACCCTTCAAAAATAAACTAAGCTACAGTTTGCAGGAATAAAAACTTTCAGATAGACAATCACTCCCTTCAAAGCTATAAGCAGAAAAAACGCAAATACTTCTGCAACCACCGAAGTATTTGTAACCGGACAAAAAGAACCGACCTCCAAGACCTAGAAGCAAGAGCTCAAAAACTACAAGTTTCCTCTTCTTGCACTGTTGGTGTTGGATATGGGAAACTTTGAGCGCTGTCACTACAGACAAGCATGAACGAGGAAATTGTGAGGTAAGTACATTGCTTAGGAATGCGAAAATGCTACCTGAAAGCGGATATTTCCCCATTCTCCTCATAGTTCATGCTGCTTTCGCATTGCTGCATTCAGGCGTAAATACACCTCTTCCATGAAAGGGGATGGACGCTCGACCCGCTTTATTCACCTACAATTACCTCATCAACCGCTTTATATAAGCACGTTTACCGGATAATTTGTGCACAACCCGCTTTGTTCCTTCAGCATCTGCCTCATTTTTGAATTCATCTCAAATCGAGACATGGTACTTGAGATGATTGCGTAGATATTCATTTTGCGATATTACAAGGCACACACAGCAACAGAAATGTTTTCAGTCACCCATGTCTTTGAACACATGGGATATTTCTTATGAAGAAAGAGGAAATTGAAATAACGCATTCACAGTCGTCCTCACCTAACCTCTCTACAAGTAAACATCCATTCTCATTTCAGCCATGCGACGCTCTTAAAAAAGAAGGCTGCTGTGATAAAAATGTAAGGGGATGTGGTTAGTTCCAATTAGATGTACATAAATAAGGATTGAGTAGCATGCTGCATTAAAGTTAATGAGGCTTTAGCCTTGAAATACGTAACTACTTTACCCTGAACGTTGTGGAAGTAGAAACTAGTAGACATATCTATTATTCCTTCAACTTCTTTTTGACTAAGCATAGGGCCTAAAAACAACCAGTTACTGCTATAGGTATTACAGTCGTGAGGATGAATCTTCCACATGTACTTCATAGTCCCAGCGTTTTATGAAGTACACAACAAGGTAAACTGCAGTCAAAGATCTGGTTTCAACACTACATTCATCATCTTTTTAAAGAGTGACTTCGGCATCTTGGGTATTTTCGCTGCCTGTAGGTGTTCAGTTAGTTAGTTGTAACTCACAAATATTCCACCGAACGCTTCATCCTCTAAAGACGCTTCCAGGATATCTAATTGATCTTCGGTAACTAGTGAGCAACCTAAAGGGAGGTTGTAAATGGAGATCATACTTGATGCCGTATTGATTTTAGTCTCGGACATTTAAAGATGCAAACACTTTGTCGTCAACGTCACACTTTCACATCTGTGTAGTACTTAGTGTTAAGTAAGACTTATGCAAAGTTTTGTGCATCAGTGAATTTTATTTTCTAAGAAGAGATTACACTGACAACAACCTATAAAGAATACGCTTGCACATTTATGGAAACTTAAGGGTTAAAAATGAAGTTAGCATTTTCTGTATTTTCAAAGACAGGTAAAGAAGGATAATAGTCCCCTGTGCTGGATGTGCTGTGGAATATGAGTAAACCGTCAATAACTCATCTTAAGATCGGTGACGTCAGTAGCTCCACGTAACTCGTTATCGGGTATGTCGGCTTACTGCAAGCTAACTGCACATCTGCAAAGCTAATCTCCACAGAATCGTGTAGAAATCCGATCACGTTTCCTTATTCTCTGTATGGTGATTAGAATTTCACTAAATTTTCACATTTTAGACTTCGGCTGCATCGGGATTGTGTCGTCCACATTCTCCGGAGCGGACTCGGAGTGCTGACTGACATTGTGACAGAGGTTCAGAGGCTTCTCGGCTTCCACAACTGATTAAGTATTTTGAGCCTTGCTGACTTCGGACTTATCACACTCATACAGTTTCTTGCACTTGAGGACGGACCACCCTTTGAATGCGTCATTTGTTGTTTCTTGTTTGGATGCAGGTGACATGCTTCAAAAATGAAGCCGATACATTAAAACGAGTCCAAGGGATAGCTACCAAACTGGCGATTAAGAAGGCTAAACCTTTTTGACGTATCGTAGAATAAAGGGTGACAGTTTGAGCCTTTGGCATTTTAAATAATGGCATTTCCAACAAACTACAGACATTAATCAACAGCTGCCTACGCTCGATACTGAAGATTAGATGGCCAGAAAGAATGAGCAACAAGGAACTCACTGTGGCAACAAACCAACCAAAAACCTATCGCCCAACAAATATGCAGAAGGAAGTGGAGGTGGATTGCATTGAACAGGCACTGAGAAGACGGTTTGGGGACATCACGCGCCAGGTCAGGCCGTCGAGAGGAACCCTCATGGAAAACGGCCAGTTGGGGGACCGGGAGTGACATGGAGGAGATCATATGAGGAAGAAACGAAAGCTTGTGGGCAGTTGTGGAGTCAGGTTCAAAAGGCTGTAGAGAACGGAGTGGAATGGCCACGTGCTACTGAAGCCCTATGTTGCACTTGGAACTCAAGTGATAGACATTAATAAAATAACTTTAAATAATGACCTGAGTATAGACTTATGTAGTTTGCTTGCTTCTTCTGGAACTGATCACCTTAGAGGTAATCAGGAAGGACCCAGTAGCCATAATCGGATCATATGCGAGTGAAGTCCAGGTCATTGACTGAAACTCGTTCCTGGAACAAGCGGTAGCAACTCCTTTGATGATCACATCCAAGGAAATATTAAAATTTCGTAGAGATAGCTACCGCGAAAATTATCACGGGCCAAACACCTACTATAGTTTTCACTGAACTAAAGTGTGCAGTTAGTATTTCAGTGGAAAGATGTAGAATCCACAAATTCAAGATCCACGTTGGTGTAATTGAAAAATTCTTTTCAAAACTATCTCTGTTAAGATTATTTAGTACGCTGTATAACCACTGTAGTGTTTGCATTTATCCTCGTTGGTACTGTTAATGTGGTCTATATGTGCTATAGCCTTTCAGGAAAGCGTTTTAAAGCACTTGAGTGACTAGATCTAGTCCTAGGAAGCAATAATCTCGGGCAAACTGTCAAATATATCCCCCAGGTTCAGATCCTGATTATAATTTCAATTACATCTTGTGCATTTCAGGGTACCAAAGCGTGTGTGAGTATATCTTGATGGATGCATACTAAGCCTTTAGTAATAGGGATAGTTGGATAATTTGGTCTGTGTTAATTAGCCCATAAATATTTTTATATTGGATACGTCTATGAAGACCTAGTTTCTACTTGAGTTCGCTCAGCGTAAGGGTTGAAACTACTTGTTCACTCTTTTAACATTTCATGACAGAAGCGCAGATATGCGCCAAACTTATTCGATTGAGGTTAATACGTTTCGTAATACTCTGAGAGATAATCGGTCCTTGAGAGACCAAAAAGTAGGACTTGACAATTCCATGGTCATCACTGGGGATGTAGGATATTAATATTCGGTTTTCTTCTTTTCCAATACGATCAAACAATAGTAGGTTATACCGTTTTAAACGGTGTCGATTGGTCCCCTATATAGTATTGACTGTTCAAACGCATTCCAGTGCATTGGGATCCTTTATGAATCAAGGAATGGCTACTTGGATGGAGTATTCAAGGTAGGGTTGCTCGTGTGTGATACTATCTAAAACATTTTAACCAATGGATTTAAAATCTATAAATTGTACAAATTACTCTGAAACATTTTGTGTTTGCACTGTAATGTGTAGATATGACTTACGACCACTTAATCCCTTAGTTTTTTGAGTATCGGGTACTGTTGTCATATCTGCCGTATACTGGTAACAATTGCTGTGACCAGTTTTATAGATGCACATGTGCTGCAGTTGATGTCTGAATAATGGACTCTAAATCTATCGACTAATTCATTCATATCTACTTGTAATGCATGTCTCTATCGTTGCGGGTAAGCTTTCACATTCGTAGACCACTGGCAAATAATATCATCGGAGAATTAATCATTTTTGATGGTTCATTGATGTAAAGTAAAAAGCGTAACCTCAATTTCCACAGGTTGCCACATAGATAACACCCCACTAACCTTCACCGTTTATCTTGCATTGCATAATAATTCTAACTCAGACCAGCTTCGTAGTGTAAAACCGAAAACTAGCGAAGTTATTCATAAGTCCTACGTGCTGAACTCTGTTAAAAACCTTACTACACTCAGTAACCACATCTACAAGCTGTAACACTGCGACGCGTGGGGAATATTGGGTTGTTATACTTTCTAGTGGACCAATCTTAGAAGACTATAATCTGTGCGCTCTGGGTTTTTGCACCAACGTGAAGGTATATGTACAAAGTGTAATCTTTCGTATGCAGGAGTTTTTCATACTTAGAGGTAACATGTGACTGCACTGCTCATACTATCTTAGTAACTTGCATTATTTACAGTGTTTTCCCTTTGTTTCAGAACTATTAGTGTTAACTGTATACTCTCTGCATTTACATAAAACTATTAGCCAACACTTCCTGTACTACCTGGCTTATTTCCGAATAACTCCACTATCGTGAATAATTGGGTTTGGATAAACTAGAAGAGATTCGAAAATGTGGGTTCAGCAAAAGTAGAGGTTTTCGTAAAAATTGGGAAAAATTTGTATATAAATATATCGAAAATAAAGTTTGTGCTTATTTCCATTTTTTTTGAAAAAATAAATAATGTGGGAAATGAGTTTGTTATGTCCTGTATACTAGTATACTTTCTTTCTGCGTGTGAGATTCAATTTAATTCGAAACTGGTGTAGACCAATTCTGCCATCACGACAGGACATTAAGCATTTAAAATACTAAGGGGAAAACAAATAAATGAAAATTATTAGAAGTGAGAAGATATCAGAAGAAAGAAAGGAGTATAGGGTAGCTATTTGATATGATTGAAACGAAGATTTGTTATAGAGACACATCCACGCCACTGCTATCAGTTATGAGCTAGAAAATCCAGAAAATTCCTGCTTATTGACTGTAGACGCATGCATATACTGGTTCCCCACAGTTCTGAAGTTGATAATCTCTCAATTACTGGTATGTACTAGAGCGTTCGAGGTATTTGTTTTACACCACATTGTTTGGTGTCACAATAACTTCTTGCATGTACTAATTTTGTTTTATATCACCACACTGATTACACAATTTCCTCCTGAAATCCGTTATCGTATGTGATCAAATGTAATAAAAGAATGAACTAAAGTATTTTCTTATGATTGTAAGTTGTTATTTTTCTGTCTCAGTAAATTAAGTCATTGGTTGTCACCGTTGTCCTTTGTTTTCTATATTTGTTTAGCCTGTCTCATATATACTTAACGTTCTATGGAAGATCAACTACTTTTCGAAAATCTAGACGAGAAACTAGAGGATGAAAATGGATTTGTACGCATATTAATTTCCAAATTATTAACTTTCTGTTTTAAAGATTACTGCGAATTGGTTGTCTATCACTTTTGACGTGAATATAGATGAATCCAGACGGTAATACATCACATTCATTCAATATAATATTGTTCAGTGTGATGGCGTCGTACATTCGAGCACGTGACAGCTTATCATCTGTGTATTTACTGACTGGGATCAGTTCACAAGGTGATATATTAGTAAAAATGGTCAACTCAGAACAGATTTCACTGGCCGAGAAATCTTTCTTGTCTCCACCCAAACGTGTTGTGTATAGCATACAACGCCAAAAGTGCAAGGTGCCAAACATCTAATATATTACTTATGTCTAACTTTTAGGATTCTTTATCATTAGCATGTTATGATTTGTTGCATGATATTTCTGAAAGTCAGTTGAAAAGGTTGGTTTTTAAAGATAAAATGTTCAGTTATAAAACCACAAAACATATTGGTTTATCTCTACCTGTTTGGGGTTATGTCTATTTAGACTAGTCAGTATTCCATGGGAACCGTCTAAAAAATCATTTCGTGCTCCATTGTCATGTCGAGAAAATCAGGAACATGTTCAACAGACGACACAGCAAGCTGAAGTAAAGATTGAAGTCCCTACGCTTCCAAAAGTTGCTACTAGTAAGTGGTTTAAAATATAATCATTCTTCAACAAAAAAGTTGGACATGATGAAAAAATCAAAACATCGAATCTGAAAAACTTCTTCAACAAAGCCGAGAAACCTGTCCAAATTGGTTAGTTGTTCATTAATATCTACTAACTTCTTGATATTAATTAGCTCGGAAGGACTTTAATTTAGATTCGAAGAATAAAATGTAGGTTTCTGTCCCATCTGTTTCATCCCCTTTTTTAATACAATTTTAGACCACCTAAGCCAACAGAGAACCGAAAACCAAAAGAGGCAGCTATGACAGAAGAAGATGAAGAAATTGGTCCAAAAAATACACGTAGCATCTCAATTATGTGTTACACTTACATTTATGTGTAGACTTATCACAAAAACGAAAACGTATTGTCATTGAATCTGATGAGGAGGATGAAGAAAATACGGAATCTGGAGATTGTAAATCCTCTGAGTTAATCATTTCAAAAGTAATTCCAAAACGCAGCAATAAATCCGTTCAGAAAACACAAAATTCTTATAAGAAAGGTAATTAAGTATGTTTTGTAATGCTGAAAAGCTTTTTAAACTGCACCTTTTAAAGGTCGAATATGTAGAAAAGAAATTAGCTTTTTACTATAAGTACTTTAAACTTGTACTTTGAGGTTGGACAAGTTAAACGATTATCAGCTTGACTATCTGGGATAGTTGCGGTTTGGCAAACTTGTATTGATACTGGATAGTGACTGTAGCTGGAATGAAAATCTGGACCGTAGAAGTATTTTAACCAGCTACTTCCGGGTAACCGGCTCGGTGCTCTACCAACTGAGCTATGAGGCCCAGCTGCGGACCAGATCTTAGTTTCACTTCAGTCATCAAGGGTTTTGCCCAAATGACACGTTAATTCGTGATGTGTTGCTATCCGTTCATCGTATTCACACTGGCTGCTCACCAGCCATTCGCTGGTTCGAATCCCGCCGCGGTCCGAAATTTCACTTGGCCTCAGTCATCCTCCAATATAAAAATAAATGATAATGTTTTTAAATCATTACTCATCATTTTAGTGTTATTGCTTGTATTACACCGTCGTTGATAGGACCGAATTGATCAGCCTCTGTTGGCATATGGGCTCCTATGAGGATGCCTCGATATGGCCTGTCTTTTACTCATCATTGTTTCAAGCATTCAAGTAGAATAACTAGCCTGTCTTTTATTTGTTTCATTACTCCCTACCCCAGTATAATGTATGAATTAGATTAAAACCGTGTAGTGCTAAGATATAGAACTCTTTACTTTGTTTAAAAATGTCCAAAACAGGAGAAATCTGTGGTTGATAACTATTTCACTAAGAACCAAAGTCAGTAGCTAGGATAAGACCAACGTCAACTGACGTATTACTTTACTAGTTTCTATAATTTCTTCAGCCTGCCAATCCATCTCGTAGTAATATATCTTGTAACACTATATATGTTTCTTTCTGGTAATGTTCTCTTTGCTATTCTACCAACGTCGTTTATTTTCTCTCTGTTTGATGGTGTTGTGTTCTCTGGGCTTGATAGTCTAATCGTGGAGCTTTCGTTGTCACGATTCAGCCATCCAGCTCAGCGAACACTACACCATTAAAATTATCGTCACGAGCCACAAATATTCACTATCATCTGAAATATTTCGCCTCTGTTTTGTTTATAGTTATGTTAACTTGAAATGATGTACTACTGTACCTGCTTCTACCTTTTAAATTATCTGCACATCTTAACGTCCATGATCAAACCTGTTTTCATAGTTTCGTTCTAACAGTTCAGTTTTCTGATTCCATAAAAAAATCTAAGTGTAAACTAAATGAGTGGTTGCAAATCATGCACCTATCATCATGTCTAACTCTCGTTAAAGCTATCTATTCACCTTACGTTCGTTCAGATTGTATGGGTCTAACTATCCTGAGTGAGTAAAACATTTTATCAAGAATTAGTTTACAGATTATTCACAACCACCACATCTCTGTGTTTCTTTTTTTGCTCGGTACTAAACAGCTTCCTAAGGTTCGTAAAGCCTTTTTTACAACTGAATTTCTGACAGTGTGAAGACAATATCACTATGGATCCTACTTACCCTACGAAAACAGTTAACTATTGTTCTTACCAAAGTATAGTTAGCAGTATGTTACTTTGGTTCTGGGGTTGGATTATGAACCTTCAAATTATAGCATCAAAACCCACTTTACCCGTTTGGATGCAAAGGGTGGATGTTTTGTGTCTATTCATCATATTACATGTACGGTGTTGTAACCTACCGAGTAAACCTTTTCAACGTTGTTGCGTTTTATATATTTTTTGTCCTGGAAAACGCATTATGTCTTTTTCATAATTTATATCCGTTTCTCATTCTAGATAAAGAAAAAGTATTGGCTTCTGACTCAGAAGCTGATTCATTCGTTGCTGAACCCACAAAGTTAGAAAAATCACCTAACAAAATGAAAAAGATAAACGTAAAAGTTTTATCAACACCGAATAAACTTGAAGTAAATTCTAAAAACTCAGAAAAGTCTACGGAATTAATTCGTCCAAACCGTATACGTCACCAAGTAATGAAAACGTTTGCAGATGAAGATGGCTTTATGGGTAAACTTTCGTCATCAACACTTTTTTTTTTAACTTGTAGTGGTTAATTATCACCTTTACTATTATTATTATCATTATTATTACTACTACTAATCACATGGCCGTTATGACGCTTGCATAAAGGAAATAGTTATGTATTCACGTTTCAACTGAAATCACTGGTAATTTTACTAATGATTCAGATGTGATTTTCTTTTGTCTGCGTACTTAATTGATTGGAGAAAGTTAAATTTATCTGGTTAGGAGAAGTGCCAAACAATGTTTTCATTTGCTTTTTAAATTTGTCTTTCAAGTGAGAAATTTCGAGTAACATTAATCATGGATTCTCTTCAAGAATCCTATCGTTTTTAACTCAACTGTTTTTCGACACGCTTTGATTTTCGAAAACAAGTTCTCATGCAAACCACTTGCCTATCTTGCCCAGTACGCTTCGCCTAACCTCAACATTGCTCACCCAGCGATTCCACCAAATGCGGGCAGTGCTACGAAAACGTCTGTGATCGAAACCCTGTAATCCCTTTATGTCTTCTACTTTTAACGGCCATATTTCACAGTCACTCAGCAGGACGCAACGGACTGGAGCTCAGTATACTCGTCCTTTGATGGGTAGTCGGATATCTCGCCAGTGGGCCCTACAAATGACAGAATTCGGCAAATGTCCAACAGACCTTCTATATCCGAGCTGAAATTTCGACAGCAACCAACCCGTTCGGGTTGATGCAACTCCCTGAATATGTGAAGTAGTCGACATATTCCACCGCTCTCTATCATTAAACTGGGAGTGGTTGCAGACCAGTCCTGGGACATCATCTTACTTTTGTGACAGGGGCGAAACACATGCCAAACCTACTCAGATTTCTGCTCAATGCAGTAAGAAGACCCTGGGTTTTGTCGGCGTCTTCACCAAACAGGACAATATCATCCGGATGCTCCAAGTCAATCAAATTACCTCCAGAGTGTAGGTCAATCCCTGTGAAGTCAGACGTACCTCAGGTTATATCCTAGGCAATGAGTTTGTGAACTTAATTTTGGATTATCTTCGAATGAAATAAGTTTTTGCATGTCCAATGCTATCTGGTAGCTTGAGCTCTTGGTTTGCATAGATTATAAGAAAAGACCACTACTTCTTTCTGTATAAATATAACAGCGGTATCTAAAACTATTGGTTCATCGCAGTCACCTAATTATTTAGTTTCAACCTATACTGTATCATTATTACATTGTGTTTGCATAAACTTTGTAGTTTTTAATCGGTATCAGGGTACTTGAAGTCGCTGTAAGGTAAGCTGAAACCACTGCGAAGTATGTATGTAAATTCATGGTTTTCGGCAATCTGTCGAAGTTTACCACCAAAACCGTCATCTAGCGTCACTCCTATGACAATGTGTTGACTGAGAAACTGGCTAATGTGTGTATACCCTGATGGCGTACTGTTAACACTAATCTACCTGAGTGTAGTAGTTTCTGCATATTTCAAATACTTACTATGAAGTTATGTTAAAAAGGTGCAAGTTCTTATGATATGTTCACCTAGTTTCTTGACTCAAAACCAACTTTTATTTCCTATTATTCTATAGTTACAGAAAAAGGTTGGGAAAGTGCCTCAGATGACGAAATCGTCAAACCAGTAGAGTCCTCCAAAGTTGATTCAAATCAGAATGGAAAAAATCAACCTAGCTTACAAATGGAGCCGGATAAAGCTGTTCTACTAACTGCATCTCCTACCGTCTTACAAACTGTATGTTGAGATTTGGTTATTACTTTCGTTTTATATACTTACTGTTAATATTCCACTGTTTTGTTAGCTAGTGGATTTGATAGTGATCTAGGTAAATTTTACTTTTCCCAGTTCTTGTGTGTATGTTAGTAGATTTGATTAGAAAGTGAGTTATTATTTCATATCACTTCTGTGATTACCAAACTAAGCCTAGTCCTGTAATATTTTATTGGGTGGCTGAAAAATGTTCTAGATAGGGACAAACAGACGGACGTAGAGCATGGCACAAAAGTGCATCAGTTCAGGTTGCCACATCTCACACCAGGACACAAATGAAAGACGAGTAGAAAACGGTTGACATAAAAGTGTATGAGAGTTGATACAATAAATAGATTTAGGTTATTGTTGCACATAACGTAAATTTTCTTAATTGGTTGACACTTACTTTTAATATGTTAATGTTTTTTAATTCTGTACAAATTCATGTCTCATGAATATATACATAGGTGTTTTGGGTTATTATCACCCTTCTCTGGGGCAATAAAGTTCTCACCTAGACCGGTCTTCTTTCTCGCTTTGAGTCTCTCGTAAAATGTTTTCGTCTGCGGTATTTGGTATACGAGTTAGCCGTTAGTCAGGAGCGTGCATACTATTTAACTACTCAGAAACATAACAGTTATTAAAGATGTTCAAGGACCGAACATGACAAAAAGAGTGTGCACTCTTGCCATTTTGACCAGTTTTGAGTCATATCGCTAAGAGTTCCCAACCCGTTGATTCTTATCATCTCGAAGAACCTCACCTACATCTTCATATACGGCTCAGACTAACAGTTAAAAGCCTCATGGACTGGTGCTGTGTCTTGGTTAGACCAGCCTTAGTCTTATTCCAACCCAATCCTATTTCAGTCAGCATCACACATTAAAGTAGGCGTTGACTCAGTGTACGCAACATATGTCTAAACCACTTCAGTTGATGAAGATTTAAAATTTTGTGGACCAACTTACCTTAATTGCCCAGAACTCTACGCCTAACATCATCATTGCTCACATGGTGATTCTAAAGTATGCAAGCAATTTCACGAAGGCAGCTACGATCAAAACTTGTAGCATCTTCATACTGCAGGCAGCTTCACTGTATCCTCGTCCTCTCATAGGTAGTCAAATTTCTTGCTGTCGTCATAAGTGGTGTGAGTTGGTACATGCCAAACAATGGGAAATATCATTGTCTAATATGCGTGACTTTGGAGGTTTCAAGTGCTTAACCACAGATTCCTTCAAAGCATCGCATATAATAGACTCGCTAAATAAGTGATTTCAGCATTTGGTTCACTACTTGTAAACCAGTTAAAGAAGGTAAGTGTTCTGAAATGGTTTTCCCTTCGAAATATGTAGATCACTAGCAAAACTATTTAATTTCTAACCAATCCTTTTTATTCATAGGAAGTAAAGCAAGTTACACACTGTTACATCTTAGTACTATGACACAGTTATTAGAGTACAGTGATCCTTTACCTAGGTTGTGTGTGACCAATTCTGTCAAATTACGAATTATGATGAAAGTTGAAGAGATAAGAATGTAGTGAGGCTACCCATGGGTATACATATACATATTTACGAACTGCATACTAAGGATGTTTCCGGTATATATTGAATTTATCGCTTGGGCCTACAGTATAACGTAGGGTTCATTAAGAGTCAAGTTAGTATCAACATAGGAAACAGCTGTACTGCGTAATTGTCAAATTTGTCACATCTCACATCAGTATATCGAGATACAAAGCAGTTAAATGAAAGATGGGGGAAGAGGAAAAAATGTAATCGAAGTTATGGGAAAGGAGGAGACTGATAAAATAAATGGCAAAATTTGATGTGATAATTAGGGTAATGTATGGATTCATATGCACCCTTGAGACCAATTCTGAGCGATATCACCTAGGGCTGCAACTGGGAAGTCTACACTTCCCTGTACGGCTCAGAACGGAGGTCAAAGATTTCATGGATTGATGTCATGTTTTAGTCTGGTGGCTTCATATCTTGTTACGTCGGGAACCTACATATTGGAGTAGACGTTAACTAGGCATACGTAACACATGTCCCAGAAGCCTGAGTTGACGGAGACTTATGAAATCATCACCTGATTTACTTTCCTTGTCTAAAATTGACTGTAGGCCTAACCTCTGCATTACTGTAAATTCGATCCCACTACACACTGCCAATCCTGAGGCAATCGCGGTCGAACTTCTGCAGCCTTCTCATGTCCTCTAACTTTAATGACTATTTTTGATATTCATATAATAAGACGGAGCAGAAATTCATCAAAAGAATCTTAAGTTGGTCTTTCTTTTATTCACAATAAATGTACTCATTTGACAGCGACGTTCTGATTAACTAAGGTATAATTGACTTTTGTCTTTTGAAAACCTTACATCTTCATTCATGCTTGCTAATTGTTAGCGTGAGTTTTATGATTCAATGAAGGATTTCAGTTATGTTTTGTGAGAATCTCTTTTTGCATTGCAATTCGCTGGGGTGTGTATGTAAGTTGAAGATAGCTTATTTGCACGTATATCTGTTTCCATCTCCTTCTGTTATAGCTTAATATCCAACTTCTCTTCTCTTATGTCCTTCCGTGTATTTTCATTGCACTCATAATCAGTGATAAAGTTAAAACCGAGTGATATCTTGTGCGTTGGGATTTGTCAATGAAAGCCATCGAGATTTTGGAAAATACTGTGTTTCAGTGACTACTGCTATCCGTCTCAAATTGTTGGTTTTTCGAAATACTGTCGATAGGTTACTAAATTTACGGATATTCTTCTTGCTACTTATAAGTAGTTAGATGTTCACAACGATTTTATGTAACTCATCACATCCACCTTTTTGAAGTTTTGAATCTGATTTTTCTTTTCACAAGTGTTTGATAAAAAAAATTTCTTGTTCTGCTTTATAGAAACTGGGAAAGCAGTTGAACAAAAAAGTATGAACAATAAACCAACAGTAAAACAAGCTTCATTATCATCATTTTTTAAACCTAATATCACTACTACCTAATTAATTGATAAATATATATTAACATATGCTTTGTACAACACCGTATCGTTGTCATTTCATCAATACAAGAGATTTATTTAGATTAAAACTTGGTTTGTTTGAAGTTTTGTTGTGACAAATGTAGTTTAGATATTCCAGCCACTTGGTTACAGATTCGAATACCTCTACCTCTGATCAAGCGATCAAGTACCTTTGTTTAACTCTCATTTGACAGGTGTGAATAAAGAAACGCTTACACTCCTGTCCGAAGTGATGGTTTCACGGTGATGATCTTTTTTGAAGATTTTTGGGCATGTATACTACTCGTCGTCGTGCAACAAAATTTTTACTTCATTCTTTGTAGTTATTCAGCCGTAGGTGCTGTCTTCACTTTCCAACTCCTTAAAAATTTACAGAAAGTTGGTCTAAGTGGTATGTGATCGCCCCATGGGTTAATTAATATGATATTTTACAAGAGACACTAATTATTGACAAAATGCATGTTTCTAAACTATTGAAAGTCTTACATAGTATTGTTGAAGAGTTTTGGTCGAAGACAGGGAATTTCCTAGCTTGGTAACCACATTCCGAAATGATCGATAAAATTGGACCAGCCTTTAGGACTAGAAAACACGAAGTCGATCACTCTCCAGCGATCAATCAATGTAAAACGTATGATTTAAACTGGCATCTTAAAACGGTATCAAGAGTGAAATACGACCCCCTAGGTCGAGATTCGTTTTATGGATCTAACTAGGGGACACAGTTTGTTGCGAAACCTAAGTAACTGTCACTAACAATGAGACCAAAAATTGTATCTATGCTACTTCAGAATACTCGCTTCATAGGGGAAGGATTTAATATGACTACTTTTCTGTATAATCCCCCCCCTAAAAATAACTACTAAAAAGGCAACATATTGTTGAAATCCACTAAGAAACTGTATTCGAATTAATAATGATCAACTAAGAAAAGTATTTCTAACTTGTTAGATGAATAGTTATACTGATATATAATCCTGTTCAATTTTCGTTAGGTTTCAACTATCAGAAGGACAGTAAGGCTGTAGATTCAAGGTGTTTAAAAACTGGATATTTAAAACAATATTGTAGTTTGAAGCTTATGGGGATTTTATTTTTAAGGTAGTATTCATCGAGGACGGACATCATTTGGAGAACCGTCGAAAACCTGTGGTCACCGGATAGCTGTTTCATCCTAGTATGGGACACCTCAGTAATACACACCCAGTGGGTGGATGGTTAAGGTGTTCGTCGTGAAACTTCGAGGTCTTGCAATCGACTCCTGGTGGGGTCGTGAGTGGTCAGTCCATGATAAATAACAGTAAAACAATATGTTGTGTGAATATGTGTGCGAATAACCGAAAAAATCATTTTGCTAAAGTTAAAGTGAGAAGCTGGTATGTGATGGATTTGTAGAAGATATAACAACAACTAACATCAAACAAAACGAACATAGAAACATTCCGAACAAGTGAAACAATCCAAATAATTAAATAGGATTTTTTATGCCTAAAAATGAGGATCTGTTGGTCCACCTTGGACATTCTAACAGTATATTTTTTCAATTATTTGTTTTGCTTTCTTCATATGATAATAATAACGACTTTATTCCAAACAGTATGGAATTCTCAGCATGTAATACTTTAACAAATCCACTTCCGAAACATTTTAATAATTATTACATCTGAATGATGTTCATAATAGCATTAAAGGCAAAAATGGGAAGTAACCAACTGGTGTTAGAGTAGTGCGGCCGCTGTATAATGCAGAATGAACAGTAATGTGAGCGTAAGTTCAATGTTGGTGGTTCATCCAGGCAGTAAAAGAATGTGCTATTCACGATAATTATCCGAGCAATAGGAATATGATGTATTTTTGTACATTCAAAAGTCCATTTCCTTCTAACATGACATTTTCCTTTAGTTTTGTTACGAACTCGAAAAGCTGCTAGTCGAGAACATTTTAAATAGGCACAAGAGTATGTGATAAGCTTGGAGAACATATCTGAAAGAATAAAACAAACTGAAAGGGAAGAATTCGATACAGTATGTGCTGTAGAGAATTTATTTGGTAGCCCACAGTTCAAGCGGGGTGCCATTTAAAATATATCACAGTCTTGACTCAATATGACTACACACGCCAAACAGTATCCAAAAATTTATCCAGTAAATAATGATAGTGTAACATCGTTTCAAAAAAGTATCGAGTGCTATTATCATATGGTCACTATCAATTACCATCGGACAGTTCGAGCTTGTGATAGTCTTCACATTTTAAACAAACAGAAGGAATACTATGGGCTTACTCAAAGGGAGAAGTATGCGTAGAAAACTGAAAGAAAACCCTATTCAAAGATCTGACAATCAGGATTTTAAATGAACTTGTCGAGACCAAACAAATCACAAAAGACCATTGACTAATTGCGTCTTACGAACTTCTTATCTTATCAATCCGACGATAAATTAAAAATGCATGGAGTAAATATACATCCAGAAAACTAGGAAGGATTATGCGACTACTAATAATTCTGCAGTAGAATTTTTGGGGAGTTTATAGTATTTAGATTTATAATAAAGAAAATGGGTTTTACTTTGATATCAATCCGCTAGTGAGAAGTTATCTCGCTAACATATTAAAAAACAACCCAATGTCCATATACCAACGACATAATGTCAGTGGAAAAGTGTGCCGATGAAACGACCACCAGCATTCTGTCTAACAGCAGGAGCCATGATATAAAGATACGGAAGTACTGTATTGCATGTGATGGAGGTGATTTGGATTCACTGGGCGACTAGTACGTCCACCACCTAGTAAGTGATGAATTGAATAGTTGTGTCAGTCTAGCTAATAATCTTTTCATTAGTAACAGATTTACAATAGAGGAAGTGAACAATGTTTTAGGTTTGAGATAATACAACCAGTGGAACTTTCACATAAAAGTAGAGCATCCAGGCTTCGAATCGAAACGCAATCAGTAACCAAGCGCACGTTTGCACAGAAGGCAGTGAGCCACATCTATCGCGTGAAGGCCAACAGAAGTACCTGGCGGGGCGGTCTCTTAAGCTATGACCGTTGGTTGGAAGTCATTACCCTAAACCAATCAGCTACAGCTCCAGGCTTACCAAAAATTATCTAGCTCCTATCGTATCTATGACCATTTATTCATATATAAGCATTTTTTGGAGAAGTTATGACACTCTACTACATTTATAAAGCAGAGAAATGAAGAAAAGTGTATAATTATTTCCTTTTTTCAGAGGAGTGGATATTTACAGCACTTCACGAAACCATATTTACAAATAAATTACTAACCTTAAATCTGTCCCTGTATATTGACAAGTAGGTCTTTGTATTGACATCAAAATTCGACTGTTGGCACCCTGTGGAATAGGTACTACCCACAGACAAAATATCTCTACTACGTATTTTGCAAACTAAGTAGATGAGTGGGGTGTCATATAAAAAATAAGCTGTAACTAAACTGAAAAACTTGTCTACCTGCGTTGTTTGGCTCAACACTAGATAACCGTCAGGCCGCATAACATCCCTTATCACAGCAAGACATGAAGGGATGAATTCGACTGAGGATATTTGAAATAGGGGAAACAGAATGTTTAGAAGTTTAGCACTCAGAAATTTAGAGGCGACTAACATTGATTGAAGAAAATGACAAACTAGTAAGCGAAAAAGTGGCTTGGCAGTCGCTACACAACTTCTGAAAACAAACTCGTTTTGTTTTTACATTGGAAACTTAGTCGATAAACTTAGATTAGCACTAAGGAATTGACAGCTGCATCAATTCTCACCCCATAACTGATACATGTACGGGCAAAACAATAATACTTCATGGTAAACTACTGAAAAACGTATACAGAAATTCGTCTAGATGGTTTTTTTGAACTTTGAGCTTGTATTTACCATGAAAGTGGGAGTTTCACGATAAGACCGTTCAGACGAGACAATAGAACATCCTTAGTAGTGCTTTTTAACTCCAAAAGTCAAGAAAATTATCACAAAAGCAAAAAGCTTTGTACTATTGTAACAAACTTCTCTTGCCATTGACACAAAACTCGATGTCGCATTTCATAGATATTTTATCTTTACTAATTGCCAGTACCGTACGTGGCTGGACGATGATAGCAACATCAGGAGTGATTATTCTGTCAAAGGAGAAACAGATTAGATTGGTACAATTTGTTTAGGACTAAACAATGCGGTACTGGTTAACCTTCAGTAACCAGTTGATGTATATATCCGATCGCCGTTTTTGACTACAAAACAGTTGAGTGACATTCGAAGTTGAAGGAATTACTTCAGTTTTATTTTGCCTGCTCTGACAGGAGTGACCTACATTTATGATGAAAATAAATCCAACCTCATCACCTATAAATTGCTGAGTGGAAATCACTACATCACTATTCACTTATTAACTGTTCAATATATTATGATTACAATAATGAGAAATGTATTGTTCGGTTTTTTTAATTTTCATCCTATTGCAAAATACAAAAAGTCTCATATTTCCCTATCGCTAATGAAAACGTGAACATGCTCCCCTTATCTATGCTTCTCTCGACGCTACACAACACAAATAGATGCTAATTGGACGGACGCAATCGACAGAAAGCCCTAAACCTGGGTTTCATGCTTCTTGATACTCGTCAGCAAGATGTATCTGCAACCTCTGCGGAATTGATGTCTGACCTGAACTTCGAACCCGCGTCACCTTGTGCTGCAGTCTGGTGGCCACATTGCGAAATGTTCCGTAAAATTCGATCAGCACTTAAGACTAGACAAAATGAAGTTGGTTACCCTCCAGTGACCAACCAATGTACAACACATGTATAAATAAATAAATAAGACTGAAGGGAAAGAAATTTTTTGGAGGAAATTATCCATTTTTTAAAAACATTGTACAAGAATACAATTAATTTTCATCATAACAAACATTATTTTTCAAATAGAATGATGAAATTTTAAAAATCTGCATTAAATATTGCTTCGTTAATAATTTTTCCCGTCGTATGTACACATAATGCGTATCGATAAAGCGTACAAAAAGGCGCCAATAGAAAAACGACCAATAAAAACCCAGCTATCACACTATTGGTTGAATCATGAAACAGAAAATAAATAAAATCACAACTGTCGTATCGTAACATATTAATACTATAGAGTCATTCAGATATACGTTTATAAGATGATAATCACCATAAATTACAATTAGAAAGACCAGAGAATAAATAATGAGCAAAGAAAAGATCAAAGAATAAAAGCTGAAATGCACAGTTTTGAAAGACGAATGGCAAACAAAATATTGAAAAAATGAAAATAAGAAATCAAAAAGTTTCACTGTTTTTACCCATAGTTCTGTTTATTGGCAAAAATAATTCATCAATTTATGACTAACTTATATTACAATTATCATTATTATTCTGATTGTGTAATGTAGAGCATAAGGCGCTTAATCTTCTGTTTTCATGAATAGAAAAATTCTTTACATCTTTATGACCAAAGTTCAACAACACATCTTTTATTTGAACTTTTATTAGTCAAATGATAGTTTGTAGCGCATTCAGGTGTTGTTAAAGAACTTGACGGTTTCTTTGTATGACGATTTAGATTATGACCTTTTTTATTGACATTGTTATTGTTCATATTTGATGGTGAATTAGGTGTGCTGTTGTTACCACCGAGATGCCTATTGATATTATGAATAACTGGTGTACAAATAAATTCAAATGGATTATGATATTTATTATTTGATGAATGTGATGCAGAATAATGTATGGACTGATAGAAGTTAATATTCTTTTGAAGTGCTATATCTGTAAAAATGGAAAGTCAATATTTAAAAAAAGGAAAAAAAAAGTAGTTCTCATCTATTCTAGAACAGTATTCTTTTGACTATTAATCAGAATTTATTGAAAACTAGTACGTAATTTACAGCTTTTCAGTGCTATTAGATTATGGTTCCACTTACATCAAACCATTTTTAATATCTTTAGGTTGTGTAGCAAATATGTTTGCTTCAAATCACACGATTGAACCGTATGCTTAGGAATTTTTGATCTCAAATTCAGTCAGTTTTTAAAATAGAATAATCATCTTCTAAGATAAACGGTGAGTATCATTTCAACCTATTTCAATGAATTCATAAGTGAGTTTTTCTTATAACAAATTAAAAAGCCTCATCTAAAAATTACGCTAAGATGGACAACTGACGTCATTAGTTTCAATATGAAGTTTTAGGTCTCAAAAGTACTCGAAGATAATAAGCAATCCTGAAAGATCTTGAAATAGGACTAAACAATTATCTAATAACCTTTGACCTTTTAAAATTTCATTGAGTAAACTCTGAAAATTAATAAGCTGAGGCATTCTATTAAAATTAAAACCAATATAATTTTGAGGATGAATGGTTCGATCTCCTTAGATGAAGAATATAACTATTAAGAGTAGATAACGGTGATCTTATTCAAATTTATTACTATAGAACTTCATACTGTAACTAGTCACTCATATTTCCTTCAGTGCGAAAGAGTATATACTCGAAGTAAGACAGTATGAAACGGAAATCATCAGAACTAGTAGTGAGAATGCATATTACCAAAAATAATCATTTTTAAGTTTAGGTAACAGGGTAAGAGTAAAACCTAGTCAATGAAAGCTGACAAAAGTATTCAGCAACTCGGATAAATATAGAAATGGGATGGAAAAAAAATGAATACAATTTGTATTTAGGCCAAACACAGTTGGATGAATTCCATGTCACACTATAATCGTATATCTAAACAGTAAAGGAATACAGTCTGTTTTTTCCCTCAAGGTTAAAGCAACCAGACTGTTTCATTGATGCATTCATCTGGGATTTATTGTCACGGTAATAAAAAGAAAATGACTTAAAGGTAGCATGAAATAACTCCCTCTGTACACTTGTTTTTACAACAGATCTTCTTGCGGGAGTAACTGTGGCTCTCGTTGGGTCGCCAAAAGCCTTCCCATAGTTGCGTGCCAGGTACCAATGTGAAGAAGCCTATGCGGCGTAATTAAGTGGTTTGATCATTTGAGCTGCTTGCCATGAAAACCTAAGTTGGTATGTCCACTAGGGAATATTAGACGACCCTAGTTACGCACATGACGGTGAGCTTCCTAGTGGCCCAGCCGGATTCTAACCAATACACCATTTTAGTTGACTTAGCGACAAAATCAATCGACGAGATCCTCAAGCATTGTTAGTGACGCAAATTTGCAAAACACGTATGGACTAGTAGGCCGTAAGGATTTCACCCAGTTTATTAGTTCTGGGAACAATGCGCCATGAAAAAGGTGAGGGAGTCCAGCTTCCTAATTTCGGTAGTCATTATTATTGAAGCAATCTGAAGAAAATTGTTTGTAGTTTACCTTGCAAATGTTGGCAGTATTCAGTGTGAAGTGTCAGATATCGTTTTCGGTACCCATGATCCAAGAATGACCGGGATTGCGTTGAGAGTGTGCCTCTGACTAATTCTTAGTGATAGCGGAAGTAGACTGTTCCGGGGAGGTGTAATACATCCCTATTCGCAAGATTGTGGATAATCAGTGAAACGTTTCCCACACACATCTGCCCACCTGAATATTTCTGTACGGTCAGTGAGCACATGACCTGGCGAACGCAGATACGTTGAAGCGTGAGAGTTGTGAGGGCGGGATTCTCTGGAGAAATAAAATTTGCGGGAGCGTCAACCAGAATACACCGGCAGGAGTGTTCGTTTTCATGTGAATGCGTTATAAAAGGAAGTTTCCTGCTCGGTGAGGGGACCGATCTCCCAAATTCAAGAGACGACAAAGTTAAAGGAAACGAATGCCCGATCTGGAACTGGGAGCTGAGACGAAAAGTGCAGTGAAACCAAACTAGTATGAAATAACTCCCTCTGTACACTTGTTTTTACAAAAATAGATTTTAATATAGAAAACCTTTGTGATACAAAGAAAGATGTGACTTCTGCGCAGTTATCTCGTATCGAATCGACGTTACGGTAGAATTCCAACCAGTGACCATATCGATAGTTTGCCACTCTAGTAGCTGATACATAAAAGTCAACTGTTAACTATGCTGCAATGTCGATTTCGTTGCCCAGTTTAGTTAAGTTCTGATGTGAATCAAATACCGTACGTTCACTCTTCGTTAAACTACTAGTTAATTTCATGAAGTTGTGACTCATCGGCATACGTTTGTGATTTTCAACCGATGGTTTGCAGGTTTGAACCTCGATCTACTCACCAAGGTCAGAGTAAGTAATCAGTATCACTAACTTTGACACAACAGTTGTGATTCATTGCCAGCATTGAATAGTGCACAGTACTGTGTAACAAGTAAAGAAGATTCATGGGAAAACTGTAGTGATGTAGGTGATAATTTACTGACATCAGTTAGTCAAGAGGTTAACGAAAAAGCTTTTCGACAATACATAAGCTACTCGTCAATCTTCATACTTATTTCCCTAGGCAATTGCGATCTATTTAGCGACTCTGGACACAATGACTGAAAATCAGAGTGGTTGCTTGCTTAAGGCAGCTCCAAAAAGTATCTATCGCTCTTTGAATTAGTTCTCGATGCATTACTTTCAGTTAGCTTGTCCTTTGTTTATCGATATAGTGCAACCAATCAACCAGAGAAGTATGCATCTTGAATACAGCTCTAATAAGGGTGTGTTGCTGAAAAGCTTATGAGTAAAATGACAGACAGATAGGTCAACGTGGAACCTAGCACAGAAGGGCATCAGTTCAAGTTGCTACACTCCACAGTAGGATGCAAAGAAAAGGTGGGTATGAAAAGATTGAAGTAAGGTGTATGAGAGGGCTCCCATACGGATACCTATGTCTAAATTTCCATTAATGATGGATAGTCTTAGTGGGAACTACACCCCTCACTTGAGTGCTGGTACATTCATCTGACGAGTCCCGAATAGGACGAAACTCATGCCTTGGATTCCAGTGTTAGCCACTACCCATCATCAATGAAAATTGAAACACAGGCAACATCGAGGCATCTGCACAGGAGCCCATATTCCAGAAGAGATCAATCAATTCGGTCCAGTCAACGATGGAATAATACAAGTAACAACTTAAAAACTATGCCCATCGCACAAGAAGTGGTTATTGTGGCTCAGTGGCCAAGTGGATAACCCTGCGGCATTTGAAGTGGTCGGTTACGGGTTGAAGTCTTAGCAGGGAGAACAACAAGTAGGCGGTGACTCGGTATACACAACACATATAAACTATGATAATCGGTGGAGATTTACAACTTTGTGCCGTTGACTTGCCTTCACCACATATACCTAACCTCAAGAGTGCTAGCACAATTATTTCACAAGTAAATAACCAGAACTGCCAACTTGAACAATTTACTGTTGTTTGTTGAAAGAAAATTGGGGAGGGAAAAAAAGCCAAAATCATAAATTAAGTAAAAAACTTCAACAATCGCTCACCTCGGCCATCTCTCTGCACTTGAATTAAATCATAATGATCAACATTTTGATCAGCACGACTAAATAACTTCAGAGCCCTGGAGAGTACATCAGAAACACTATCCGTAGCAGAGACAGTCTGTTAGGAGAAGTAAAATATCATACAAAAATGAATATTTACAAACTGAAACTTAGTTTGGAAGCAGTTCTCAAGAAGGAACATCAATTGAAAAGCCAACGAAAAACAAAGTACAGTATTAGGATACCTTTACTCTCATTTCCAAATTCGTGGATACTGTTTAGGCATTAGTTTAAGAAAACGATACGTATTATGTTAACGCTACCAAAGCATCCATCGAACTGATTTTACAGTTCAAATTTGCTTCGATAACTGAAGTTTGAGGGAGGAAATGGACCTCAGCAAGATGCAAATTAATTATCTTACAGCTAGTAGTCCAGTCGGTTTAGTTAAGAATCAATTAACTGTCTACCAACTCGGATGTAGCTTTGATTTGGATTTGTTTAAGGAAACTATAATGAACATGTAGTGTGAGATGACAAAAATGGACAGTTGTGACTATATCATTTACATGATATTGGGTATAGCAATTGATGTCTAAAGTGAAATCAAGATTTGGCTACAAACAGCCTTGTATGACAGCTAGCAGAGGGAAACATTCGGTAAGTTAAGATAACTCGTTCGAATCCCACTATGACGCAGAATTTTGAGCCACTTTATTCACCCAACTTCATGAAGCAGGAAAAGATGGCATTTTGAGATTATAATCAAATAAGAACTATTAATCTTAAGAATAATGACTCTACCGTACGCTTCCTGTTTACAAACCTTACATTTCTTTAACTAGACTGCGATGACGAAATGACCATGTGGAACAACTAAACGATTTCTCATTCTTAATACTGAAAGTTTAGTAGTAGTATAAAGTCAAAAAAGTAAACGACTAAAGAAAAGTTACTTCGTAATTGACTTGGACATTTCCACTGTTGCTTACCTAAATTGTCAAAAGCATCGATTATGTATGGACTTTCAGAGTCTTCCTGCAGTCCAGTATCTGAATTTAATATTCACACAAAGGTGTTGGAAATGTGTTACACATGTCCATAAACTGTGAAATATAACATGCGGTAATAAAAGTATTGATCAACTGTAGGAAGATGTTCATTGGTTGAGAAGGTTGCTTGAAATCAATGGTTATTGAGGCTTGGGAAAATTGTAGACATTGTCAATAAGGTTCCCGAATTAGCGAAAGGCACTGGTTGGTAGTATGACTCAAAATGGATTATCAGTGCTGCAAGCATATTTACTCATTAAATCCATCTTATTGTTATAGTATTATTATTTGTCCTTTGGGTTCCTAGTGGAACATGGAGCTTCAGTAGCACGTCTCCATTCCACTCTCTTCTCTGCGATATTTTCGACCTGGCTCCACCACCGCCCACAACCTCTCATTTCTTCCTCACACCATCTCCTCCATGTCACTCTCAGTCCCCCAACTCGCCGTTTCCTATCTGGGTTCCACTCGAGTGCCTGGCCTGATGCGTGATGTCCCCGAATGGTCTTCTCAGTGCATGCCCAATCCATCTTCACTTCCTTCTGCATATTTGTTGAGCGATAGGTTCTTGGTTGGTTCGTCGCCAGGCCAGAGTTCCTTGTTGCTTATTCTTTCTGGCCATCTGATCTTCAGTAACGAGCAAGCGTAGTCAGTTGTTGATGAATGTCTGTAGTTTGTTGGAAATCCCTTTCGTAACGCGCTAAGTCTCTGAACCACAGAGAAGCACTGACTTGACGTTAGTGCTGAAAATCCGGATCTTGTTCACGCTTTATGCTGAGTGCAGTGCAGAGGTCTCCACACTGGTCTCAGGTTAATGAACGCGTGTCCTGCTTTCTCGATCCTGACTTTGACATCCTTGTCTGTGCCTCCTGTAGTTGAAACAGTGCTGCCCAAATAGGTGAAAGAGAATCCATCTTATTGTTCGATAAAATTCTGTTATTCTATCTTCATGTGGTTTTGTCAATATTTTTCTTGTCATTCATTTTTATTGTTGATTCTAACTTACTGTACTGTTATAAATTCTGGTAACTTGAAATAACATAATACTGGGCAAGTTTCCACAGTTTTTTCAGTCATTAGACCACTTTAGAAATTAATGAAATATTACAATGGTAACCGAAGTATATCTAACAAAAAAAATGAGTACATAGACAGGTTATTATTATTATTATTTTAAAGAATACGTACCAATTCTACTGAAGATAATGCTTGTTTTGAATGTAGGTGATTGGAACTATGGGAACGACCACTTAAATAGGCAACTTTAACCAGAAACGGAGATACACGACCGTCGTGTTGAGTATTCGAATCATGAAAAGTAACAGTGATAACCAAATTATTACTAGAATTACCATGTAAATGAATAAAAGAATCCCTATTGGTCGATGGACTTTCATTTGGTGTCCATTTATAGTCTGATATCTGTAAAAAAAGAATGTAAGCAAGTTGATATGGATGAGATTGGACGTAAAGGACATTTTATTAGGCTGTCAAATGTAAAAGATTGAACGCTGCAAACAGGAAATGCTGCTGTATGAAGATTTCATTTTACTGATACTGAACGGTAATGTAGACTTAAAGTTCCACGTTATTTGTCAAATTTGAATCCGTACTACTAAGCATCACAGCTGTTAAATTCACTAACTATTAGTTAGTTAAAATACAAGTGACTCCTTGCTAAATCTAATTATTTAAATGAATGCATTACTGGGTAATAATAATAACTTAGAGGAAGTATTCATCACAGACTGACATCAGTTGGCGTACTGCTGAGGAGTCCCACACTAGGACGAAACAGCTATTCAGTATTCCCAGATTTTCATTGGTTCCCCAACTGATGTCAGTTGTGATGAATACTACCTCTAAATTAAAATTCCTATTCATCTCAAAAACAATAATAATGATAGTAATAATAATGATAAGGCATTTAGTGCTAATTGGATTTTACCAACCAGGAATGCGATATATCGACTAAATAATATAAAAATAAGGATGTAGGAAGCGCTCAATCTAGGTTGCGTGGTTGTTGACGTTCACTGTCTGTTGCATAGGGAAGGCTCATGTTTTGTTGGAGATTTTTAAGTCACACCGCAAATTTTCAAAGTTAGCAGTATTAGTAGTAAATCATTAGCGTCATACGATACACTTGGTATATAGACTCCGTATAGTAATTGAGATTCGGCATTTATACTGGTGATCAATTCATGTAATGTATGGATAATTAAATCATCGTCAGTAAGACTATGCATTCAATAAATTCTTTTCACATATACCTTCTGCTTGATAATAGCACCCAGCAGCATTGACATGAGCCGATTAACTGTAAAAATATAGCTGAAATAGAGTATAAGAAAAACGTCTCCTGTTGATCATATTGTAAACTGGAAATTTTGGGTTGACACTCTTCCCAAGTGATGAGTTTTATCCCATGATCAAACTTTGTTATAGCTAAGACTTTTATTCGGAGCGGAAAATACCATAATTCATCCAACATAGATCAATCAGACAGATTTAGATAGAACAAATAGTTTAGTTGTCTACGTCCCCTGTGAATCAGTCAGAACGTTTATCAAGTGCAGGTTTAACTCACTGATCTGACCGAGAAGATACAATGCTGAACACTGTGGGTAGCGTCTGGTGAATGGAATCTCTCAATGCCATATACATTAAGATTGTTGAATATATCAACGAAAAATCTAAATATATACATAGATAAATATACCTTTGCAAATTCTGCTGAAGTAGATATCGCTTCGTCATCTTTAGTTTTATTGAGCAAATCACTTGTCGAATGTGAACTACTGTTTCGTAATTTATTAGTTTTATCACCATTAGCATTGCCCACAATACCAATCATAGGACTGATTAGAGAAGTAGTATTAGTGGTAGATACAGCACTAGGCGGTCGCGTTATTGCATACTTGGATCTTTCTACGCGACTGTTAAGTATGTAACGTGGTTTGCGACTATCCACAATATTTGTTGAACTGTTTACACCGAATGAATATGGAGATGCACTGAATAAATTGGAGAAGAGAAAACTTCATATTAAACACAATGTATTTAGACAAATACAAGCGAACATACGTGAATGATTCGTAAACAATTCCCCCCAGTCATGCCTTTAAAGTTAATCTGTTCTGGCATTAAATTTAATGCAGGAGCCTCTATGAATTCAAAACTACTAGAGGGATGTTGCCAATTACTTAAAAACTCGTTAGTGACCTGTCGTAACTTCTTACAAAAATCGAAACAAAAGCCGTCTTTTCTCACGCTCTCTTGTCCAATGCGTCAATTGGTATTTATTAGTACTTGTAGTGTCCTGTTGTTATACTGGATTGAAGCGATTATCCTTAGATGACATAAGAACTCTTGTGCGTATGTATTGGTAATGCCCGAAGATTCATTATTATAAAAGCACTATAGATTGATGGTAGTAATTTCTAACCACTCATCCTAACCAACAGTATGTACCGTGTTTCTTATATTGACCATCTTGATGCAATTCCGGTGACTGAGTAGATGACAATTAAGGCTATGAACATTTTGGTTTATAGACTGATATGATAAGAAATGTATTATAAGGTGGATAATCGTGGAGTATAACAGACTTCAGCTTGATTGGTTAGAAGGAATCGGCAGGAGGTCACGGACTTAGGTTTTGAGCTTGCTGGAACTCATCTGCCGATTGCCTCCAAACAACTGGCATCCATCAAAGTGCATCATGATTCTGAAACTCCTAGCTTGGTAGCCAAATCGCTAAAATGACCGACAGAATTCGATCAGCACTCAGGACTAGATAAAATGAAATTGGTTGCTCTCTAGTGACCAATCAATGTAGACTTCAGCTTATTGACACTCCAGTCTAACCGTTCATTTATAAGCCATTTCGGAATAATGATTGAAGTAGTGACATAACAGACTAAAATGATTGAAGCAAAGAAAAAAGTAACGAAGAACAAACGACAAAATCAGTAAAGGCAACATATAGATGGCAATGTCCAAGTCAGATAATGAAGAAATACGCGTGTTCCAGTGGCATTGGTTTTTGAAGTACGCCACCTACTTATTCTATTACATCAGTAAATCCAGTTAGACTAAAAAGTATCAGGAAATGAAGCGATTACAGAGTTTCGATCATAGGTATCTTCATAGCATTTCTCGCGTTGGGTGGAACCACCGTGTGAGCAATGTTGACGTCAGGCAAAGAATACTAGGCAAGAAAGGCAAGTCAACTGATGACATTGTGAACCTTGGTCAACTGAAATGGTTCGGACATGTACTACTTGTGCCGAGCCACTCCCCACCTCGACGTGACATGCTAATCGAAGTTGGATTAGGCTGGAAGAATGTTCAGGGTGGCTAGACCAAGACGTGAAACAAATCCATGAAGTCGCTCACCGTTAGTCTGAGCCATGTTGGGAAATGTAGACTACCTGGTAGGGGTCCCTGAGATGAAAGGAATCAGTGATTTAAAACTCTTGGTGACAAGGCTGAAAATCGGCCACAACGGCGCAGATGTATTCATTCCTTGACGTCTTCCAAAGACTGAATATTTACACTAACCGTTATCTTCAGATTGTTTCTCCTCTCACACAACTTTGTCTAACTTGATATCAGTCTTATAAAATCCACTTGTTCTTTGTATACTACTGTGAAGTGTGGCAACTTGAACCGATGCACTTCTGTGTGAGGTTCTACGCTGATTTTATGTTTGTCTGTCCAGTCAGAAAATCTACACATTCCATATAATTCAAACCAAAATGAATAGTTTAATAACTAAGAAGTAAATTGTCTTTGACTAGTTTGACAGCAGTTTTAATCCACATTCGCTAGAGTTAACCTCTACTTACCTTTTCATTTTCTCCTACAAATTTTCATCTATTTAATGTCCATGTATAAAATATGCATTAGACTACTCACCGATGTACCGAACAAAAATAATTTTATGTTTGAGAATACATAATACGCTCAAGATACCAACCTGGCACAAAAGTTGCTACACTTCATAGCAATTAACAAATAAGAAGTGGATAAGAAGAGTGATCTTAATGTGGATAAAAATGTAGAGGAGAGAGGAATGGTTAAGGGTTAGTGAAAATGCCGAAAATTTCGTAGATATCAAAAAGTAAATACATCTACACCATTGTGACCCGTTTTGAGCTAAAGTACCGGGAGTTGCTAACCATGCATTCTTATCGTCTCAAAGACTCTGGTCAGACAGTCTATATCTCACATGAACAGTCACAGACTTGATGGACTGGTGTCGTGTCTTGGTCCCTCCATCCTTAGTCTTCTTCCAACCGAATCCTACTTAGGCTTACACTACACATTGAAGTAAGCGGTAATTTGGTGTGCGCAACATATATCTAACTCATGTCAGTTGGTGAAGGTATACAACCTCATCGATTGACTTGCCTTTATTCCCTAGAACTTTGTGCCTAATATTATCATTGCTCACATGATGATTCCATCAAATCCGAGTAATTCTGAGAAGTCACCTGTGATCGAAATTCGTAACGTCCTCATATTTCCTACATTTAGCGACGATATCTCGTAGTCATACAAGAATACAGGGCAGACAGCCGCACTATATGCTCGTCCTTTCATAAGTAAACGAATTTACTGACAGTTCTAAGAATAGCGTGAATTTGCAAATGCAAAACTGGCCTTTTGTATCCAAGCTGAAATTTTCTCAACAACCAAATTGCTTCAGTGTGATGCAGTTTTCCAAGTAAGTGAAGTGATTAACGAATTCCATTAATTCTTTCCCTAGCCTTAAACTAAGAGTTGATGCAATGCAGTTCTGAAGCATCATTCTACATTAGACAAGTGAAAAAAAGTAAGTCAAACCAACTCAGATTCCAGCATTTTCCCAGCGTCTTCACCTAACAGGACGAAAATGTCTGCTTATTCCAACAAAACGTTGCAAACTAATTTCAAAACTACTAAACTATATGCATCGAAATTTTGCTTTAAAACATTATCTACTGCATTCGAATGCCTTGGTAACATATATTGTTTATTTACAGAGTTCATTTTATTCTAATCAACAATCAAATTGATATCTAATAGTAACTAAGTACGTTGCATTCATAAAGTAATAATGATAAATTTAGCCAAATAAATCTGTAATTTCCAACCGACGCCAATCTCTTTTTCAATAACAATATCAAATCTGATTATTCCTTTTTCAAACTACTCTAAAAAGAGTTGCTATATAAGTTAGTGAATATATATATATATATATATATATATATATATATATATAAACAATAAGCAGTCATTTCAAATATTCAGGATAGTTTTATATTAATGAGGGATAGTGGCTAGCAGTGGAACTCAGGACTTGTCAGCTGAATGTACCTGCCTCCCAGTGAGCAGTGTTGTTCCCACTAAGTCTTGAACTTGGGACCAATCGCTTCAATAGCCAGAGGAAGTAACAATATTTAGGATGGTTGTTTAAGTGATGGCGGAAACTAGTCAATAACCTAAAATATGCATTATGAAGTTGAGATTTAAGATGAAAAGGTACATCATCTTTTAAACAATTTCAAGCAAGTAGTGCAGTTTAAACTTAGTCTAATGCTGACATAATAGGTGGAATCTTGAAACTACACCTAGGGTAGGAGAATCCACTTTGGTAGTCATGCAAAAATTAAAGACTTCATAAATAATATAGGAGTAAAACATGGGCATTGTGGTAGATTATAATCCCATTTTTGTCCGTTTGTTAGATGTCACATAGTAAAACAGTGTTATCTTACTGGATAACGTTTCGGACACAATTTATTGCCCATAGTCAGACCAAAATAACTCCACAATTTTGAGACATGATAAATGTAATTCTAATTCTCTCTCATTCTTTATGATGAGGATACTAGGATTTTTCATACGTCTGAAACAGGTGAGAATCATTTCTATTGCATGTATTTTGGGTTTATTCGATAAACAAAGATCCGGTTACCAATCGCCTCCTATATCCAAGTAAGTTAGCTTTTAATACTATCGATCTTTCCCACCCTGCTGTGATTATGTGCGAGTGAGAGAATTCAAAACCTCTACTGTGCTACAACACATAGAACATAACTCGGAAGTGCTACGAAGATCTCTCAATAAGACTGAGATTAGACCAACATTTAAACCTACAAATTCACTTGGAAACAAGGTTTGTAGGGTTAAAGGTCCTATTGATCTAACTATGTAAAGTAATTTAGTTTACTAAATCTCTTGGAATGATTGTGAGGCCAAGTGCAAAGATCAGAGTAATCGACCAGAGTCAATTAGGTTCAAAAAAATTTACAATTATATGTGTGAGTATTAAAAATGGTATCAAGTTACGTATTGTACAACAGTATGACCAACAGCTGATTGTATAGAAAGCCTTTAAGGCTTGTGACAAAGAAAATGATACGCACTCAGAAAACTCGACCACAGTTTATTGAACTGTAGGAGTGAAGTTCACTCCAGCCATTTCAATACATCTTAAACGTACACATTAAATATAAGAGGTGAATCATAATCTCATTTGAGGAAAGATAAGTAGTAGATGATCTTGATGTTGTGACTCAACAATAAGTGAATCTGATTCTAATCTATTTTTCACAAGAATAAACCATATTCCATCTATTTTGGTTCCAGAAAGTATCCTAATTTCTCAAACAAAAACACAATACAATACATGTGTATGGTAAGCTGCTCCTATCACATTTTTTATCAGTAGAACATCATTTATATCATAAAAATTCTACTCACCTAAAAGGTCTGGTAAGTTGTTGTGGCTTTTCATCATCTGGTTCCATATCACAAGAACGATTAAGACTATAATTTAGAAAAGTAGGATTAGTGGAAAACAACAACAACAACAAAGCCTGGGCTACATATGTTTGAGTCACAGAAAAAAATTACTTTTTATATATACACATACAGCAAACATTCAAGTACAGTAAATTATCTGTATTATGATAGTAGGTGAAATGAAAATTTGGGCCACGGCAGGATTTAAACCAGCTCTATATATCCGGTGGTCGCTGGTTCGAATCAAGTCGCGGTCCAGATCTTCATCTCACCTTCAGTCATCACCCAGTATAAAATACTAGTCTGCCAAACTACGTCTATCTTAGATAGTCAAATGATAGTAAATTATTTCGCATACTGTGAGTTTGGTAAGATCAAGGTTATAACCAAACGAAATGTCTTTTGTATCCACATTTATTGCGTATTACGCGGTGAATAGTTCATGCAAAAGTAGAACTTTGACCGTATGGTAGAGTATATTTCTATGTCAGTTTTTTTCATGCGGCGTAGCGATACAGTGATAATGCCTTGATATGGCGATAAGTGGTGTACTACATGTTAAACACAATCCAGTGGATAATACAGTATCATTATGCGCTATAACAAATAATCAAACTAATATAGTAATCAGTTAGGTTCCGTGCTTGATATCACTTAATGAAATGGAGTATTTTTAACTTTGAACATAAGTTAATTGCCAGTTAACATTCACTAAGCAAGGGATATTGGCAATCTTGTGTAAAGTCATGTTTTGCTGGAGATTAGCAAGGAAGTTCTGAAGTTCTAAAGTCAGACTTTACTACTAAGCTAGTTAATTTACAACCAGTCCCTTTAGGGACTGGATAAATACATGAATAAACCTCTAGCTGATAACCAATCCACATGTAAAGTCCCAAATGCTGACTTAAGTCGGCTGATCAAGAGTATACTAAAGTCACTAAAATACAATGCATTTTAATTGATGTTGCATACTTTTTCAAAACCCGAAAGGACAAGATTAGATGAACAAGTGGTAACTGTATAACATAAAATACAGTGTTCTGCAATATAAAATAATTTAGTTCAGCGACTGAATTACACAATAAAAACTATTCAACTTTAGGGATTATAAAATAAGATGAGGCTTCAGCGGATAATATTAAATGACCTGACAGCAAAGTTTCTTAATCAACAGAGTCAGTAAAACAGATCCCATAAAAAGAGTTTCAGTCTTTTAGAAGATGAAATGATGCAAAAACCGACCAAATATAAGAATGCAATTTCTTTTTCAGTTGACGGCGTAAGCGGCCAGAAAGTGTCGACTACCCTCACAACTTTGAAGTTCCAAATGAACAGTCAATATGAGATCACAACGATATTAGATCTCTGGAAATTTTTTAATCGGTGGATGAGTCAACTTTGTATGAATCCTGTGCCAAAATAATCAAAAGCCTTTCATGTCTATATTTCGTTGCAGTATCAAGTAACTACACTACTTCACAGTCCAGTCAGATTGATGCTCACCTCAAACTTACTAGCCATTTCAAATTATAACGATTTCATTTACTCTTAGGAATGTTAACCTCTAAAGAAACGCCTTTTTATCAAGACTTCAAAACTTTCAGTGTTAATGAGTTTTCAAGTTTTCTGGATGATATAAGTTTGTAGTGAAATGTAATAACTACTTCATAAATTTACTCCTCAGAAAGGTTAATATTAATTAATTAAAGAGAGCTGAGTCAAATAATAAGGGCTTGCATAAAAGTACTCTTATTGTTGTCCGTATTCCTCACTAGGTTTATATTTATCAGGATTTTAACAGGCTGAAGTGTGGTCCATCGACCCAGGCACTTTTCAGCCGAATCGAGATACACTGAGTAACCTTATGCACACTCGTGTTGTAGATAATGAGCCACACGTAGTGTGTGAGGGTTAATGATACTGTTTGATTGCCCAAAACCTGGTAGGTGGTGTAGTGCTCAAACCCATGACCCGTCAGTTAGAAGTCAAGTTCCTAGAGAAAAATAAGCCGCAACTCCATAGCTTTCAGGCAAAAAATACCAGGTTCAAACCCATCTCTATATACTTCTACTTGAGTTGCTAAGCCGTATCATGAGTGCTTGCGTGTAAAGCATGCTCCAAGGTTCGGTGCATTAACCTGTACTGGGTTGCTGAGTTGTACATGAGACAGTTTTCATCATAAATCAACTCAAAAATATTCGGATTACTAGACGCTGTTTTTCCCAGCTAGAAACCCTTATCTGATTTCAATTCATGATGGAAAATATTCTTAAATAAATTATTCAGTGGTTCGGTAGCATATATGCGAATGAATTCACTACATACAATGAACGTCCTGAGTAGCTTATAAGTCTCTTCGCTTGATAAGAAACAAACTATACTGAAATGGCATTTTGATACTCCATAAGATTTAACAACAGACAGTCAGTCACAAGCAATAAAATCAAAGACTACACTATACCCGTCCCAGAAGAAGTGACTATTTTGACTCAGTGGCTTAGTGAAGAACGCCCTGACGTTTCAAGGGATTGGTGGTACTGAGTACGAATCTTAGTGAGAAATAATCACTTACTCGAAGGCCGATATATCCAGCTGACGAGTTCCCATTAGGACGAAACAAGCATCCTTGACTGCATTGCTAGCCACTATCCCATCAATAATATCATAAGATTTAATGTTTATTTGTTTCTCACTAAGAGTCATTCCGAAGTTAGCAATGGTCAGTTCATCACACAACATGATAATATTACGATAGATATCCAGTTATAATTAAACAATAAAGTTTAACGCTTACGCTTCACTTTCCGTAATCAAAGGATACGACTGAAACCATAAATCAAAATCTGGTTCAGATTTAAGTGCATATAACTGAGCATTCTGTTGTAGGAGGAAAAGATTGGCCAAGATCTTGAATTCTCGTCTATGTTTGTCAAGGTTGATCAGTTTGTCATCACCATTATCAGTAGTAGAATGACGTCTTGACAGATTATGCAATACTTTCTTCTCGATTACAATACAATAAATTTTATGCAAGAAGAACAAAACAACCCAAAATAATAAGAAAGGCAAAAAAATTACAATTTCATAGATATTAAATTAATTTACGTTGTTAGCTTTAGTGACACAGATGAAATACGAATAATTGTCATCAAAAGTTTAGGAATACTGGACAGTTGTTTCACCTTGCGTTTCAACTTCGAAATGATACAATATGCAGTGAACGCAAAAACTTCTCAACTATTAAACCTTAGGCCGATATTTATCATGGACTTACATCAGTTGGAGAAACACTGGAAATTTGGCAGCACTGGACAGCTGTTTCGTCCTACCTTGAAACTCCTCAGAAGTGTGCACCCATGACTCAGCCAGGGATCTATGATGAACACCAGCCTGAAATCAACAAATAAGTCCTCATAAACCTCCTAATTGAATTAACCTAGTGCTCGCTGGTGACTCGTTTCGCGAGATGATTCCCAAAGTTCCAATGAGAAGTTGTGACCAGAGGGCCCAACCAAGTCAGATATGAGGACGGTTACTCAACAGCGGCATTGTATGGGGATCGCACTATATCGTGCACTCACAGAAGTAAGAAATATGGACAGCTGGATTCCAACCCAGTAGATCAACGGTATCGTGCTGGCCGTGAAACTTGAAGGTCATGGGTGTGCACTGCTGGGAGTCCCAGAATAAGACGAATCAGCTGCAATTATTTGTACCCTTTTCATTGCATATGGCATAAATTTCATCAAAAAGGCTGAAAGTTTATTCAGTTTATAGATATGATTGAGATATATTGGAGCTGTGATTTCTAGCAGAATAAGATGCATCATTTTAAAGAAACCTGCAGTTGCATCTTATCTAAAAAAAGAAACATAATTAGATGGCGATACTCCTACCATTTTCAAGAACATAACGACATGCGAGAGGTACATCGAGTTTTTGAAAAGTGATTGTTAAGTGTGCATTTAAATGATGATGAAGTAACTGAAACAGCTTCTTCACAAGGACTTGAGATAAATGTAGCTGTTTGATAATATAATATTCAGATAGTTGAAGAAGAAACTGTGTTCAGTGATGCAAAGTTAACAATGAATAATAAGATACTGCAAGCAGCTTAATATCGAAGCTATATTCTCCCAGTTTATATAACTATTAATTCATCGCAAATGCTGACTAGGAAAAGCACAAGCAACAATGTTAAATATCTATATGACCAAGTGAACTTTGTACAGATTGATAATGTTTTCATTGATTTCTGCAAAATATACAGTATACACACTTCAGTTCTCATATACACTAGTCACATAAAAAGAATATAAATACTTTGTTGTACGATTAATTATCAGCAGAGGTGTAATTAAACTAGTGATATGCTCATCATTCTACTATTTTCTGGATTGTATCCAGCTAACTAAACTCTTTATTTTGTTTTTATTATTCAAGAATGCATACAGACCAAAAAAAGGCTAAATAAGGAAACTAGTGTGCTACAAAAAAGATCGAATAGCTCTTCTAGAACTAATGAACCTGAACTGCAAATTTTAGATGAGAAGCGAAGACTCACTCATTCTCTTTAGTTTTTCAGTACTTTACGCAATGCTGGTGTAAGTGTTACTACAAAAATCTAGTTGCATGGTTGATATAATCTAGTTTCCTTAAATTTTCCATCAAGACTGATGCAGTTATAGCAAGAATTGTGATGAATGCATAGTCCCCATAAATTTCTCAATGGCTACATTGGGGGATCATAACGCGCTCAGTTACTTTGTGCATATTCATACAGCAGGCAGTGAGCCACACCTATTGTACGAGGGATGATGATACTACCTGGCTGGTCAAACCTCGGTAGGTGAAGTGGGGGTTCTAACCTGTAACCCACTGGTTGATAGTCATCTCTTAAGACCCCTGAGACGCCGCTCCACATTCAGGGACAAACAAATGTTATTTTGGATTATTAGCAAATAACACGTTGATGATATATCTAACGATAAACATAGTACCGTATGATTTAAAGAAATTAGGTCGGACACCTAAAACTTCAAAATGTTTAGTCAATTTCTATAAATTGTGTCATATTCCCAGACTGCCTATAATACACCTGACTGTTATTGAATGCTGACATCAAATATAAGGTTGTTCAAAAATATTTCATAATGAAGAAATTGACAGATCGACTTCATTCAGAATACAACTTTTTTATCACACGAATACACTAAAAGGTGCATTTATCGGTCACTGGAGGGTAACTGGTTCCATGTTGTCTTGTCTCAAGTTAACTGACAAAATTAAGATCCTTGGACCATGTTAGTTTCCAAGGGTTACATAACTCAATTATGAACCTCATATGCAAGGATAATGTATTAGAAATGATGTGTAGAGTTGCATATAATTAGAACATTATGGTAATGCAAGACGGTTTTATACAAAAAGCTTTGAGTTTACGATCAGTTCAACACAAATCGTAATCTTTCGAAAAGTCTACTGCTTAATCGATAAACTTCAAATGGAAACATGTAGAAAAAAAACCAGGATTTTTTCTCATTGTTAAATAAGTAAAGAATTGAAATGAAATTGAAAACACTATAGGCCTAAACCAGAACACAATCCCTCAGTCACCAGTAAAGTTACCACCCCTTAATAAAACACTAAATTTAAAACAATTAGTTCCCGTTATAAACTTCGACAAAACAATAAGATGTAAATTGTTTGAACATGGACAGGGCAGTATTTGAACTATCATAGCTTTTGTCCAGTTCAGTACAAACGAGCATTAGTTACGTGCTTATTCAGTAGAATTTAACGAATATGCACAGAGGAGAAGAAGGAAGAAGAATACTGACTGAAATATTGTTGGAAAATAACTATTCGTCAAAATTTATTAGGCAGCACAAAGTAATCAGAGCGCCAAAACCTGATCTTCAGTTTTATCCCAAAGAAAGATGTCTTCATCAGTCTTCCATACAAAGGTGAATCTCATAGTGCAGTCCTTAAGCAGAGACTTAACGCTGCTGCAGCCAAGGTTCGACTAATAGAAACCATTAAGACCGTATATTCCCCCAAACCCCCACAGCATGTGAATGACGTCACATACCATTGTATCTATCTATTCAAATGTACGTGTGGTGACACATGCATAGGGAGGACTCATAAACCCATCTAAGTAAGGGCCTCGGAACATATTCCAAAGTGGCTTCAGAAGCAGATAAAATAACCTGAACCCATAAACGTTGGTAGCAGACGTTCAAGTTCTTCGATCATCAAACATATCGTTGAGACAGGTCACAGGTCACATATTTACAAAACGTGTTGGAGACGGATTTCTAAATTTGTTGAGACCTTAGCTATTAGGAAGTTCAAACCATCTTTGTGTGTTTATAAACAATTTGTTATCACGTTAAATCTTCCTTGGTAGATTCAACTATGAAAATCAAGTTCGATTTACTGTAATTTTCGCTCTATTGATTTTCATTGTTGTTCGGCCTTTAATTCAGACCTTCTACTTGACCTCTTTCATTTTCTCACCCCTTATCTTCATGAATTTTCATATAAATACCTATGACAAGTACTTGTGTGGTCAGATGGTTCGAAATGTGTTGCGCAAATACATTACACGGTTTAGACAATTTACGTCTTCTTGTTGCTTTATCGAAAATACAAAATATCCAAGCTTAGTTGAGAATTGCTACAAAAAATTGTGTAGGTAGGTTCGATAAAGACGTTTCTACTAAACTTTGAGTAACACTTATTGTTGCACAGGCTGAAGTGTATGGACCCAGTTTGAATCTGTGTATTGTTAACTGAAAGTGAAGCCCTTACGCCGATGAGCCAAAGCTGCTGGCCGCTGAACCACCGGTTTATATATACATACATAACATAGCCTTATTAAAATTGATTAAAATAAAATACATAAATAATCACATGAATAGTCATATTGCTAACAAAGATACAGTAAAACAGAGAAACAAGAAAATATCAAAGATAAAAATCTTTTATTAGAAAAAAGGATATTAAGAGTACCATTATTTTCTCATTTTACCACTAGTCATATGATTGGTTCTGTCATCAATTACAACTATTACTATTATTATCATTATTTAAAAAGTAATAAACGAGGTGATCAGAACAACCTTCAACTTTTTAAAATTGGTTCATTCCAAAACAATATCACTACTCCTTTAATTATATACACCAAACGACAGTGTAGTTAACAGCTAATTAAATCATAGAGAAATTTACTGTTCGCTATCAGTAGAACAAATCATTGGTTGTTCGACTTTTTAGAACAGAAACTAGTAACAAGTGTTCGACTTCAATGTAATGTCTATTAAGTATGCTGATCTTATCAAAGTCGAGCTATTAATATCACATCTATTTAACAAATTTAAAACAAAGTCATTATTCAATCTGGAGGTTTGTGGAGATTTATTAATTGACTTCAGCTTGGAATTCATCACGGACTGGCATCAGTTGGAGGAGCGTTGGAAACGCAGGAGCACTGGACAGCTGTTTCGTCCTATTTCGGGACTCTTCAATATTGTAAGAAGCGTTATTGGCTGATTTTAGAGAAGGGTTTTTAAAACTGAACTTAGAATTACACTTTTGAATACTAAATAATGGTCATTCATGAGATCTAGATAAAAATCAAATATCAAATTGTTTCCTTTCAGTTTGTTTTAATCTTTCAAATGTGTCATCCAAACGTGTCACGTAGGTTTAGGGATTTTTAAAATGTTCTTAACTAGTCTCTCTTTGAATTAATAACAAAAGGAAGGGGAGATAACATATCAGACGGAAATGAACTTTTGAATGGGCATCATATTTCCATTTCTCAGATAACTATCTCGAATGTCACTTTTTTTTCACTGACTGAATAAATCACCACCATTAAACACCGGACGTTAATCCAACATCAACTGGCTGTTTCACATTATTGTCTTTAATGCTGTTATTATAAACATTATTCAGATGCAATCATTATTTTGTTTGGAAATATTATTTTTGAAGTGAACTTGTTAAAATATTACATGCTGAAAATTATTTCATATTGTATTAAACATTGTTTAGAATAAAGCTATCATTGTAGAAATATTATTATGAAAAAAACTAATTCATTAAAAAATATTTAGTTCTATATTAAATGTTAGTAGGTTAGGCTATTTCCATTAAAATTTGAACCTGATAACCGTTGCTACAAACGTCAGACTATAGGGTTGTTATCATGACCAGCACCTTTACAAAAAACATTTGTTGTCGTTATTTAAGCTTATCGTACTTTGCATCACGAAGAAGCACGAAACATGGACTCTTGATTTCATTGTTAGCCATGAAAAATATGTTCTCAAAGACAATATTAAGGCGTCTTTGCAAGAAAGCCATTAGTCAACAGTTTTGATTATTTTCTACTGAAGCTTTATGAAACTTAAACATTCCCATTAAGTCATAAAAGAAGGAAGATTTCAGCTAAGAAATTTGTTTCAAGTGGGCATTCATTACATACTGACATCAGTTGGAAATATATTGAAGACCTGAGAGTACTGGACAGCTATTTGTTCTTAGTATGGGACTCCTCAGCAGTGTGTACCCACAACTTTAACGGGGATCGAGCCCAGGACCTTCAGATTTCACGGTAGGGACGTTACCACTGAGATATTAGGTTGGATTCCAGTGGTCCATATTTTCCTGCTTCTGTCAATTTGCAATATGCCTCAACCTTCATCCAACGCCATCCTTGAGTATTTGTCGTCACGTCTAACTTGGTTTGCCCCGTCAGTCACGACCGAGGTGGGGGATGTGGACCATAGTAACGTGCTCACTGTGCAATCTGAAGGCCCTGGGTTCGAACTTTGGTGAAGTCATGGGTGCGCTTTGTCGAGAAGTCCCCAACTAGGAAGAAATAGCTATCCAGTGCTTCCAGGTTTTTCAATGGTTCTCCAACTGGTGCCAGTTCGTAAATACCCACTTGAAATCAATAAATCCTCAAAAACGTCTAAATTGAAATTTGGTTTCTGTGATGTAGCCCTCTTCAGCTTAGCAATCATTTTCAAATATAATTTGGGCATATTTGCTAACGAAAAATGTTAACATTTGTTAATCGGTGATTCTTAGCAGGTTGTACTCAGGATAACATAAGAACTGAAATTACGTAAGGAACGTGAAAGTATTTGACGCTGTGAGTTAAAATCACGAATTAAAGAATTTGTAACAGCGTGAGTAGACAGTTGTCAGTGAGGAAGGTAATGAGAATATATATATATATATATATATATATATATATATATATATATATATATATATATATACGATGTACACGTAGATTTAGTCGAAAAGATACAGTTTTAACCGTGAATATGTTAAGAAACTATCATACTCTGATGGGAATTGTCTACGCTACACTTTAATGGAGAAAATTACAATTAGTTGATAGATGAATAAATAGCTAATTCGAGGTACAATTTAGAAGAAATACTCTCTTTGTAGTTTAAAATTTCTGTGTACTTCTCGATTATTTATTAGTAAATAAACGTGTATCAAATGTAGTAAACTATTATCGTAAATCATTGTGATATCACTGCATTATGAAGTAGTGAGTGAACAGATCACGTGTTTAAACTAACAGAAAATTTCTTGGCTAGCGCAAGTTACATTTTGAAACGAATATTCGCGTCACTTAATGGAAGCTTAACATACAATCAATATTCATTTCACCTAGTCATCGATAGTTCTATAACCTGATCATCTTTTATTTCGATTGAAGTAAAAACAACATATATTACAGATTCTGTAAAAAAATCTTGTTAATTTTCATCATGTTTGGGGACAAAATAGTTTGATTCTAATAAAATACGATTTAGGGAGTTGGTTCTCATTCAGAAAGATTAACAAATCAAAGTAATCTGAATAGTTGGAAGTCTCTTAACTTGAATAAAAACAGCTTACCTTAACATTTACATTTGACTGAAGACTGCAGTTATGATCACTGGAGACTGATGTTGTAGGCGAAGAAAAAATTATACTAGGTGATGTATTTTTCAATAAATTGAACGACTGTTTGGTATTATTATTCACATTATTGTATGGCTGAGGTGATAATAGATTAGGTGTACTTTGTGCGAAATTAAAAAGTTGCTGCGGTACACTTAATAGTCGATTATCCTGATTTCTCTCTGTTTGAATTGAAGAGATATCATTGTTTGGTGAACTGACTAGTGACGAAATATTATCACTATTACTATTGATATAGTTCCCAGCTTTGCCTTTATTTGATAAGTATTTGGATCGACTCACATAATCCGGTGATGAATGATGCAGTAGTGTTAAGTCACTAAGAAATACACCCAGATATGGTATTACTCCCTTCAAATAGGAGGAATGATTCAACTGAAAGTATAAGGAGAAGGAGACTGAGTAATGCCAAATTCAAACATACAAACATATATGAGTTATACTTAATGAGAAAAGATAACCATCACGGAATAGATGCAAAGATTAAGCAGGTTGGAACGTTTGCGTCTGAGAAAATGTACACCAAAATCTTAGACCGCCTAACTCACTTCGAAAACTGGTGGTGGTGGAATGTGTCGACCACTTCACTTATTTGGGGTGTTACATCAGCTCAAACAGGTTCATTGATGATAAAATCTCAGATCTGATCCAGAAGGCCCGTTCGGGATTCGCCTACTCGCATTATCTGTGGTGTCTACTGGCGAGTTATCCGACTACATATCAAACGAAAAAGACATGAGGCAGTTACAGAGTTTTGATCATGGGTATTTTCGCAGCATTGTTCGCATTTGGTGGAATCACCGTGTGTGCAATGTTGGGATCAGGTGAAGGGTACTAGGCAATATAGGCAAGTAGATTGATGAGGCTGTGAACCATCTTCAACTGAGATACCTTAGAAATGTGTTGCGCATGCCCAGCCACCACCTACCTCTATGTGACATGCTAGTTGAAGTTGGATTAGATTGGAAGAAGGCTCAGGGTGGCTAGACCAAGAAGTGGCACAGATCCATGAAGTCTCTCTCTGTTAGTCAGAGCCGTATTGGGAGATGTAGACTTTCTAGTTGAGGTGCCAGACACGACAGGAATCAGTGATTGAGGAGTCTTGGTGATATGGTTGGAAAACAGTCACAATGGCGCAGATGTATTTTATTCCTTGACATCTTCTAAAGACTGAATATTTAAACTAACCATTATCTTCAGACTGTTTCCTCTTTCATACAACTTTGTCTACCTTGATATTATTCCTTTTTATCCACTTTTTCTTTGTATATACTACTGTGAAGTGAGACAACTTTAACTGATGTACTAGTGTGCAAAGTTCTACGTTCGTTTTGTCTGCCTTCGAAAAATGAGTAATAGCATAATGAACCAGTGGTTCAGAGCGATATGGTTCTAATTTTTCAACTATGATTAATCGGTAAATAAACAGCAACTCAGGGCAGCTTAGTCAACACCACTAAGCATGTTATGATACACTACAATTCAAATTAATTCAACCGACCTTCGTAAGTAACTGTCACACAGAAAGTTCCAACAAAGAACAAAAACTCCTCAAGTATTTTGCACTTTTTAGTGATTGCTTAACAATTTTTGGCAGCTAATGACTGTTTTCAAAATTTACATTGCATTCGCACCATGTGGAGCAGTTGATTACCGACCGATGGTTAACGGGTTTCAAACCCCGCCTCACCTACCGAGGCTTGGCAACCACGTAGTATCACTAGTCTTCACTAAAGAGGTGTGACTCATCACCTACTGCAGGAATGTCAGTAAAGTTGCTGAATGTGTTTCGCCTCGTTCACTTCCACCCCCAATGTTATTGATTTTGCAAGCGACTACAAGAATTAACCATTGAAAATAAAAAATCTATTTAACGCTGGATACATATTTAGCAAAGAGGTAAATATGTAAACGTAGAATCTAAAGAAAATTTACTATTTCGAATGACTACGTTTTAAGACAACACAGAAACAGGAAGTGTGAGGAAATGAAAAGATATTAAAGAAAATGAGGAAAAAAGGGGGGGGCTAACAACAAGTATGTAGTGATAAAATATCTAGGCTTAAATAAAGAATAGGCAAAAAGTAAAAACACAAATACACTGGCCTTGAGCCATATGTCTGAAGACGAGTTAACACTGATTCCTAGAACCTCCAAGACTAAAAACAGTACTCTGAGTTTAATATCAGCACTGTTCGTTCATTGGCTCTACTATGTGCAGGTGGTACATGGAAGACACTTATAAGTGAATGCCTATCACCTCCTTATATTAAATGCTATCAGTATTTTATAACTATTGATTAGTACAGAATGAGTTACTGTACCATTTACCTATATTCTAATAGTGAGATAGATATTTCGCTAGTACAGCTAGTATATGAGTGTTTGTGATCAGCCAAACCGTTCACGAATAAAGATGATTTATGTGATTGGGGAATAAATGCATATTATATAAATATGTGCGATATTTTCCCTTAAATACAAATTATACAGTCGGCTGCTTGTTCAACATAGGAGAACCGACTTCAGTCGTTTATGATGAGCTGAATAAACATACAGTCGTTTTTGGAGTAAGCAATAATTTAAGCAAAGTATACAGTTATGAACTAAAAAGGAGATTTATTGAATTCCAGATTCAAATACCTTTGTAAGCTATTTGTCCGGAATATTCAGTACTGTCAATGAACAATAAGTCTGACTGAACACATAAGTTTATACTTCATAAGTTTACAAAGAAAATTCATGAGTGTTTTTCCAAACTTCATGTTGCATACATTAATTTAAATATGCTTGTGAAACAAATTACATGGGATGTACGATTGGACAGGTGCATCTCCGAATATGAGAATACTTACTGACTTGGTAAGGGAAAGGTGAAGTGAAAGTGATGAATAGTTCTGTTCTAGTGCACTTAGTAAACACAAGGCATCAGATAGATGCTTATAAAGCTTTTAATGTCAAATAACATATGCTAAAAACAATACTATACGCAGCTCACCATAGCTGTGGTTGTCTCGATAAGGGTGATCGAATCTGGGCTTTACATTCGGGCGTTATTCTTCCCTTCACCTTCAGTAAACCAAGGATCACTTCCCTCTTCCTTATCCGTTGTCTTTTCTTTTGTCATCACATTCTTCATCCGTATATGCATCATCTTAATACTGACAAATATAAACAGAGAAATCGATTTCCTTACAGTCCCTAAATCTTATTTCACTTTGAAAATGTATTCGTCTCAAAATTAGCTTGTTTTCATACTGTACAATTGCACACCCTGATGAGAAATTATTGAAAAGAATATTCTTCGTTCAGAATATATCTTCAAGTCCACTGAGTACAAACTATTTGGAAATGGAAATGACTGATAATGTACCACACTCAAAATTTATTGAAACTCTCTTGTAGATCTAACTGTTGAAAAACTGTACTTATGAAAGGTTTTATACAATGCTCTTTTAAGTTGACGAAGCAGTTATACAAACGAGGGAACTAATTGCGTAACCACATAACTTGTTTGTTTTACGATTCTCAGACATAATCGAAAGGTTCACTCAATGTCATTTATATATATATATATATATATATATATATATATATATATATATATATATATATCACGGAAAGGCGTCAATAATATGAAAGTCAGTTACTTACTATCGATAAATTTTCAGTATTTCTGTTGTCACCTTCTTCTGAAATTATTTCATATTGTGGAATATGACCAGGTTTGTTTACACCCCCCTGATAAAAGAAGAACAAGAACAAACACAGATTTTACGGTAACAGTCTGATGTGAGGCGAAAATTCTTCAGATTAGGTAGCTGCACACAAGTACGAATAAAGTGCTTTTAGATAACCTGTGACAGAATACTTATTAAAGTGAGATAACCAGTGAAAAAATTTGTAGGTTTTAATGAATAAAAGCTATAATACTACAAAAAATAGTGTAACCCAACGATCACGTGCAGATGCATACATCGCACGATGGATTACATATATTGTGTGACAGCTTGGGATACTATCTGGTTACTTAAACCTCTTTAGATGAAGCATGATTAGAAGCCATGTTATACTGGTTAAAAGTCAACTGCGTAAACCTGTGAACCATAGACGTATGAGAAGGGTTATACATTGACATAAAAAGATACTTGAAATCTAAATATTTAAAAAGTAATAATGAATTCTGATCTAAATATAAACACACATCTGCATATGAACATATCTGTGTGTATGTTTAGTAACAAGTCAGTAATAATTGTTTATACAAGGTTAGTGTAAAATAATACAATTCACTATGCATATCATGACAACATTTCCATTGTTGATAAAAATAATAATTTAGACTGTGGAAAAAACTGCTTAACAATGAAATAATCCACACTGTACAACAATCATCACTCTTAAACAATAACGATAAGAATAAAGAACAAATAGAAGCCAAGTAGAAGGAAATTTTATTTCAAAAATAATGAATTGTATCAATAGTAAATAAAAGTACACCATCCTTAATTTTAAGAAGATGCGCAAAGGACAAATAAACACAGTGAAGAGGAAAAAATATTCATACACAAAGAGAAGTATGCAGGAACGATTACTACAGAGTTGTGTAACTGTTGCATCGGTAAAGGGTAAAATACGATGACAGTATCAAAAGAATGACTAGAAAATTCAATTATGCAACTTAAAATGTCTTGATGGAAGTTGTACGCTTGTGAGTAGTGGTGTCATACGTTTCGATATACGCTAAGGATAATAATTAAGCGTTGGTTTTCTCATACAATAGTTTCAATGACGATTTAACGTACGTAAAGGAAGTATTGTTGAAGTCAAGCATTACCCCTGTTTAGTAATTTGTTTGTTGATTGCATTGTTCGAAACACTCGCATCCAATATTAAACAGACTTTATTACCTAACAACGCGGAATACCTCTATATCCGCTTCGGATGCCTTTTTAGGTTTTACTCCAGATTTCGACTCAGCTCCTTGTTCCAATTCAGATCACCGTCTGTTTGGACGCTATCGTCTCTAAAACCTAAGAGGTCAGTTCACTCACTGAGCAAAAAAGACGTTCAGCAACGCAACCACATGAAAACGAACACTCCTGCCAGAGCGCTTTGTTAACGCTCCCTCAAAACTGATCAGTGAGTCCCTCCATCTTAAATATTAAACTTCAACGCATCCACATTCACCGGGTAATCGGCTCGTTGGCCGCACTCACCTCCCCGTGGGCAGATGTGCGTGGCAGCCGTCTCACTGATTATCTACAATCTTGCAGAAGGCGATACAGCACATATCCTTGAGAACCAAAATACTTCCTCTTACCAAAATTTCACACTCGGAGGCATGCTCTCAAGCTACCTAACAAACAAATAGCTATAGGCTACAGAGAAACGAATACCAGTATTCCAGACCAAATACCACCCGACATTCGCAAGGTAAACTACAACATTTCTCTTAGGATTGTTTCAACAACAGCGACTACTGAAATTAGGAAGCTGGACTCCCCTACGTTTTATTAGCGCACTGCTCCAAGAGCAGTGGGTGTAATCCTGACGACCAGATGACCTTGTCTGTGCTTTGGAGATCTGCACTTCTGATCAGTTCATATGGATCTTGTCGACCGATATTACCATTAAATTAATTATGATGGTGTATTGGTTCAAATACGGCGGGGTCACAAGGAAGCTCATTTTCGTTGCGTAAATAGGGTCGACCAGTAACTTCATGTGCACATGTCATCATCTTCGGCTTTTTGGCAAGCAGCTAAGACACCCACATTACCTTACTACGCCATGAACAGCTTCTTCACACTGACATCCTCGCACGTAACTATGGCGAGGCATTTGACTACCTCAAGAAAGTCATAGTTACCACGTTTACCACTTAACGAGGAATACTGCTATACCTACTTAGTAGTCCAAACAATGATAATATGAACTTAGCTTTCAAATACACATTAATCACGTTATGTTTTTAAAAATGAAAATGAATATCTGGAAATTTTTTCCATTAACATTGAAGATGAAGGAAATTTAAGAAGTTTGAATTATCAATTGAAACCACGTCCTTTCCGTAATGTTTCCTTCAATATGTTACTACTTCTATTATTTCTGCTTAAATCCCCTTTACTGCGACAAGTAATGCACCTGCGATATGCTATCACAGGTTAAAGTGATAGCTTAGAAAATGGATACTGAACAATAGGTCTTCTGGTAAACATAACAATCATATTAAGAAGTAAGCTTTAAATTAATTGTTAGGGATATCTGATCTGTACAAAAACTATTTTCATTGTAAAGTGTAAACCGCACTTTTCTTCCATGCAATGCTACTTATTTTAACCGTGATTTAAGGTACTAAAGGTTAATTGGTCCATTTTATAGTTTATTATACTTGTTTATTTTCTCTGATCTAGGCCTTTAGAAAATTATATAAACGACTGAACTTTCAGCAATATAATCGTACTATTCAGTTGAAGCAAATATACTTTCAATATATATATATATATATATATATATATATATATATATATATATATATATATATATAGTAACAAATATAGACTGGATACTTATAATATCTACAATAGTCTACGGCATTGTTGTGTCTGAATATTTTATTACCATACAGAGGGTAGAATGAACTTTATTTCAACCCCGAAACACTGTCAATCAAAAGGTGAGCGAGATAAACAAATAAAACAGTACGATAATGAATTAAAACAAAGATAAGCTTTAATGCATGCTCAATCAATCAGTTACAGCACAATGATCGAAGCAATAATCCACTTCTAAAAACTAAAACTACTATCTTTTTTAGATTAAGCAGTAATATGAACTAATAACCAAGCGAAAAAGAAGTAGAGAAGACTGGAAATGAAAGCTAAGCTAATCATTTAAACATCTGTCTCGGCACTGATATTATTATTCGAAGGCATAGTAGCTGTGTTTAGCTGTACTAGTATTATTACTGTCTTTAAATGAGACTGAATATTGGTCACCATGTGGTAGTATATGAATAATCCAGAACAAATACACCCAAAACCAAGTTCAGATTCTAAAGTTAGTCAATACGAATCTTGAACCTGGCAATATTGCGTAACAGTTCAAATTGCCACACCTCGCATCATGATATCAAGATAGAAGAAACCAAGGTGAAATAAAGAAAGTATTCAAAGGTAGCAACAAGTTATAAAACGAAGAAGAAGGGATAGAACAATAACGAAATTCCATAGAGCGATTAAGATGAAGATACTGTGGATGCCTTTGTGTCACTGAGATGAGTAATATCAGTTATAGTCTCTAATCGCCTATTTCAGCTGTTATATGGACTTCAACCAGGAAGTCCACGCATGGAACTTGACGTTATGTTGAAAATATGCATACAATTTATGAATTTGGATGCGTTGGTTGCATTTATGTCTTTACTTATCATAGTGAAAAGCCTACCAGTTTAAAATGTGTTGTTGGAAAACTTTACAACAAACCTATGCAGCAACAAAGTAAAATATTAAAATGACTTAAGAAGGAATTGAAAATAAGTTTTTTTCGACGACCATCTAACTTTCTAGATACCAAAAAAGGTTGATTAGTTTACTTGTTGCTTATAAGAATACATCTTCTTGCTAACTAATTACACGAGGTGACTAATGTTCTTATTACTTTAACAAACTAAAGTAAATCGAGAGTTCAAAGCAAACTAGACTCTTAAGTCGATGTTTTTCGAGACTTGACAGACAGGGAAACAGTTCGCACCAGAAGTTTGAAAAACAAAAGGAATTAGGAAGCACTGGTTAACATTATCTTTTCGGTTGATGATTCGTAACACTAGAAATCCGATCACTCAGAAACAGAACCTATAACCTTGACTATTATCAAAGCTACTGATTTCATTTACAGCATAGACTGAGAGTGCATATATTTGTTGGCAGTGAACAGAATATAAGAAAATTGGCCACGGTACACCAACAGACTATCAGGCTTTTATACAGTACGCAAGTTTGCTTAAATACAAGGTGAAAGTAAATCTAATAAAACTGTTCTGTGTAGTTTTTTTGATTAGTGGAGTAATAAATACTCCCACATAATCAATAAAATTACCTCTTTGATTGAGTCAAGTGGACTCATATTAATTTATTCATAAAACCAACTGTTTCAACCACAAGATTCATATATCAGCCTCATTTTATTAACTGTGAATTATCGCATACACATTTACAAATGAACATATTCTGAGAAGGAAGTTGTTGCAAACAGTTATCTCCCTATCACTCCCTATTAAACTCAATTACATTTTATTTGAGAACAAGTGGAATCAAATTAAGCCCCGTGTGTAAAGTACCCCCATTTGAAGCCAAATGGTTGCAGGTCCAAAGATTATTTCATCTATATACATTTGATGCCTTAGTATGTGAATGAAAACATAGTTGCTGAGTAATTAGATGAGGCTAAATCTTGTACATAGGGTAGTGAATGAAACAAATTAGTGTGCAGTACTAGGAAATTAGTGATCATGATTGTCATATCACTCATTACAAGGATAACAAAAAACATCTGATAACAATTAGAGGTTAGTATTCATCATGGACTGACGCCAATTAGTGCACACCCATGACCTCACAAGGGGTTGGACCCAGGACCTTCAGGTTCCGAGGCCAGCATATTACCATTGAGCCAATGAGTTAGAATCCGGTGGTCCATATTTTCTACTTCTGTCAGTTCGCAATATAGTGCGACCTCTATCGAACACCATCATTGAGTAACTGTTCTCATGTTCAACTTGGTTTGCCCCACCGATCACGGCTTCTCTTTGGAACTTCGAGAATCCTCTCTCGAAGCTAATCACCAATGAGCATATTTTACACTGAATAGATATTTGATAAACTGGAAACCAGTAGATAACTAGGTAGTAAAGTGTCTTCTTATGAACTTCTAGTAACGATTTTTTTAAAGGTTGGGTCAGTTTAAGTATGCACTTTAGTGAACAGATGAAAATGAATAACACATCAGCCTGCTTCATGTTTTATCATATGTAACAAATAGGAGTGAACTGATCGTTACATTGGTTGGCAACAGAAGATCGAAAACACCTAATCGATAGACTACTGCATAAACTATCAGTCGGAATATCTATAATTATATTATTCATAATCATTTAAAGAGACGCGAACATGACACCGTCTTGCTACATATATATATATATATATATATATATATATATATATATCGGTGTGGCTGTTGTTGAGAAGCTGAAACACAACTACATCTCTCCAAAATACCAGGTTACGAGATGGACTTGACCTTTGGTGCCTGGCCTTACGGTATATTATTTTCTTGTTATGAAGCATTACCTTTACTTCCTCGTTAGATTTCAAAAGGTGTTTCTAGTAGGAAAAATTACTAGGATAACTATTTTTCAGTTTCTTTGACTTGTATTCTATACATTCGTAATAACGAGTTAATTTGAGCATATAGTTAAAATGGTTGACTAACTTCACACCCAGATGCATGAACGTTTTGGTAAACTCCCATTGCTCATCATGAAGGGTGAACATAGACTTATGCTGCTGCTCCTTTCATGAAGGTATTCCACAATTCTATCTTGAAAACAAAGCATGTTACACCTAACTAATGAAGTAAGATGTAGTCAGTATATATGTTGACCCACAGTAGGAAAAGACGTTTTGAGTAAGAGACTAACGCTACAACCACTAATAACATCAACTTCTAGAGTGTCTTCAGAATAACAGTATGATATGAAAACTGACAATAGAGATTGCAAGTAATCATCTGTTTAGGTATGAACTTCTCAAACTTACTAAATTATCTTTCATAACATCCTAGTCTTGTGTGGATCCCCTAATGTTGCAAAACAAAATAATGTAACTTAAAAGAATGTTCTTTAAAACTTACGCATATAGGATTTGGATTATTCAGCTTCAAGTACCAGTACATTTTTTTCGCACACTATATGAAAATTAACGAACACAATAAGTGAACCAACAAGAGAAACTATTTAAAATGAAATGATTCATTTGACTAAACAAACACAAACATGGATAGAAAAGTCTATTTAAAGATGATAGTAAAATAATTTTCTAATTAGGCGTTAGATGTTATATGTCAGTCAACAAGAAACTCTGGACCTAGGTTTTATGCTTGTTGACAATTACCAGAAACTCACAGGAGACGGGTTCCCTTAAATGTTCATTTTAATCAGCAGCAATATTTAGCGAAAGTCGGCAATGGTTGAAAAATCACAGCAAAACTGATATGAGTTTCATTTGAGGGGTTTATTAAGGCAATAAAAAAGACATAAGATAAAGAAAGAAGAGAAATAGGAATAAATCTGTGTGGTACTACAGTTTAAACAGAGAGAAAGAATGTGAATACATCTGTGTCATTTACATCGATTTTGAGTCATATCGTTCGGAGTATCCAACTATAGGTTTTCGGTTTTCCAACCCGACCACACCAAAAGAAGTTACATCCCCCAACACGTTAAACTAAGAGACCGGGAAAAGTAAACGCATTACATCAACCACTAACAAAATGTTGTTATACACCATGAGAACTAACATTCATACAAAGAAATCTTAGCTCAAAAAATAAGCAGTGGGCTCACAACAAGTCAACCAATACTTGATAGTAAAGGTACCAAGTCTACTGAACTACGACGATGATTAAGATTTTAGTAAAGTATAAAAGTGATGACTATACTTTCTTAAAGCTACTGTTCCAAGTTTCCTTTAAATACTAAAAAGAAGACAGTTGAGAAAAATAATGCGAAATTCATACGACTGGTAGAAAATGAAATAGCAGTTAGGGATAGAGACAGAAAAAAATGAAGCACATACATCAAAGGTTTATCTAAAATCAAACCAGTGATTCCCAAAAGTTATACATAAAGATCTTGTTGCTGTCTATGCACAGAATTAAACAGATTAGGTCATAAAAATGGGAAAGTAATACATAAATACCATAATTGTTTGGGTAATTTTCAGTAGTTATTGTAGGGAAGTCACCAGTATTTCTCAGATGACATTGGGTAAGGTCAATCCGTCTGGACAGAACTTCAACTTCAAGTTTAACAGCTGGTTGCGAGTAAGTACGTCTTCATGTGCTTACTAGGTTCTGGGTCACGCGGTTGTTTCTATTGTCCCTATCTTTTAGATTGTACTCACCTGTCGGGGAATCACCGTCTTCCTCTGTTGATAGGATATCAACAAGAGGTCTTGGATACACCGAAAACTGTATTGTCATCATCATCAATATCAACATAGGACCAGGCATTACTGCGTAACGGTCCGAGTTGCCACACTTCATATCAGTACATCAAGTAGAAAGGTAATGAGGTGAAAGATGAAGATAAGAAAATTTAGTCAAAAGAAATATGAAGTACGAGAAGAAAGAAAGGACAAAATGACAAAACGGTGAGAATCCGTATAGTGTTAAGATAATGTGTGTATACATCTGCACCAGTGACATCGGTTCTGAGCCATATCACCTAGAGTCTCTAGCCCCTGGTTCCTCTTGTTTCGCGGACTCCAACCACCTAGTCTGCATCGCACCATATGGCTCAAACCAACAGTCAGAGACTTCGTGCATTGGTGCCATGTTTTAGTCTGGGCACCTCGGGCCCTTTTCCAGCGTGGGTCTACTTCGGCCAACATTGTGTGAAAACTGTATTGCAACAATGATAACAGCTAAGACGATGAAAGTATTATTATCCTAGTCATTCGTTTACAATCACGCCTACTAATTATTCATCGTTAAGATGATCAAAGAACTTATCACTAGATATCATCATTTAACTAGTGTTAAGAAAGATCAAACAACTAAATATTACATTACTTATAAACGGTAGCCACTATAGAATGCTCCATCAATTTTAAGGTCTTCGCTGCTTGAACGAAACATTATTTATCACCTGTTTCATGAACAAGATTGGAACTGAAGAAAACACGAATGCAATTGAACAATCGTCTTTGAATTTAATCAAAATAAGGTGGACAAGGTAAAAACGAACCCAGTTCATATATGTACTACGATGACCGAGTTGAAAACTGGAGCGAAATCAAGACAGATACGTGATGGCACACATACACACACCCAGACACGCTAGCTTAAAACCTCGTGCATAATTCCAGTGGTTAAAGTCCCTAGACTTTATAAAAGCGACAATAAATAAACAGAAGTATAATGATATAAAAACAAAACTGCAGTAAATGGCAGGAGAAGAGGATAGTGCATCATGAAGATGAGGAAGATGTCCAAAATATCGATAATGAGGAATGATTAATATCCAGGTGACTAACTCAGGTTTTCAAACCACTGGTTTTTAAAGTCTTCGAAACTGTAACTAAGAGCTCTCCAAACGATTCAGATCGGTAATCAGAGACTTCGTGGACTGATCCTATTTCTTGGTATGATAACCCTTAGCTTTTCCGAACTTAATTTTAAACTCAGCTGATGCTGTCAAAAGTCGAAAAGAAAAGTCGAAATCCACTCAACAACCTTGTGTATACTCACCTATTGTGTAAGGGCTAATGATACTACTTGGCAACCCAAACTTTGGTAGGTGGAGCTAGGTTCAAACCCGTGGCTCATCTGTTAAAAATCAAGTGCCCAGACCAATGAGCCACAGTCTACTAACTAATGCTGCAGGTCAAAAGAGATAGTGGTTCAGTGTATGCAGTACATATTTCAGACACCTCAGTCACAACAGGTTCAGAATCTACTGTACTACACAGGATCATCGCGATAGGAAAGCCTTATCACCACTTCACGCTTATAGATATAGATCGACAATTACAAATCCTTATTAGATGGCCATTTCCACGGTTTGAGGCATAACCACAGAGTATTATTCATACTTAATTATCAATCACTTATGTTAAGGAAAATGCAATAACAATTACTGCCACAAAACCAGGCTAATAACTTCGACCAAACAGTTGTACTGTAAATAAAACAGTATCAGTGAAAGCTGACTTACAATGTATGCCATAATCCATTCAAACATTAGTCCGTTTCTAACAATTTTATCATCTTTTCATAAGCCATGAACACGTAAAATTATTGCACAAGTATTGACTTGTGACAGGAAAGAGCACTCACATTGAATCACTAACAGTCTGAAGCCAAAAAATGTTAGTCATTGAGTTTCAAAATAAAGACTTAATATTTTTTTAGTTTAACCTTGAAAGAGATCTAGCGGTGAATGATACTTTAGGACGAAAGTGCTGTTCATTTTCCTGCATATGTATGTCATTGTATCTTATAATGATTTCATCTACTGGCTAACAATATCTGCATAAGTAAAGAAGTCTAAAAAGCACTCACTTGCATAGAAAAGCAATTTGGTCATGATACAAATGATAACTGTTGGATAACTTACCTTATTTAATCTTTTTCGCAGTTGTTCTTGATTATTGTCAAAACTCACTATAGAAGCCAAGTGTTTAAATTTCAAAAAGTGTTCATGATAATGACTGATTATTTGTTTTTGTGGGAGGAAGAAAAAAGATAACGTATTAGTAGATTACTGTGAAGTACAACCATTACAACTGAAAAACGAACTTGTGAGATACAGATCTATTGCTTTTAAGTCATGGATGATGATAAAAGACAACTTGAGTGTGATGAAATCAAGAATATTGAGGTTATATAAAAAGCTTTATGTGACTACGGTGAGCTAGTTGATAGTTGATAGTTGATACAGGCGAGAACTCGTAGACAGTGCCTAGAATGACCTAGATAGCCCTGACTTTGATATGGAAGTTGAGGGGTGGGGGAACAGCTAATGTTTCCAAGTCAAGGGATAGGATAAATCCGTTAGTCCACTGAATGTTGATCCCAGGAAAATAGGAAGTTACGGGTCACTGTTCGAAGACTCGGAAGCAGCATAGATCTATTGTTGAAGACAAAAGGTGAGGCATAATGATCTTGGGACTAGCAGAGGAATCTAGAACACGCGTTTCGTCATACTTGGGACTCGTCAGCTGGGTGATCCTGCACCCCAGTAAGTGATGTTGTTCCCACTGAGGTCCGAACCCAGTGCTCTTCGCTTCAAACGCCATAGGGTCATCCACTAAGCCAGTAGGGCACGATAGCCACCTCTTGTTGTAATGGTCAGGCAATTTAGCCTTGCATAGCAAGCAGAAATTATAAGCATCATTACAACAACTGATACCCGTTGCACGAGAGGTGGCTAACATGCCCCAGTGGCTTAGTGGATAGTGCACTGGCGTTTGAAGAAAAGGGTACTGAGTTCGAGCCCCAGCGGGACAAAATCACTCGCCGAAGTGCAGGTACATCCAGATGACGAGTCTCGGGTAGGACTGAACGCGCATCCTAGATCCCTCTGCTAGTCACTAAGATCAATATGACGTTATGAATATCTAGCAGTATCCGTGTATCCGTATAGGAACCCATCTGCCAAAAAAGTCGGGCGATTCGGCCCTGTATAGGAACGGGAAATCACAAGTATTATTAGAAAAGTGACAGCCTTAAATTAGTTTCAGTGATACAGATACCTATGATCGTTATCTAGGCTTAAGTAGCGAATATCCGATGATTTAATGTCTACCTGGAAGCCATGTTCAGTGATTTAGCTAGTATTCCCCCACTTTTTTCATTACCAGAACGACATTTTTAACCTGTTGGTTTACACGTATTGTGCTGTTCTGGTGTGTGATAACATAAATGTATTTGAACACTGAAGTGAGGCACGAAACAACGTCTCCACAAGAGTATGAATAAAACATTTACTTTGTTTTCATGCGTTAATATCCATCAGAAAACATTACCGCATTTCATATATATATTTCCAGGAATAAATTCCAATAGAGAAAGAACGACGATTGGAGCACTAAAGAATGCAGCGAATAAGAAACGAAGTAAATAGAAGGCTAATGAAATTAAATTTGCTCATCAACCTTGTGAAGACTCGTGCAACAGACAATCAGCTACACCTGTTGATACTATATGGGTTGCCCAGACTTCAGTTAGTGGGGCAGCATTCGAACCCGTGACCCATTAGTTGAAAATCATCTCCCTAAACCAATGAGCTACAACTCCGCAAACCAGCAGGTGGTAGTAACGAGTGAAATTAATACACTAATAAAGAAAACTTTGAGAGATAGACTCTGAATACCGTATTAGAAAGTTAACTGATCTATACAAAAGAGAAAATACCGCAGAATAGGCTATGTTTTTAACGTCATATAAGTTAGGCTTGAGAGACGAAATAAGATAAAAGAGAATTTCGATGTAAATACATATTTTAAACTTACTATTCTAAAACGTTCCAACTATGCCATAGTCTAAGTATCGGAGTAGATTGTAACGCCATAATAACAGCCTTCAATGCTGAATAATTTCTGGTTTGTCCTAATCGCTTACAAAAATAAAGTGCACAAAAATTGCAGAAAAATAACAGAAAAGTAGGCTATAATAGACCATCGTTTTTTAGATTCTTTTGTACTTCAACAATAAATATTTTACGATTTTCTAGTGCTTTTCATAGTAGTCATGTGAAGAATATGCAGAAGTCTATTCTTCATCACAGTGGTTACCCAAGTACGTTTTCTCCTCTCAGTGAAACCAGAGTTGAACTAATATGAGAAATTAACTGATTGGCTATGAGTTGGACCGTATGAACTACCCTTTAATGGTAGACGGGTAGTGTAAAAGAAGATAGTTATTGAGATTGAAGATAGGATTAGGAGCAGAAGCCTACAAAAATGACATCATACTAATCAGAAGCGTGAGTAGTTAGAGACCAGTTAGGTTGATCTAGTTTTCGCTAACCAGATCAGAGTGGTCTAAACACCAGATATACGTCTCGCCCATTCGGGACTAAGCTCATCAGTGACCTAATAGGACGAATTCCGCCTTGTGAGCTGATTAGGTCAAACTGGCTGGCGAAAACTACAGATCAATTCGAGTGATTCTTAACTATTTAGTTTCCTTAATTCATGAAACTCTTTTTGTTGGAGATAACATCCTATGATCTTGGCTGTTTACAACACAGTTGGGGAGTTGAGAGAAATGTCAACTTGAACCGTGCAACTAGTAAATAATTTTCAAATTGATCATCTTTAAGAATAACATATGTTGATTGACCACGCATGAGTTGGGTCATTATTGTCCGAGCAAGTATTCTAGGAAAACAGTTTCAGGGAATGTCAATGACCATTTCCAAACAAGGATTCTAGTCACGTTTAAACCTTTTGCTGACCTTTTGCTAACTTCGTTAATGATTCAGTCATTCTGACCGATGAAAAGTGTCTTCTAATTCCCTAACAATTTCGTCAGTTTTCTCAAAGCAATAAATCTGTTACAGATCTATTTCGCAACAAATACATGAGCAACTTAAAAGAATTATATTTTACCCTAACCTTAGTGTTCAGAAAACCAAAATAAGATTTTTGTGAACGCTTTGCTATGTTAGCCCCACTGCAGAATATTCAGAATTCTATGTAAAGTCAAAATATGTAGTCAAATGACACATTGAATAATTTTGTGATTGTGGGTCATTAGTCAGGTCATTGGGTTATTTCAGACTGAGTACTGATATTTATTCATCTCAAATTTCTGTTTTTATTCAGGTATTACTGAAAAATGCTGAACAGTCAGTGTGTTTACTTATGTTACTGCATATGTAGATGTGCTGTTCGATAAACTCACACTTGCATGTAAAAAGTGTTTATTGATGAACAGTTAGTAATCATCATTTCTCTTAAAACTTCGTCTTCAATTGTTTTATCAGAAGAACATTTCACACAAAAAATAATAATCTGACTTCAACGTTTCTGAAATGTTTATGTACAAAGCGACAAATCATGCTATATGTGAAGGCTAACGACTCTAACTGTTTGCCAGAACATCAATAGACTGAGCAACGTTTGAACCATTGTCTCACTAGTTGTCCATCAAGGATTCAAAGAAATGAGTTGAAGTTTTTTTACACATGTAAGGCCCATCGATAAATTTCCAACTTGTATTTAGTTTGTGATTGTGACTAGCTCATATGAATCAATAAAGATGATCAAGTAGACGAAGCGTTAAACTATTAACAACGTGACTTGTTCACAGGGGTTAATGCTGTTTGTCGATTCAAAGAACTCAACCTCTTAACACAATGGTAAAAAATAGACACGAAAGAAAAATTACTACGAAAAACAAACAAGCAACCAGAAAAAATCCCGTTAATCAAAGGTTTTATGAACATCCTAAGCAAGAAATCCTTTGTTGTATTAGTAAACTGTTTGTCTACATTGTCAACATGTCATACGTAAAGAATGTACAGTTCATAATCAATGGAGTGCAGAGTTACGGTTGCGCCAAGGACTATATCCATGTCATTTTTACAGTCATTAAATTGAAACAATTTTTTTTACAAAGATAAGCTATCTGGTTTTGGTGGTTTCAAGTGTATTTACAAGTTTAGGTGCTCCTGTGGAAAAAGCTATACAGGGCGCACTACTAGATAAATTAACAGACATGTTGCTGAACATGGGAAAAGGATAGATAAAATCTGTCGGAAGTTCTGTTTTATCTCATCCAGTTGATACCCGTCACTTGGTAGATAAGAACAATCCTTCCGAGACTTTGTACCACATACCACATAGTCTTTCGAAAGATATTCGAACTCATCTTTTACACATAGATGTGGAAATTCGAGCTAAGAATCCTAGTCTTTGTATCCATGAAAAGTTTGCACATCTCACCCTTGGTCAGGAATTACTTAATAAACAACTTTAGCACTGAAAGTTTTTCTATCCCTTTCTCATTCTTCAACCCTTTTATATATTTACCTTATTTGTTTAGACCTGAATACAAGAGCAAACTTTGTGGATGGTTGTAGAATGTCATTCCGTTTTAGTTGATTTATAAGATCTATCACACACAGCCATATCAGTAGGTATGTTAGTATATAAACCAACTACATCAAAACCAACCATTTTTTCATTATCATTAAAATGTATGTTGTCTAATCCATGCTCCAAGTCATAACAGCTAACAAGTCTCGATTTAGAACGGTTTCTTATTGAACCTAGCGCCATTACTAAATAATTTAGTTGACCAAATCCTTTGCAACAACTACAAGGTCAAATACATAAGTCAAAGTAATCAACCAGGGTCAAGCACAGGAATCTAGTTAGGTCACAATTGATAGATCCAAGTAAGATGAAGAATTTAGATAAAAGCTTGGCCTTAGCTATGCATTCATTACACACAGCCCATTATGGGATAGGATAAGGTGAAAATCCTCAAAAATGACGTAGTAGGGTGGACAGAGAGATTGATAACTGAATCTTTGTTTATTGTATCGAATCAACATTTAATACATGCAACAGAAATGACTCAGCATCTGTTCTGAATATATGGAAAATTTTACTATCCATATCACAAAGGAGGCAACAAAATTAGGAATATATACGTGATGTCTCAAAGTTGTGTAGTGGTCTTGATATGACTACGGACAATAAATTACGTGTGCAACGTAATTCAGTAAACAATGTTCTTCCACTGTGTGGTAAATTCTATAAATCAACTCAAATGAAATTGTTTAGACTTTGTATATCCACTTGCTTTGTGCTTCAGTATTGAAAAACTTTTATTTCCCCATGCTTTTTACGCACTTCAGTTGTCGGAGTGTCTACATTTTCATGTTGTTTTCTCGGTTCTTATCATCATTATCATGTATATTACAACTGCTTTAGTCAATGCTATCACTTTATTATTGGTAGTATCATCACCGTCTTTATGTTTAAAACAGTAATCATATTAACCGTCAAATCTACATGATTGGTTTAATTTTTAGAAATATTTAGCTATTCATATTAGAATAAAACATGATGAGGATCTAGTGGAGAATATTTGAAGCTCAGGTGGACGGTGTTGCATTGTATTCTCTGGGTTATTTAAACAATCCAGCTCAGAGAACACAATACAAGCAAGATGATCAGGATCTAATTGAGAATAATACTGTTCGCTTATATGTCTTGTTCTAACGTTTTACCAGACCGAAGTGCAAGGGAGTGAATTGATTTCCTCCGATTTTAGGTTCGCTTATATTTGCTACTTGAGCAAGCTTAACACAATTAGGTAACTAGTGGCTATCCACAGGAAGCTACCGATTTCGTGTCCTACAAACAGATGTTTTTATTGATATAAAAATAAAAATTATTTCATCAGGGAAAAAATTACTCATATTTTGTTTGGAAAACAACTTACATAAGCAATATTAATCCATGTAATAATACATCCAGTTTTTAATTTTCCTATATCTGATGTTGAAGAACGGTAATTAGGTGAATAACCAGAATCTTTAGACCATATAGTTATAACCTGTGGACTAGCTCTTGTGACAGGGGCATCACAAATTCTTTGTCGATTAAAACGTTTTGAATATATTGGTGTTGGTTCAACTAATATTGGATAATCTTGATCTGAGTTAAAAACTGAACTCTGAACAAACTGATATAATTTATTATACTGATCAATTGTAGCTTGTACAGAAGAAGCAGGTTTTCCTCTAGCATATATTAAACAATCATTTAATTCAATGCTTAGAAATAATCGCTAGGGGAAAAAAAGTCAAAAAGAATAACAAATATATACGGTATTTTTTGAAAAAATAATTATGTAAAGGATTTATAATAAGGAAAGTTAAGTAATTACTAGACACTACGAGAAAAACCTTTGGCTATGTTAAGGTGGCGAATACGCACTCCCTTCGAAATGTTTGCCTTCGCTTCACAAGTGACTTTAAAAGAGGACTCTCGTGAAGCTCAAGAATCGGACTGTTGACGGTTTTAAACTGTTCTTTGGACAGCCAGGCGCACCTCCGGACACTACCCTGCATGGGTATTTAAACGAGTGTAAAGGTATTAACAGCTCAACTCTTGAGCACTTAGTTATCTCTGGTTACTGTGCTTCACAAGTCTTCGTTCAGGGTCATTCATAAAGTGAAGGCAAACATTTCGAAGCTAACTCGTATTCTCCACCTCAACGCATGGGAGGCTTTGGCGATCCGGTGGTACAAGCCTGATCTTTGTGTTCAAAAAAAGATACATTCAGTCTCTGATTTTGCTTTAGTCGTAATCCCCCTAAGACAGTTTATTCATTTCTTTGTTTATTTATTCTAATCCTATAAGCAATTTTTGATGACCTTGATTTGACCTTTTAGCCACTATCACCTTTTGAATTTATTGGCCATTTTTGATGACTTTATATTGACACATTAGCTATTGGTGGATACACATTTTGTTGTAACTATGATTACGATGTACAGTTTTTGAAAATGATTCGTCGAAAAGAAAGTTTTCTTCGCTGAATTGTCTTTTATTAATTTTTCATTATCTGATGGAAGTATTTTGATTGTTGAAAGAAATACAGCAACTTTTTCGCACTTAATAATGACTGTCTTGTGTTTGGTGAATGTTCTGTTGTGCTGTTTATATCAAAGTTCTTGAACAATTCTATTCAGATCACTTTTGGATATCATCAAATACTGTTGTCTTTCAATACCAAGAAATCACTCTTTGTGCTGTGGTCATCTGTTGACTTTCGAATCGAATCAAATGACAATACAGTAGTAAAATCGATAAAAATTGCATCTGAAAATATTTAAGTTATGGATTAACAGATTGATTATTTATCGTAAAACTCTACAAAAGTGCATAGTATCAACTTTTAGATTTCATGATCAGCATATTATACATCTATAAGTTCATGATCATATTAAATGACTTTAAGCGAAACTAGTTTTCAACGAGAACTGCACCCGTAAGACTATTCGCGAAATATGAGTATGCAAAATAGGTAACTACCTTATGGAAAGAATTTTCAGAAGTTCTAATAAAAATTCATGAAGTCCACTAGGTTCAAAGTAGAATAAAATGTTTCTCAAAGACAGTAGCTGGCAGTTACATTACACTATTAGATGACTGAAGTTATCACCAACAGACTAATAAAGTGGTTGGATGAAGAAAAAATGTTTGCATCAGAATCCTGAGGATTTTGAACTCAACTTACTGACGAGTGCTTACATAGGGCGAAACCGATATCAATTAATTCATGCTTTTTAGTGTCACATACTGAAGTTAAAATTAAAGCAAAACAATGATAACAATTTCCTACCTGATCAACTATAGTTAGTTGTTCAGCTACTGTATCCACATTTAAATTCCATAAATTAATTAAAGGATTTATAAGTGGTTGTATTATTACACTCTGATTTGAATGTGTTTTTGAATTTAACTTCGAATTGTCATGAGGTGAATAATGACGATAATCTAAGAAGATCATAAAAACGACAATACAGTCAGTTACTGATTGTAGAAAAGAACACAACTTTCTGAAATAGATATCATAAGTATTATTATATCATTATTTGTCCCTTGGGTTAGAGTCCTAAATCTTACTTTCTCTTTCATCGAGAGAAGAGAAGACAAATCGGCCAGTTGACTTCCCAAAAACTTTCACCAACCGGCGTCATTTTGTCTCCCCGATTCCAGCAAGGAATAAGTTTATTTTTATTTTTTATATTTTCTTTGTGCTTTGAAGTTTCTTTGGTGATTGGATTGGTTTTACGGGGTAGGGTTGCTAGTCCTATGCCCAACCTTCCCTCTTTATCTGGGCTTAGGACCGGCTAGTAACTAGTGAACCAGGCGAGATTATATTATAAGTAACAAATAATAAATAATTTAAATTGTTAAAATGGTAATTAACCTTATCCTAAGCTTAAGGTCTTATACAGTTAATAGTTGTTCAGGATGTAGGTCAAGTATTGTAACAATTTATTCAGTGTAACCCACATCTAAAAGTTGAATAGATTCTAATCCATGAACATACCTTTCCTCTGCATACAACCAACTGTAGGTAAATACTTAACATCCAGTTATTTGTACCATAAGTTACAAAATGTTAGATAAACTTCTATAGGATAAGATTATGTAATTACTCTGATTGAAAAAGTAGCCGGAAAAAAGTCAGCTATCTATAATCATGTTCAATTTTGATTCCTCAGGAGTTATTAATTGTTTGTTCTAAATGTAAGCTTGTTGCATTTAGAACATCAATACAGAATAACGGACGGTATTTCAACCAACATATATGCTAATGAACTACAAGGTGTTTTGAGTGTGCGTTAGTAGTTCTATAAATACAGTAACAATTGGCTGCATGAATTTTTCGAACCCACGTAGAATATGTAAATGGACTCCTTTTATACTGAAGATAGGATTTTTATAATTCCTTATGGATTAGAAAAAAATAGTATGAAGTACATTAGTCAATTCCTGGTTTGTACGAACATATTGCTGTCAAGTTTTTAGTGCTAACTAAATCCTATCGATTTAATTGAGAATAAGGTGATGAAACTAAACCGAATCACTTAGCTTGATGGCTAAATTACCAAATTGACTTACAGGACTTTATCAGGACCTAAAACTAAGCAGCATAACACTGCTGACCTTTAGAAGACTAACCACTGTGAGCCATGATGCTTTGTGGGGACTAGGCGGCTGTACAAACTTTTATGAGTGGGATAGAGTTCAAGCTCGTGGTTTACTGCATGAAAGTCGGGTGACTGAGCCAACTGGCTATGTCACCTGATAAGGTACCACTGTCAAAAAGCCTCTAGCTATCTGTTTCATAACCGCAGTAACCCATACTTCATTGTAATCATGACTTCCGTGTAAGACAATAGTTAAATGAATAAGGTTACAATATTAAGTACAAGTATACTTGTAAATACAGCAGTTACATCATATGAAGCTATAAGATTGTCAAGTACTTTAACATGATCTAGTTCGTGGGAAAATTGAAATGTATCTTTTAAGCTACAAGTCAACAGCTTACTCCGAAAAGGCTCTGAACTTTGTGTTAACCATTTAATCAATTTATGAGGAAGCGAATTATTTATTGACATTGTAGGTACCAAAAGTAAATTAGATTTATGAATATCTGATAAAGAATACATGATCGGAAGAAGTGAAACTTATAGTTTGAGTCCAGTATATGCTCCATTATCAGTCAGTTTCTTCTTTACAAGTTCAACTGGAAATCAGTCACGACCCGAATAGCTTAATGGTAATGTCTTTGAATAAGTAGTACTGCCTCGCATCTCTCAGAGAAAATCAGTTTCCTCGTGATTGCGGATACACCTTACTCACAAGTCCCAAAAAGCATTAATCTTACGTCCAGGACTTCAAGCCAGTTGCTTCCAGCGAACTAATATCCCATCAAAGTACACAGCGATACTGCACCTCTTAGCTTGGTGGCCATATTGCAAAATAATCGAAAGAAATAATGGAGAGTATTTGTAGCTCAGGTGGATGGTCTTGGATGTATTGTGTTCTCTGAGCTGGGTTGTTTAAACAACAACAAAAGAATTCGGTCAGGACTCAGGATTAGACAACGTAAAATTGGTTACTCTCCAGTGACCAGTGAATATTCGTTTCCCTTGTTTTCAAATGTTAATACCACGTCCTTTTTAAGAGTATTTTAATGGGACGCTGAGAAATGTTAACATCTTAGGCACATAATCATTTTTTCCATTAGGACAACAACAGATTCCTTATCAGGTCTAAATATAGCAACATCATTTTTGTGTTTTTCCAAAAAGATTTTCGACTGTCCAGATGATGATACTTAATACTAGTTGCTATCGTCAAACTTCTCTCATTTTCATCTATGAGTTTCAAATCAGAGAATTGGTCGTATGGGTTTTCAGATAGCGTCTCGTTGTTCATTCAACTGAATAATGGTTTTATTTTAATAAGCATTATAATTTTGGACTACAAGCAGCAGGTGAATACTTATGGAATAAAATAATGTCATTTTATTCTGTCATTTATGAATTTTCCAGCAACTCAAACCACTATTAAAGCAACTAATGACAGCTACCATCCTGAAAGACTTTTAAGTAATTAAGAGTAGCTGATGTATGATGATTGGGATGAAAACAACGATAATATATTTTGAATTTGAACAACTAAGAGATACGGTGAAAAAAACCCACGAATAAGATATTCATATGGCAAAATGACACTATCAGAATGTGTAAAAAGCAACATTGAGGGATGGTGGAAATGGTAAATGACTGTTTCAACTATCGGAAAAATTAGATCGTTATTAATATTTGTTTCTATCCATTGCAAGTACATAAAGTACAAATAATTTTGCTAAATGTGAACTTTCGGTAGTCCAGTTCTATTTGTCAGAATGTCGATTTGTTACAATAAAATTAAGCATTACAGATGTTTAAAACCTATCGCCAAGTAATATCTTTAAGACATCTGCAAACGTCGATATTTAGGTGATTTCTAAAGCTGAGAGAGCTGGATAGCTCTTTCGTCCTAGTGTAGTGGGTGCTACTAATAAGAATGGATATAGGTAGTATGTGTTGAGAGGTCGGCAGGAATCATAGGCAATTACCAGTGATGGGTAAATATTCTGACCAGAGAAACGCAAGGGACAATATGGGTGTATTAAGAGCAAGTCGGGATAGAAGCAGAAGAAGAAATGAAATACATTGTGCAAATGACTATTTTAATGGAAAGTGTACAGTATTTCAACAGTACTGTACAATATGTCATAATAAACGTTCTGTCCCGCATCTCAGTCTTGTCATTTCTTACGATTGAAGGGGAAAGGAAAGTTAATTGGGGTGAAATCGCCCAGTGGACTCTCACTGGAGCCTTGTCTTGGGTAGTTGACCGAAACTTGTTTTCCCCTTCAATCGTAAGAAATGACAAGACTGAGATGCGGGACAGAACGTTTATTATGACATATTGTACAGTACTGTTGAAATACTGTACACTTTCCATTAAAATAGTCATTTGCACAATGTATTTCATTTCTTCTTCTGCTTCTATCCCGACTTGCTCTTAATACACCCATATTGTCCCTTGCGTTTCTCTGGTCAGAATATTTACCCATCACTGGTAATTGCCTATGATTCCTGCCGACCTCTCAACACATACTACCTATATCCATTCTTATTAGTAGCACCCACTACACTAGTATGGAACTCCTCAGCGGTAAGTGCCCACGACCGCATCAGGGACCGAATCTGAAAATTTCAGGTTCCACTACCAGTGCGCTATTATGGAGCCACTGAGTCGGTAACGTGCCGGCCGCGGAAGTCGAAGATCCTGGGTTCGATCCCTGGCGGGGTCGTGTATGCACACTCTCAAGCAGTCCCATAATAGGATGAAAGAGGTATCCAGTGCTCCCAGGTTACCGATGTTTCCCCAACTAATGTCCGAATACGATGAATATCAACCAGAAATCAATCAATAAATCCCCACAAAAAGCCTACAAATTGATTTTTGAAGTTAAACGATAGAAAACACTTGAACTGCATTAACTAGCAGTTTAACTTTGCGAGTGCCACGCTTAAATACTATACGAATATTTAATGAAAGAAGTTTTAAGAACAAAATTACTTACCTTTGTTTACAGAGATTGTATGCGGTGGTAAAAATTCTCTTTCCGGATTTAAATCAATATTATATTTACACGCAAAAATTTTTAAGCAGTTTACTGCTTGTCTACACAAAATCTCCATATCCGTTGCAAGTTGGTCCCAAATTTCTGAATCGATATCACACAACATAATCCGTGTCACGCGTTTATTCTTAGAAGGCGGTAAATTACCTCCACAGCATTTCATAAACTCTCTCAACATATGGGCTTGACTATTTTGATAAAAAGGTTGAAAAATGTCGAACCAGTTAGCAATAATGCGTATAAGGCGCTTTAGATATATGACCTTTTGTGGAGAATCAAAATCTTTTAAATGAGGTTGTTGCAGCCATGCATGGAACATGTACTGAAAAGAACTATATTTGTAAGGAAAGAAAAGCAAACACAATAATTACAAAATGCTTAATTTATACGAAACAGATAAATCAAGCCATTTTTCGCGTCAAAATTTATAAAAAGAAACACCGTTGAACTAAACGTTATAGAATAGACATTCTGAAATTTATGGTCACTGGAAAGGATTCTTCGCCTAAAGACAATAAAAGCTGAAATTGATCTAGTGAATAAATGTCTGACTTTGTAGGAACTTACTACCACAATAGGGGTTTACAAAGTTCGGTTATTAAGAAATACAAATTATCTGTTGCAAAGTTTAAAAACTAATAGATATAGCCATTAATTAAACTGCTGATTTGAAACTAAGTCGATCTGGTGCTTCGTCAACATTGCACAGCAAAAAAGTGTACGTCTGTGAAGTATGCTACACTGGTGTTTTTCATATTTGAACAAATGAGGGTGATTGTCATTCATACAAGTACAAAAATAAAAAAGTTATGCTTTAGTCAATTGCTAGAATTGACCAGCGAAATAAAAAGCATAGACCGAATCTTGAAGAAACTGAAAAGCCCACCGATGTCTACGTCAATTAGATGCCGAGGGATTGCGGTGTTCGGAGTTTTACTTCCCCTTAGACGAAAGTTCTTAGGAAGGTGTTCTGAAACATTAAAACAGTTCTTCCAATCTGTCTGTTTTGGCAGCTACATGTAAACTGATATACACAGTTGGAGGTAATATAAGAAGGGCACTTGCTGAACTTTGACTGGGGTAATGAACACATCGATCGGTTCACAGAAGTAAGATAGGATGCAGGGACATCTGACAAATTCTTTTGGTAGCAATCAGTTTTGAATTCCAATCCACCTTGAAAAATCGAACCCTGGGGGTTAATCATGACCCGGATAGCTCAGTGGTAACGTCAGTGACTACAATAATGGGTAAAGTGGGTTCGAATTTCACAGAGGGAGCCAGTTTTCTCGTGATTGCAGATAAAGCTTACTGATGAATCCCGAAAAGCGAGAATCCTAGATACCTGGCTTCCCGCCGATTGCTACCAACCAAAAAACATCAAAGTGTGCTGCGATGCCGAGCCTCCTAGCTTGGTGGTCAGATTGTAAAACTTTTGATGGAATTTGGTGAGGACCTAGGACTAGACGACGTGAAATTGGTTAATCTCCAGTGACTAATAAACGGATAAAGTCCAACTTAACGAAACAAACATCTGTATTCGCCATTACAACTCCTGAACCTTTATTTGGTTTCCATATCACTATTTTGTGCCACCATAGAAATGGTTGGTTCACAGCTCAAGTGCTTGCTGACAAGTGCTTTGTTTCACTCACTCTACGGTCGAGAACTTTGTTTAAAGAGAACAAGCTAGTGATAAAAAATCTAAAGGATAACTTATTCATCGAATGACCTACGTAGTCCTATATTTTAAGTACCTCAATATTTTCGTAGTTATACCTGTCGCCTGGTTAACTAGCTCATTAGTAACTAGCCGGTCCTGAGCCCGGGTAAAGAGGGAAGGTTGGGAATGGGGCTAGCAACCCTACCCCATAAAACCAATCCAACCGCTACAAAAAATTCAAAGCATAGACAAAATAAAGAAAATAAAAACAAACTTATTCGTCGCCGGAATTGGAGAAACAAAACGACGCCAGTTTGCGAAAGACTTCGGGAAGCCAGTCGGTCGACATGTCTTCTCTCGATGAAAGCGAGAGTAAACGTGGGGACATGGAATGTCCGCACCATGTTTGAATCTACCAAGGCTGCCCAGATTGCAAAGGAGATGAGAAGGTATGGCATTGAAGTGCTAGGAATCTGCGGGGAATCTGCAGATGGAATGGAAGTGGATTCTCCAAACTGTCAACCGGAGAATCAATAATCTACTCCGGTACTGTCACCCACACAACAACCACGAGCACACTGAGGGAGTGGCTACCATGGTGTCCCCAACAGCACAGTATGAACCAATCTCCTCCACGATCATGACAGCAAGGTTCGACTCAAAAGGAAGGAAAGTCACAATCATAAAATGATACGCACCTACAAATAATGCAGATCAAGAGAATAAGGAGGAATTCTACAGATAAACGCAATAGGCACTGGACATGACCTCAGTTATCAACATCAAAATTCTAATGGGTAGGGTGACATGAATGTCAAACTCGGAGCGGATAACACAGGAAGAGAACTCATCCATCATGGGTCAAGAAGCACTCGGTGAAATGAACAAGAATGAAGAACTGTTTGCAGACTTCTGCGCATTCAACGATTTAGTGATTGGAGGCAGTGTGTACAAACACACACAAAGATATTCACAAAGCAAGCTACATAGGCTTCACCAGATGGACACACTAAAAATCAGATCAACTTCATTTCAATGTGAAGAAAGTAGACACGCAGTCTACTCGACATAAAATCAAGAAGTGGAGCAGATGTAGGTTCACACCACTCACTATCAACTGCAAGAAACCTTCAAAATCAAGTTGGAAGCCTTCAAAGAAGCTGGTAATAGACCACAGCTGAAGTTCAACACCCAGAACAGAAACTGAACTGAAGGACAAAACTACAAAGGACATCTGCACGTCAGTCAGTCAGTCATCAGGACAAAATGGGAGAAATTGAGCAACGTTCCTGAAGAAACCTGTGTGAAAGAACACTGAAACTCTTTAAAAGCTATGTGGAAAGAAACCTGCATGACCGTATTAGGAAGGAAGAAGAAAGAAGATAAGGAATGGATCTCGACAGACACATGAAAGCTGATAGAGCAGGGAGAGGAGGATGGTGAATTAGAAGATAAACCAGTGCAAGGATGCACAACGAGAAGAGGAACTGAGTACAACGTATGAAACACTACACTGGATAAAGAAGTGAAGAAGAGTGCGCGCAAAGACAAAAGACACTTCCACGACACACCGGCAAGTGAAGCAGAACAGGCTGCCTCAGGTAGGATAGACAGAGACCTGACAACACTATATCAAATAACCAGGTTACCGTCTGGGAAGAGGTCAACACAGATGAAACCAATAAAAGATGATGAAGGAAATCTAATTACCAAAGAGAAGAAACAAAGGAAACAATGGGCTGACCGCTTCAAAAAGCTCTTGAATCGACCACCATCTGCACTTCGTCCAGAAATAACACCTGCAGCCCAGCCACAGAACTACAAGTGAACACAAATCCTCCAACAAAAGTCGAAGTTTTGAACTCCATAAGGCTACTTAAATGCTGGAAAGCAGCAGGACCACATGGAATCCCGCCAAAGGCACTGAGAGCAGACGCAGGGACAACAGCGGACATGCTCACACCACACCACCATTGATTGGAAGAAGGGTTACCTTGTCAAACTCCCGAAGAAGGGCGACCTAAGTCTTTGCAAGAACTGGCGAGGAATCATGCTCCTGTCCACTCCGAACAAAATATTAAGCCGCATCATCCTGGAGAGACTAAAGGATGCGCTGGATTCAAAACTACAACCGGAACAGGCTGGCTGGCTTCAGGAAGTACAAATCATGTGCTGACCAAATTGCAACGCTACGCATCATCATAGAACAGAGTATAGAATGGCAGTCAACTCTCTCTCTACCTCAACTTTATCGACTTTGAAAAAGCTTTCGACAGCGTCGACCGAGAAGTAATTTGGAAACTGCTTCAATACTACGGAATACCGCAAACCTTTATCGGCCTCATTCAACAACTATATGAAGACGCCACAAGCCAAGTAATTCACAATGGGAAGCTCAGTGATGCTTTTGAAGTGAAGACAGGAGTAAGACAAGGCTGCCTCTATCACCCATGATATTCCTCATTGTGGTGGACTGCATCATGCAACAAACAATGAGGAGCGAGAAGAAGGGAATACACTGGACCGCGGAAAAGACCCTAGAAGATTTGGACTTTGCCGATGAATTGTGTCTAGTGTCACACAAACTTGAAGATCTACAGGCAAAAACTAACAAGTTGACAGAAGAGGCAGCGAAGGGAGACGGGACTTCAAGTGAACGTAGAGAAGACATAGGTGATGAAGATACCCAACCAACGCTACCAACAACAAGCTCCAATCACCATCAATGGGAGAAACTTAGAGGAAGTAGCCTCTTTCACCTATCTAGACAGTACTGTTTCAACTACAGGAGGCACAGACAAGGATGTCAAAGTCAGGATCGAGAAAGCAGGACACGCGTTCATTAACCTGAGACCAGTGTGGAGACCTCTGCACTGCACTCAGCATAAAGCGTGAACAATATCCGGATTTTCAGCACTAACGTCAAGTCAGTGCTTCTCTGTGGTTCAGAGACTTAGCGTGTTACGAAAGGGATTTCCAACAAACTACAGACATTCATCAACAACTGACTACGCTGACTCGTTACTGAAGATCAGATGGCCAGAAAGAATAAGCAACAAGGAACTCTGGCCTGGCGACGAACCAACCAAGAACCTATCGCTCAACAAATATGCAGAAGGAAGTGAAGATGGATTGGGCATGCACTGAGAAGACCATTCGGGACATCACGCATCAGGCCAGGCACTCGAGTGGAACCCAGATAGGAAACGGCGAGTTGGGGGACTGAGAGTGACATGGAGGAGATGGTGTGAGGAAGAAATGAGAGGTTGTGGGCAGTGGTGGAGCCAGGTCGAAAATATCGCAGAGAAGAGAGTGGAATGGAGACGTGCTACTGAAGCCCCATGTTCCACTAGGTAGCCAAGGGACAAATAATAATAATAATAAAATACCTGTCAATTTTCCCCCGAGTAAGTTCAACTGCTCTACCCATATAGTTGAGGCAACTTGTTACCGGCTAGTAACACCCTGTATATACTGTGTATACTGACTTACTACTGTGTCATGACTGTTTCTATTCGTCTTAACTACTGACAGATGGTTTGTTTTCTTCTAGTGAATGGAGGTGCTAATTTTTGATAAAACTAAGGATCTTGATAATCTGGTCTGTAAGCAGCTAACAAGATATCGCCAAAATTAATGGATTCTTATCACGCTCCCAATGGTTTTCCTGCTCTTTTCAAATATGCTTTCCGTGACACATTTTAACCTAGTATGTGTTCAAAACTCACTAGCTTAAGTGGAAATGAAACTCGATGCATAAAACGGCCTAATATTATCAAAAGTGCACCGTGAGAAGAAGCTCTTGTATCTGACACAGCTAATTAGTTGTAATATAAAGTTTTGGCTAGAGAGAGGGAGAGAGATTATGCCTTACAGTATGCAAGTCTGACTTCGAATGAATTTTTCTTGTGTGACGACCATAATGAATACGTTTAGTTTATGGGAATAATACGATACGGGTGATAGAATAATTATCTAGAAGTCTACGGGATTTAGAACAAATACGAAAAATTAAAACAATAAACACCATATTTAAAACCTTGCTACTTGCACTTAAAGAAATACTAAGATCAAACTGAGTTCGAGATAATGCTGCCACACTGTTGAATGGTTAGTAAATGAAACAACATGTGTTACTCAACTGTGGTCTTAAAATTGACTGATATTTCTTCTGAAGTCAAGCACGGTCCCCACTAGTCACAAGAAATCATATCGAAATGTAGGGTTGTGAGTAAACAATGAACATCCAACTGTTCGTTGTGTATATATAATGCTGGCTCAGAAAAATCGCCTACTTAACTGGTAGGAGCAACACAGTAGTGTCATGAGCGCTCATACATTAAGATTTTTTCACCATCTAGCACACAAACTCCTACCAGACACATGAGTTAAATTATCAAGATTAACTAGTTACAAATTCATGGACTATCTCCCAAGCCGCATTCACTGTTTTAAACAGAACAACACTATCTGAATGTCAAAAGCGAAGGGAAAGCTAAGTTTAAATTAATGATATGATGGTCGACGGCATGATTTACAGAATACTTTATAAAATTTAGTGTTAATGGACGAAGCATGCTGTCTAAACTAACTGAGACTACACACTCAGCTTTGCTAATCATAGAAAAAAATTTAAATCTATAACATGCACAGGTTTGGATAATATGCAGTGAAACACAAACGCTATATGACGGCTGTGATTTAACCTAGCTTTCCAAATGATAGTTAGGGAAAAGTTCAAATCCATGACTAATAATGGAAAGTTGAGTGCTTAATGCAACAACCAACAGCTCTGTATACAAACCAAAATGAACTCATTAATAATCATGATTAATAACATGTATGATAGTGAATTGAATAAGTAAAGTGTGAATAAGACTTACGAAATAACACCAGCTCTGTAAGAAGTGGATAAGCAACTTGAATGACATATATTCCAAAATCTGTATAGATTATCATATAGGTTATGGAAAGTCATACTTGCTTTTTATCGATAACTTCCAAAACCACTTCTACATCAGAAAACAAACGGTAGGTATACAAAAACGAGTTAACTGTCAAAGTATCGATGTCTTTTCCATCATTTAGCAGAAAGAAGTCAAATAACTCAACAAGAGAACCAACTCTCTGTACCTTTTGTTGGTCTGAACTAGTTGAGGTTGATTGACCTGGTCGAATCTAGTAACATAAAAAGTAGTAACTTGTAACCAACTTACTTTGTCTACGACGAGGGCCATAGATGAATTTATTTAGTTGTTCGTTTAACGAGGCCACTATGACCAGTCAGCCAAACGGCGAACAGAAGCCCTCTGTGGCAATGAGATGGCATTCATTCTGCTTAAAAGAATAAAGAATGAAGTAGGCTGCATTTTATTTTCAGTAATCCAATTCATGTCAGTGTGTATGCAGCATACTAGTCGTATATAATAAGGGTGGTTGACTGGTAATAATCGATATTATTTTGAACTGACTGCGAAAGTGCGGGCTGTTTGGAGTTAATGAGATTTCTAACCAGTGGTTCGCGACTTTCGAAAGTGTAACGCAAACGACTGTAATACTACTAGATTTAAACTTATTACTTCCTTAAAACTTAAGTAATTTATTACCTTACTTCTATTGTTTCCGCTGCAGTTGTCTATATCAAATTTTTTGATATCCTTCTCATTTTGTTACTGTTCAATTTCCTTGTTGTTGCAGTGTTTGGAAATTTGACGCTTCAGTTTGCTTTGTCACGTTCAAATGTTAGATGAAAATCAATCTTATAGCATTGATGTTTTTAATCGTTTACATGCAGAACAACCTTTTGAATCCACTAAACACAAAGTGGCGATAATTTGGAAAGCAGTCAGGTCGAAAATTTCAAAATATGGGCCGAAATACAGATTCGATACTGATTTATTTTCTCATTTTAAACTACAACCAAAATATCTATCTGCTGGATACTTATTGTCTCCGTGATGCCATTACCTTTCTTTTGTGTATGTTCCTATTAGGTTTTAATTTTTAAAACGTAGCTGGAAATTTCGGCAGTCAAAGTAGGTTTAGATCCATAGGGACAAACCAGAATAGATAAGCGAGGATACTACTTAGTGACTAGTGACAACAGGAATAGCAAACAAGCAAAGCGTTGCTAGTACTATATCCATTTCCAACTTCCAAGCGCAACGACAGATCATAAATAATCCCGAAAAACCCATAATAAATTTTACCTTATTGTCTGTTTCAGATACTTTATTTCGGCCATTAAATGTAGGTCAAATGATGTGAATTTCTGGAAATAGCTCGAATAAATACACAGGTCGGGTGTTTCGTGTTTCGGACGTAATTGCGTTATAATAAACAATGCATTTTAATGATAAGATGCAAAACAATGATAGGAAAAATGCATATAGAGATGTTAGGTCCATGAGCACCAGAAACAAGTCTGGGATGACAGGTCTGCTTTGTATATCGATCTAAAAAGCTTTCCGGGGCATTTTCTAGAGTCACTTGGGATAATATATTTATAGTATTGTCTGATCATAAGACATTTGTTCGACCTATGGCCAAAAAAGAACGAACACGAATCATTTATATTCAGTAGATGAAAAGATTGTCACCTACGAATTCAGTTGTAAGTGGTACGACAAAATCTTGTGCTACTGATCACCTAGCATGGATGGTGTTGAAAAAATCCAAAAGGTTTCATACAATTCTTTCCATTCACAACAACAGTTTCAGCAAAATGGCATGGATTCACATTAATTATGATTTCACATCAGCTGCTTACAAACTAAAAAAATTTTAAAATCACTTTATACAACGCGCTTGTAGACCAGAATAAGATTTTTTTTAATGTCGGCCTGAATGAAAGGTAACTTCAGTAATAAGTAATTGAAAACACAAGGACTGAGTGCAGAACTGTTTGTCAATCTTTAGGAGTCGGCGAATATTCTAGAGTAGAAGTCGCATAAGAGAGGGAGACGAGTGCATTTAAATTTCATGCAAGGGAAAGTTAGTCCTGGATATTATTAACTCAATTTGGGCGTTTTCAATACTTCATATAAATGTTGTTTTTAATTAAGACCAGCAAGCTTCTAAGAAACCAACTCCAGCATCCAAAAATTTCAGAGAAATTGATGTTACTATTGTTTTTGATTAGGTCTCATGAAATAAAGTGGATCTATGTCTTTCTGCTAAAGGTGTTGTTCTTGCACGATTCAAATGCAGAACAAATGTACATGTCATACGTGAGCGGTGTAGAATATTTGCCTGAATAGCGGGCATCAATTAAAACCACCAAATGAAACTAATATGTATGCCCTCTGATGAAAAACTTAAATATCCTGCACCAAGTGTTTATCATTGGTAAGTACTCACAATAATCGACATTAATGACACATTACAACTGCTTCAGAGGGTCGGAGTTAAAAATTATTAGGAAAACTGAACATTACAGTCAGAGAAATAGTAATACTAGTGCGTTAAAGTCTGTTGAATGCCAACCTTATGATATAACAGCTGAAAAGTAACAGCAACACGCACTCCGAAATAAGCGCTTAAGTTCTGTGTTATCAAAATAATTTTCTTTCGGTTTGAGTATATAAAGTTTCAACATTGCAACTGAAAATATACATTTTTCTTTTTTTAGGATTTTCTTTTTTTTTGTTTAATGCGAAAAAAATAGCGCGGGTTACGATACTGTTTAAAGAATGTGGAGGGAAATTTCCATATAATATGACTCTGTGTAACATTTAAGCTTTTGGGATTTGTTAGAAGTGAGTTGAATTCACTTGTTTGCTTGGGCACTAACGTAAAGTGCCTACATATATGCATGCACACTGATAATAATTTTTAGTATCTGCATAAAAGTTCACTATACTCTAGGGTATGATCCCCACTTGGTTATTATAGCTCTCTACTGTTGAAAAACATCGAAATTGGTTTGTGCTCTATCTTCGGTCAGCTAATGTTCACATGACGTCTCTCTTAGTGATCTTCAGACTCGTAGCAATTCAACCTCTTCTTTGCCACATGCACTCGTAAATGTTGAGTATGTTTTTGCGTTATATTCTGTCCCTCGTCTAAGGTGAGATATGTATAGCTTTGCGTTTAAATGAGGCATGAAACCTCATTTTCACTTTTGGTTCTTGCTTCTCTTTATGTTTATCGTTGCACGTCAATAAGATGCCTATTTTATATTATCTGATGGTCCAATAACAACGGTATGTATATATTTGCTACCTAGAGTTCATTCAAACTCTACCTTATGTATCACACCATTTGATTTCTAAACACTTGACCACATGTGTGACACTCCATTATCAGTGCACATTTTTGAGGCCCACTGGTTTAAACGTTCGATTTCGAAATATTGGGTCTGTAGTTCTAACTTGGGACCACCCACCAAAGTTTCTTCAACAGTTTAGTTCCAGTGGCTGTTGTGCAGTGTGTGAGGTTTATTGCCTACTGTACGGATGTCTACGTTTTCGTGCAGTACATTTCGGTTATGCATTATAATGAAGTAATGCCGCAAGGCCTTCAATAATAAGGTAGTCGGGATAAATTAATGTTTTCGGAATTCAATGATCATGTGCTTCCCGAGATACCAACAAATCAATGTAGAACGTTGCATAAGAGTGGATCACTTCGAGCTACCTCACTTGGATGAAGTGTACAAAATGGATTGATGTTGGGGTAAGCAAAGGTGCTGAGAACAGATTACTATTCGTGAAGGCAGTTAGTACTCTAAATAGATAAAGTGTTTTCTTATGTACCACTGACCGATTCCTAGCTTGTCATGGGCCTGGCAGTCTTCCTTTCTCTTCACAGCTGAAACAGGCTGTTGAAGACCCCATTGATTCATTCCACGTTCTTTTCTCCCACCTGCTTACCTCTCATTTCAATCCGTTCTCGGCTTACATTGCACTTTTAGATAGGTGGTGGCTCTGGATACCCGATGCATTTTCTTGCTTCGTAGTTTCATCGGCTTATCTTTATTTAGTACCTTTTACTTCAGTCGATCAGCATCAGCGTGGGTTCCCGCATCACTGCGTGAAAGTACATATAAACACACTACGATAGAAAGTGTAAAAATGAAATTTAGACAAATAAGAGAAAAAGTGGTCAGTGGTAGAAAGTCGTGTAAAGAGAATATGGGTATTATAAAGCTATAATGATTCAAACCAGCTATAGTTCGGATGATGCAAAGAATGAATTCTATGAAAAGCTACTTTGCCACATAGAGCGAAACGTTCGAATATAGTCATAATGGCGGGTGATTTTAACGCTTAGGTAGGGAAGTTAAGCCATTCGCAAAGGGATCTTGAAGGTATCTAAACAGTTTCATGTCACTGAACCGACATTGGTGTTCTGTTTCGGTTGTGCTCCGACAATCACTTTTCTGGCCAGGTATGAGACATTGTCTCACATGTCGACCTCCAACTTGACGATAAACACGGATATATCACATTACCACAAGGTATCGTTGGAGGATAACCACTTTCTGGGGCACCTGTGTAAACTCCGATCATAGGTTAGTTCGGGCTCGTGTATGTCTGCTTCTTACTGGTCGCACGGAACAGGATAGTCAATCCTGCCTATGGTAGATTGGAAGGTGAGAACATGAAGTCCGAATTTAGGGAGGAGATGGCTAAGCATTCATCTGCACTTGGTAGCAATGCTCATCCCGGGGAGACCCGGCATGATATTGAGTCTGCTGTAGAAACAGTGGAAAAGACAATTGGTAACCTACACCCTAAGGTTAGCAAACGGCATTGGATTCCGCGACGTCATCCGAAATGATTGATTTGAGAAGACTGATTCCAGCTGACTCTTACCAGAATGAAGAGTAAAAACAATTCAAACATAAGTTAACCAAGAGTCTTTGCAGTGATCACAAGCATTGGTGAGTGATGAAAGCGAGAGAGATGAACAGGGCGTCAGCGTTGGATAGCAATCGGCAACTGTTTAGGCTTATTAAAGATACTGGCAAGAAGAAAACGAGTTAGTGAGACCATCACCGAGCAGGATGGGAGGCTGATAACCTCCCACGATAAGTGGCCAGAACGTTGGGCAGATCACTGAAGCATATTTCAACTTGTCTTCAGAAACTCTGCAGTTGCCCAGCATCTAACAATAACTCGAATGGGACGTGGATGTCGGTCCTCCAACTGATTTTGAAGTTTAGAAAGCTGTATCGACGCAAAGCTGCAGGATCTGACAGTTTAGTACCTGAAGTTTTCAGGGGTAGAGGTGGGGAATTTTTGATTATAGTGATTTCAGTCGCTGAAGGTTCACAACCTCATTGACCGACATTCCTTTCTCCCCTGTAACCTTCACCTGACCTCACCATTGCTAACATAGTGATTCCACCTTACGAATACACCTGTATTCCTATATCTTCTACTTCTAACGGCCATGTCACAGCCGTATAACAGGATAAAAAGGACAGCCTCGCAATAAAATCGTCCTCTTACAGGTAATCAGATATCTCACCAATCGGCACCAGGAAAACACAAGCTGATGAATGCTAAACAGACCTGTTTTATTTGGGATCCGGGTGGATAGTGCGCAACGGAATAGTAACTTGAGGTCAGTTGAAATGTTTCTAAAGTATTCTGCCCAGTCCTAGTCTTCTCTTTCGCGACTAAATCGTAGGACCTTTCATCTCTACTCTGGTTGTGCTAACCATTGACCTTCTTCACCCCAGTCTCCTCGACAATTCTAAGTGGCTGTCTAATTTTACCCTTCATCACAGCTGTCGACATCTCTTTAGCCTTCGCTGGTCACCACTGCTAACAGTTATAGTGTAGATTTTTCAAGCCAACTGTATAATATTCACAAATGGATATGCAAAATTTCAATATTGTTGACGCATAATTCCTCAAAATGTACAAATAATTGCAAGACCTGAAGAAGTTATCGAAATGAATATTTGTTATTCACTCAAATCGACTCTGTCAGTTAACATTTAAGTTGCTTTCGCTCCTGCAGGACTGCATTCATGCGCATCCGTTATTTCTAAAAAAAACTTGGGCATCTTGTACACATCCTTGCAGTAGTCAATGAGCCACACCTATTGTGTGAGGGCTATCGATACTACCTGACTACGCAAACCTGTAGGTGCGGTAGTGCTCGAACTCGTGACCCAGTGGTAGACAGTCATCTCCATAAACCGCTGAACCTCAGCTCCACCATTTCTGAATAAGCTGCTGAGGTCGACCGGCTCTTTCTAACCACTTTTTTAGAGTCAGTTATCGTCTTTAACTGCTTTTACAGCAGTCTGGAGATGGCACCAAGCTTCTGGATTAGTGATGTCAATATGTTACGATAACTGTCTGTCCTGTTCTTCACTGAAAGTAGCTGTAGTATTTTCGTCGTCGAGCTGCTATCGAAATGATCATGGTGCTGTAGTTTTTCTTCGTCTGTTTAGGCACGAACGTGTACTTGAACCGAGCCGTGCTCCGGAAGGTGCAACAATTTGGTGTCAACCGTCTCCAACGATGACTGGTAGCAATATGATGTATCTGTGTCCACAATTAAGATTGGTGGATACCACCTTATTGTCCTTCTTTATGTTCAAAGTTCGTATTGCTCAGAAACAGATGGTTGTTTGAGCACACTTGTAGCAGGCAGTTGCCATTATCTGTTCATTTAGTTGCTATTCGGAAAGTGTATTTATGTGGCTGCGGTTTAGGGAGATGACCACCAACTAGCGGTTCTTGATTTCGGACCCCACTCCAACTACTGAGGTTTGGACAGCCAGGTAGTGTCATTAGAATGCTAGACAATTTTCGGTTGATCCCATTTTTCACTAAATTCTAATTGTAGTCAGTTGACATATAAGCATAGATTACAACGAGAACGGTGAGCTCTACTATTCTTTTTAGTTCTTACTGCACCGTTAAGTCGAATGGCGCACAGTCGATTGTTAACTGGGAATCTAGTTGAGCTGTAAACTTTCTGTCTTACCAACTAGTGCTATACCCACACGTGCAACACTACAAGAGTTAGTCACTAAATTTCCAAAAAATCGAGTGAATTTCGTGGATTCACCAAATTGGCTGGGTAGGTTGCAGTGAATAACCGTGTTTGGGTTCTGTATACATGTCTTAAAAAAACCACACATCCGAGACCGGAGATGCCGGTTTTGACTAGCAAAGCTTGCTGGGTGATTTGATGAGGGTTGGACACAGTGAAAGCTGTTTCAATAGACCAGGGACGCTGTTTCTTAAAGTCGAATCATTATCAAGAGCTGCAGGCTTAAAATAAAGTTGTTGTAGGAATGGCTGAGAGACATAAGGAATGTTTATAAGGTAAAGATGTGGAAAGTTACTGAGTGATTAACTGATTGACGAGATCAACGTAGAACCTCGCGCAGGAGTTCTTCAGCTCAAGTTGCCACACTTCGCAGAAGTACACAAGGAACAGGTGGTTAGGAGAGGAGTGATATCAAAGTTGATAAAGTGGTGTGAGTGAATATTCAAGCTTTAGATGTCGAGAAGTGAATATATCTGAGCCATCATAACCGATTTTCAGCCACGTCACCAAGTGTTGGAAATTAACAAATATGTAAGGGAACTTGAATACTGACCGAGTTGTGAGGGTGGTTGACATTTCCTGGCTTCGCACACTGTGGAAGGCTATTTGTTCTCGAGGTACCTAATGAAATTGAATTATTAATAGTACAGCGCCCAAGGGGTGTCTCATGGCTGGTCGCATGGTCATTTGGGAAACTTGATATTTAGCCTAGATTGATTTGCACATGGTACATAAACACATGTCGTTGACAGTCGAAGACTTCAGGGTGAGGGGTGTGTTATTTTTGGGGTCAATCTTTTCCAATCCCGCCTTCCTGTAGAAAAGTTAGCATCAGCACGGTGCTGTTGGCCATCGACAGGAATCACCTTACTTCTGTCACACTCGCGTCCAGCCAGCAGTGCAGCTTCATCCTCAGACCCTCATTATAGCGTAGTATTTTAATCTATTGCATTGACGTTTTTGTCTAATGACCGACCATCCTGGCCATCGTACAACCTCAAAGGGCAATTGTTCCAAGGAGTGTCATTTTGATCTGCAAACACTACCACTGCATCAGGGTAGTAGCTATCAGTCATGGGATAGTATCACAAACTCACACAATAAGTTGCTCATTGTTTTTAATATACCAGCCTCCACATAGTAGTTTACATATTGTCAACCTTCATCATTGAAGGCTATGCTGAAAGCTATGAGTTTCTCTCTACCTTATGCTTTTGTGTTATAAGTAACGCTTTTTTTGACCGACGGAATTTTTAAACACAAACACGTACGAAAACTGTGTAACTTGTCTCAGGCAAACGTCCCTTTGGCCCTGTGGTCACGCTAAACTAACCCAACTCCTTTGGGTACTTTTGGAAGACCATAATTTTTACTGTGTTCGAAATCCTAAAACTACGCTACTGACTTCACTTTGTAGCTTTCTATACTTGACTTATGTTAAGTGAGGCAACAGAAAAGAAGTAGTCAGGGATTTTTGGACATGGGAGTTCTTATGTTGATACAGCCTGGTATTATAATCTGCAAATGGTTCATAACTCTGTAAGTAAAAGTTATTGGGAATAATTAATTGACTACATTTTCATCCAAACTTGTTAAGTTTGGCGTCGATTGCCGAGGAATAAAAGTAGCTTAAAAGCTAGCTAAAATTCTTCGAAATGATTGTGTTTGTTGAAGGCGAAATAAATTGAGAAGACATTGACACTAAGTAATGCTGGATACTTATTTAGAACTATTTGATAGTAATAATAATAATGACAGTTTTATTTTGAAAGGTACTTCGGGAATTCTATACAGGATTTTGAGGGTGTGATGTATAGTGTTGTTTCGCATTTGAAAGTGAAAATTACGAAAGCATGTGAAACAACCTTTCAGTGACACTCACTTTATGTATGGTGGGTTAGGATTAGAATCGATAGCTGAGGTAGGTGTGCTTCTTAACGTCAAGAATCAGAACTTCCGTCCCTGTTGTTTCTGCCACTGGTTGACATCATGACTTAGCACATCAACTCATACGTAGTTGCTGAAATGCACTTTTTCGTTTATTTCTCGGCACTGTTTCAGCACTCCCAATAAACTATTTCCCTGTGGATCTAACTCCCTTGTTCAACAGGTTCTCAGTCCAAATTTCCTACTTCATTTTGGACAACTAAGTAATACTGATTATTTTAACGCGTTATCTCCATATCATGATTGATAAAATAAACGTGCTAAAGTATTTTTCTCGTCATTTTGCTGAATTGATATTTCAGTTTGTGTTGTTGCATCATCGTCTATTTTCACAACTCACTGACAGTTGACAATTATCAAGATCATGATTGTTACTTAGTTTTCGCTCTTTTTAGTACATTTACAGGACGAGGTTTATGACAAGCGGATTAACAATGAATGTTCAAGAGCATAGTGACAAATCTTCATCTCCATCTTTAAAGAGGAATATTCAACTACTGGAATCAGCATCCGGATGCTTTACATGTTTCACATGCACACATAGCAAGATCACTGGCGGTAGTGATTCTAACCAGTCTTATGTATCTCAAAAGCCGGGATCAAGCACTTCAGACCCAGAGACCTTTAGTTCTCATCTAGCAGAATATCATGCAAACACTGAAAAGCACTTGTGTCTGTACTGTAACTCCATAGTTCATCGATCTTGTTTTGTACTTCACGTGTCCAAACATTTACTGAATGGTGCATCATCTAAATCTTTGGAAATCTTTTCATGTCCATTTAAGCCAACATGTCCTGACAGATTTAGTACTAGTCAATTTCAGCATATGCGTATTCACTGGAATTCTCGACATCATAATTCAGTTACAATAATGTGTGATCAATGCCTGAATAATTTTTCTACTTTGTCGCAGTGGGGAGAACACATAAAATCTTATTCATGCTCTATTGTTCATTGTACTTTCCCTGGGTGTTTTGTGAAGTCACCATCCAGAGCACTTATTTTAGATCATATTAGGTTAAAACATTCAAAATTTTCAACTCCTAAGGAACAAACTGTATTCCCGTTATTTCAAGAAACGTCAGAAGTGAGTTTTTAACATTTAGCATCAGATTTTTGTATAGTATGCTTTTTTAAACATCAGGCTGTCACTGTATAGGTAGATGTTTGTAACATAGTTAACATTTAGTTTCGTTGATTAGATGTGTGAATTTTATACTTTAAGTTAGCGATCCTTGTATTTGTGAAGAGTTTGTTCATACTAGTCAAATACATTATGATGTCATCCGTTAAAGTGCACCCCGATACTGAACCTTCTACCTTGGTGGCGATATCTCAAATATGTTCGATAGGATTTAGTCAACATTCAGAACTAGATGACATGAAATGGGTTACTCTTTAAGGACAAATCGGTGTGTAGTTGTCATTCTTTCTTTGTCATAATCTCATAATATTTGCTAACTTCGACTCTTTCAACCAGTCTCAGCGACAGAAAATACTTCTCTTTTAAAAGCAGGTAGCTAGAATGTGTAAATCGTGTCAATAGACTAGCGTAGTGTTTCGTTCTCTTGTACTTTATTGTATATATATATATATATATATATATATATATATATATATATATATATATATATATATATATATGCGCGGTGGTGAATAGCCAAACATAAATGAAGACCATTAGTTTCTTTCTGAAGTATTCTACAGTCTAGATGAAGTCACATAACTAAGGGATCAAAAAGACAAAAATCGTGGAGATCTCAACAATAAAGTATCTATACGTCTGCAGAAACTACCTTGTAGGAACTTACGTCACCTTACTCGATCTTATATAGAGACTAGTGATGATACATTGAGTGAATTACAGAACACATTCAGTCATAACAACTCAGTCGTAGATTCGTTAAATTTATTTTGTCGCATAAAATTCGTCAACTTTTGTCGAAGTATGAAGTATCGTACTCATTCACAAACAAAGACTGAATTATGCGAATCATTACTTCGAGAACCGATTGAAGAATATTTTCCAAAATACCCATAAAAATGTGTTATTAGTCCTTCTGATGTTCAGTTGTCTACACTCGAATTAGAAGCGTTGTCTTTAGGCTTTGAATATCATGTTCCTCACAATAAACTAAACGGAATTGATCTTGAATGTCAGTTTAAAAATTTGTACAACCAACTGTCGATTTTCGAGCCCACATCAGATGATAAAGAAGCTGGTTGAAAGCCAGATTTGTTGATTTAGCTAATCAGTATGCCATCAGCCCAAAATCTCATGGGAACTCTTTACCCAAAAAGCATCACAAAGCCACCAGTGAACTGACAACGAATAAACGAATTGTCTTACTGAGACCGGATAAAGTCTCTGGTGTGGTCGTGCTAAATAAGCAGGACTATCTTTCAAAAACGCTCACTCTATTGAGTGACAAGAAACACTTCTCTCAGGAAAAGAGTAATAAAGACATGACTTTACAGACTGAAAAGAAGATAAATCAAGTCCTCAAACAGTTACTGAAACAGAAATTAATAGATAAACAGCTGTGCGAAACGTTGAGACCCCGAGGTAAACATTTCCTAAGAATGTATGGTCTTCCCAAGATACACAAACGAGGAATACCCTTACGTCCTATATTAGCAGTACCAAACTCTCCATACCATGAACTTACTCGATGGCTTGCACAATTAATTGAGTCTATCAGGAAAGAGCTATCTGTCCATACTTTAAAGGACAGTTTTGAATTCACTAGTAGGATTGATAATATTAATATAAGATCATATGTAGTCATGCTGAAATGATAGACTTTTCATCTGACGGACTGAAAGACCTATTGATGTTATGCACAATGAGTGTTCAATTCCAGTTCAATGGCTCATATTGCAGACATAGGTGTGGCTAATGGGCAGTCCTCTTGGTTCCATATTCGCAGACATATTTCCAGACCACCTAGAAAATACTGAACTTAGTGATGCTATAAAACACAAAATTGTATTTAAGATATGTAGATGATACTTTCATCATATGTGAGAGTGAACTCCATGCAGTGAACCTACTCAAATCTTCCAATTCGGTTCATTCAGACTTGAAATTCACATGTGAACGTGAATCGTCAGATGGAATAGATTTCTTGGATTTGAGTATTAAAAGAAATGAAGACGGTTCTATACTACACAGAATTTATCATAAGCCTACTTGGACCGGTCAGTAATTGGCGTTTGATAATTTCTATTCAATCACTTATAAAAGAAGTCTAGTCAAGACTATTTTTAAGGGCTACCAGACTTATGCTCCAAGGAAGTCATCGATAATGAACTGAACACTAAACAAAAAACTTTGACAGATGATGGATATCCCATAAAGTTCATCAATAAACGTTTCAAACTTAAAAATGAGAAACTAAATGATACAACCGAGCTGAAAAAAAACGTGTTCATCAGACTACCATTCAAAAGCGATGAATTGAGTTCACAAAATAATCGCCTATTGAATGCATGCATCGCACTAGCTTATTCAGATGCGAAATTAACAGTTATCTATGACACGAAGAATTTAAATGTGAGACCTCCTCGTGTTACCTCCAACTGTATTTATTTATTCACCTGTACTTGCAGTAGCATGTGTCGGAAGGACGGAGAGAGAGAGGGTCCTTACTTAACGAATCTCTGAGCATGCGCCGAAAAGCCTGTCGTTCAGAGATGGAAGGCTACCAACCAGCGTCGTTGGAAAGCACATACTCGACACAGGTCATGCGGTCGACTCAAACATAGGTTTTAAGGTAATCAATAGACAAAGAAATAGTAGGTTACCACGTTATGCAGAAGCAGCAGCAATCCGTCGACTAAAACCAGACTTATGTGTACAAAAGGAGTTTGTGGTTCATCTTGCATTGCCTTATGAGTTGTTATTTTCCTGCAGCTTTGTTTACTATTTTATTCTTTCATCTTATTGTCTTGCATATTCTCAAACTATTCATATTCTCATCATTTTGATTTACCTTTACCTATCATATTTTTTTATCATGTTTGTTAGCATATTCTTTTCGATTCCTCTACCATTAACTCACATACTCTACTTACTGTCTTTGTTGTTCTCCCTCGTCCATTAGAATTCCTAACACCATGAGCTGTAATCACATTCCTGTACTACTATCACATCGTATTTTGCTTTGTGTTTACTTATATATATATATATATATATATATATATATATATATATATATATATATATATATATATATATATATATATATATATATATATACATATATATAGTACATCTCTGATGAACAGATTTATTATCGTTGAGGTGTGTAAGGACTGCTTACTGCAACTCTTTATTACCTGTATTATTATTTCATGCTTGTCACTAAAGCACTTATCTGCTTACTTCACCTTTTGAGGTGGGTTAGCACTGAGCATAACATTTTGGTTTTTGTGGGCTATCTGCTTGTGGAACTGTAAATGAATCAGCCTACTCTGGCGTATCATTGTCAATTCTACAAAGATCCATAGGTAAGGATAAAATTAACAACTCACCTAGTATCCATAAAGTGGCTTTTCTCAATTGCCATTCTATTGTTCGAGACGGCCTTATACACACAAATGCACTATTTCATTATTTTATAACTGATTACGGTCTAGTTTTTTTGTTGGTGAGGCTTTTAACTTGTTGTATAGGAATTCTTTTCGCAGTATTTGTGTAAAATCATTGTGCATTATGCAATATCCACTTGATATACCGTCCTAATTTTACTCTCGTAAAACTTCTTTTAAACATCGGTGTGAGATGTGAGTTTTTCATTTCTGAAATCCATTTCCATTACATCATTGACGTAAAATGGACAAACTGAACACTCGTGAACGTTTCACACATGCAGTTTGTCTTCTATGCTTCATTATTATTAAAATTTTGTAGATATTATTTGACTTTCGTATGATAAAATCCTTTCTTGAAGTGTTTTTATTTGTATTTCAGTTAATCTGTAATCGTCTTATAAAGTTAGACAGTGTTTCAAAATCTGTTACTACTTCGTTCACTGCAGTTGATCAGCTTCCCCCTATGAATATAATGTGTACAGATCTGTGTCCTCCATTTGTCTTTCTGCTTCGTTGTCCTTATTGTGATCTAACAACTGTTCGATGGACTTATTTTTTAATGCATCCAGCTTCATGTTCAGGTATAAGAGCATTTGTACACAATCGTCAGCGGGAAGATGGAACTCAGTTACCTCTCATTTACCGTTGCCATATCTACTGGTGCTCAAAGTGTCAAGTGGTATCTACAGAACAGAAACTATTAACGGAACACGTTACATATTCCCACAATCCCAAGGTATTTTTATTTATGTTTGTGCATAATGTTCATTAAATTGTTGTTTACAAAATCGATAGCTTTGCTATTTTATAAGTTGCCAGTATATTCTTGTACATAATTTCTACAATTTTTGGATTAAGCTGGTAACTAGCGCCTATTAATTGATAATTTTCAAAGCTTTTACATCCTGGTGTTTTGAATAATTATGAAATCATTTTGACTAAATTTGACTAGCACATATCACATACATAACAATTGATGTGCGCTGATGACGTAACAAGGTTTAGATGTAAACAGAGCTTAGGAGTAGATCGACGAAGATGTATTAAATGTAAAGTCATTCCCTATTAGTCGGAGTTTTGTTGTGGAGAAGTTAAGTTTTATCGGTTAAAATCCCACCAGTTATCATGAACAACTGGTTGAAAACTACGTTGATTTTACTGTAGCTTTCGTTTATCAAAACTCTTCTGATATACCTTTCAAATCATTTCACTGAGCACCAGCTCTTTTAAAATTTCATAATCGCTAGTGTTTAATTTGCTAAAAAGGTGAATTCTGTATATTTTATCGGTTTAGTATTGTAAAATTGTCGCTCCAAAAGTGTTTCACCATCTATCATAATTTTATTATATGGGGTTACTTACTACAAGCACAACTTCATTTGATAATTGTTACGTCTTTTACCCAACAGCACAAAATATCAAGCATTTTATGTTGAAAGAATAGTTTTTTGTGCTTCCTTCATAGAGAAATCTTTCATTTGGTAACTTTTAAGTGGTATTTTGTGATTAGATGATCGTAATTGCACCTAAACGAATTGAGTAAATAGAAATGTCCTCGAAATATCAATATTCCAGCAAGTTATTCTTGTCTGTTTCTTTGTTTAGCACCTGCGCACGCAAAATTGTCATGTCATCTCGAGTGTTGTCTGTTGAACGGTATGTTGGTAGAAACATTTCGGTGTTTGACCAGTAAGTAGTGGCGTGTATCTATTTATAGGAATTTTGAACGCTTGCTTACGTTGTAACCGCGTTAGGAAATTCAAGCAATAATTATGTTAAACGGTCAATGTGGCCTGAAATATAATCAGGTAGATAAACAGGATAGTCAGTTTGGCTGTGTTGTTTTATGTTATTCCTGACAGTCATTCTGTAGACTACTGTTAACTCAATAACTTTGGACAACTCAGCCATCCTACTTGTTCATCAGTAGCAGAAATTTGCTATTTGGTTATGCTACTGGTAGATAGTTCGTTTTGTTAACTGCCTTTATGTTCTAGTTATTCGTAATTAAGTCTCCTATGTTTGCTAATCTTCTGTTTATTCTTTCCTTCAAGGAAGCAAGTGTTTATCGAGAACATTGGCGCGTTTCCTTATTAGATGATAACTCTGAACCAATTATAACAGGCTTATCCGTAAATCTTGAACGGGATTTAGAATCTTCTAAAGATGCTGACGACATGCTTCCTCCTTTCTCGACAACTGAAGACGATGCTAATGATGACGAAGAAACAGAGTCACCTATGAATCTTGCCGCTTTAGCCCGACCTAGTTCATCTAAGTTGGGTAACCGAGCTCAGCAAACAATACCAAACAACTTTCCTACACTGTCTGTTAGCAAATCTTCAACTAATGATAATTGCACGGGAGTTAGTAACAGCTTGACCAGTGTTTCGGCTAATCTCCACATGAACAACTCAACTGCTCTGAAGACTTTTCGGAATTTCACCGTTGCACAAGATGTTGGAAGCTTTCCTACTTGCAATGCAGCGTCCGCTGTTGCTGCTATGGCTGCAGCGGCTTTATCGGGTTTAACAAGTTTCAATATGAATAATGCTGTTTCACATTCAATCAATCCTTTCTCCACATCATTACCTTGTGATATCTCTTCTCCGATTCCAATTCAACCTAAACCTAGTACTCTTCCCGCTGAAGTTGTAGATCCTGTGCAGGGAAATGAAGAAGTAAACAAAATTGATACAGAAGAGTCCAAGTATGCTGACTCACTGGACTCATCAGCCAAATCTCCTGCTGATGAATACTTGTCTTCAGATGATGCAGGGCGTGTATGTGATGGCTTAGTATCCTTTCCATTCGATGAATGCAAATTCCGCAGCGAATTATCTACACAGCTAAGACCTCATATAATCGACCTTTTGGTTTCAAAAATGAAGCAATTCTCCTCATATTTCGTTCGCATTTTAGGCAAAGAAAATCACCGTCGAATTCCTGTTTGTCCAGAATGTGACAAAGTGTTTCCTTACGGTCTTGGTGATTTCAAGCGGCATTTACTTACTGTACATCTAGAAGTTCCTAGAGAGCATCTTAAAGATTGTTTGCGCTTTACCTATCTTCCAAAAAGTGAGGAAAAATTTCAAGAAGTTCAGGAGCAAATTGCCATGCGTCAGATGAAGCCACGCGTCCTCGAAGCTGGTCGTCGTCGTGTTCCTCTGCCTTATTCAATACGCATTTTGCGAAGGTTGACTGCACATCTCCCCATAGTAACTCGAGAATTCTTGGAGCAAAAAATGCAACTGTATAGTCGCCTGTCGGTTGTAGTGGATACTCGTGGAGGATTCCGACGATACAAATGCAATCATTGCTCTTATTCATCACCTCATGCTCTAGCTGACGTGAGAAAGCATATACTAGGATCTCATTGTGGCATCTCTACCAAGCATTTTCGTCACTGTCTCCAGGCATCTCGTTTAGATCCTGTAGAGTTCACCCTGTTTTCCGATGAAAAGTTAGCCCGCCTTGCAAGGGACTTTCTACATAGACGTCAAGTTTCTACTATTCCCATCAGTCCTAATGCCTCTCCAAAGTCAAACAGTGATAATCACCTCACGTCTACTGAGAGTACTTCTGTCGCGTCACCGACTGTATCTAGTAGTTTGCCATGCGATCCTCAGGATGCTTATATCTCTCATTTTACTGCTGTCGTACCAGGTTCAAAAACGAAAGTAACGGTGCGAATTCGACCTCCAATTCCTCCTGATTTTCGCAATTCTGACCCATTGACCTCTGCTGACTTATCTTCAAGTCACATCAATGGAAATCTATCATTGTGTCAGCCTTCTATGTCTCCTTTTGAATGTGGTGCAGAACATCAAACAACCTCCTCCAATACAAATTCGGAATTAGCTTCACTTCCATCTATCCCGGGAATTGAAGGTGCTGATCGAGTGGTTGACCTAGCTCTGCCATTTTCCGAACCGGTTCTTCGTCATTTGTTGGAATCTTCTGGTGCTCCAGAACGTCATATCGAAGATATAGTTGGAAAAATGCGTGTGTACTCAACTTACAAGATGAGTCGAATATGTCGCAATGATCGTACCATAGCGTTTCGCTGTCCTTGCGGTCGCTTATTCATTACAACTCGACAACCGGATAGTAAAATACGTGCTGCAACATTAGCAGATAGTAGACGTCATGTTATGGGTGTTCATGCACGCATTCCAAATGTATTCATAACGATCTGTTGTCAGGCTTCTCGTATTACAAGGGAGTACGATTTTCAAATATATCCTGATGATATGCTTCTCCGATTAGCTATGGATAGGCCCATTAAGCTTAATAATCTTCCAGTTCCTGCACCTTCCGACGTAAATACTTCGAACACAAATGGTCGTTCATCTTCAAATAATTTTTCGAAACCGTTAAAGGAATTAGCTCCTTATCCAATTGTCGCTACAATCGCTCCTCAGCAACCAATAAACACTAACTCTGTTTCATCTTCACCTCGAACACAAATTCTGGATGTTGGTGAAGCGGATTCGGTAAGCGAAGGAACTGATACTGGTGGGACAAGCGGCTCAATTAATCACGATGAATCATTTACGAAATATGAGAATAGTGAAAATGACGATAACAAAGAGAGCTCAGATATAGATCCAAAAAGGGTTCAGAAGGAACCTGAAGACCCACTGGCACAGTTAAATGCTGTTCAAGCTTCTGGCTCTGAGGAAGTAGAACGTGTGATTGATCTTCCATATTCCTCCGAGGCATTGAAAACTTTAGTACAAGGCTACTGTCCCCCCAATTTCTTCCCAGTGCTTGAGGTTTGTGAACTTTTTTATTCAGTTTCTTAAATAACTTCGATTGTAGAGTTGAACAACTGGCACACAACACTTAATCTCCATAATCATATTTATTTGTTACGCGTTACTAATCTGTCACAGCCGCTACCGATAACTGCTACCTTGATGTGGTTGTCAACCTTGTCTATCCCAGTAATCCAACTAGTTTTACTGACCGGAATGTTTGTTTTCTCTGAGGTCTCGTCATTCCAGAATTGTCAAAAATTTATAAGACAAACTCAGTTAGACTCATAGTGTGATTGGTTTACGCTATAATAGGGGAAAAGGGTCCGACAGCAAAATCGTACTGGTGTCTGGACAAGGGTTTCACAACTGAGTTGTTTTCTATGGATGACCACCAGTTCATGCTGATGCTTCCTTCTCTGTTAGACTGGTGGGGGGTTAAAAAAGGTTTGCTCGAAAAACGACATATTTTCCTAATCCCCTACTTTCCTTCAGTGTCAACAGTAAGCGTTTTCTCTTCTGGCTGTTAGGAAATCAAATCTGAATCAAAAACTCTTTAAAACCTATCTGACTGTTTACAGGAGAATACAAAACCCAGCTAACTATGACTTATTCTCTTTTGTTTCCTCCCTTACCTTCACTTTCTGATACCAATATTAGACCCCTCACAATCTCTTACCCTACAAATATTGCTAACTCTCCAAGCTAGTGACAACAGTTCCAAGTCTCTAGACCACACTGACAAATTCGCATTAGAGCTTTCAACTTTTGAGCCCTGTGCCAAGTGGGACAGTAGGTGTAACTTGCCACAACTCTGGAATCTCAAGCAATAGATGTATGGTCTTTTTGGGACCTGCATACGGGACCTCAAGTGACCACAGTGTTGAATATGCGAAATTCGTTTGACTAGTGTATGGATATTCAGTGGCTAGCTCTCGTGGACTCGCTGTTGTAGGTATAGCGCTAAGCTGTAGGGCAGAAAGCACATTTCTCTATTCGATCCCAGTCAAGCGTTTGTGTACCAGTTGCTAATCTGCAAATACCAGTGAATTTCCTCAGCCTCATCCTAATTGACTGACGCAAGAAGACTCATTCGCCTGAATATGACCACATTGAGAAGTAAAAGTAGCTCAAATATAAACTAACCAATTATCTGTTCTAGCTGCGCTGAACAGGATTGAGATCTAGAAAGCTAATAACCAGTAATTATTCAGCCATTAGGGATACTGGGCATGAAAAGATAATGGTCATTCAGACTACCACCTGAAGGGATAGGTCCCTGACAACCTCTCGAGACAAGCGCTGGAAAGTTGGGCGTAATACTTTATAGAACAGTTCAACTTGTCTGCAACCAAGCTTTTGGTACCCAACAGCCAACCTGAACCTCAATGGGACGCAGATGTTGGTCCTTCGACTCTATTTAAAGTTGAGAAAGCTGTTTCAGACCTGCGAAGCGGCAGAACCTGAAGGTTTGCAACCAAAACGTTTTAAGGATGAATATTAAACATCACTAAGTAGAGTGAAAGAGATACTACCTAGTTTAATGGAATTAGAGATATTCCCGTCAGACTGGTCCAGTTTTTGAGAAGAGAGAGGAATCTGACAATCATAGTGTAGTCAATTTAATTAACGTCACTTCGGAAATCCTAAAGTCCATAGTTGTACGGTACCTAGCCAGAGCTCAACAGCAAACAACTTCTAAGAAAACCAGGCAGGCTTTGAAAGTGGACGCTGTAGTGCATTGGTCGAATCGTCACCCTTTAACAGGTGACGGACACTTGATCTAAAGCTGGTATTCGACTTTGTCAACTATGAGGTGTTGTGGCAGTCTCTGACTGAGAAAAGTAGAAGACGAGTATATTATGTTTATGAAGCCTATCGAACTCACCTGGCAGTATAGGGGGTTTTGAGTATTTATTATCTGAATTAACGACAATGGGAAATGACTACCAGGCATGATCACTGTCACCACCTTTTGTCTAGATTTTTATAAGCAGACTGACGGATATGACCCTGGTTACCTCCCACTCCACGGAGATTCATTTACTTTTTTGAGGACACCTGGTTGACTTAAAGCACGTAGACAACCTTGTCCTGTTAAGCGAAGATATAAAATCCATGGTCTTCTGGTCGTCTTGAAATCTGAAAATATTCGGGCATGCGTTATATACTCGTGAAGTGTAAGACAATACTTCAGAACTGGTCTGCACCAACTCCTGATAGAGAGTAAAATGGTATATTGCATCGATTACTTCACTGAAGGAGTTGCATCAGTTTGAATGGGCTGGGTACCGACGAAATCCTGACTTGAATTCAAAAGGCCCCTTTGACATTTATCATTTTACGCTATTTCTGGCGTTAGTGTATAATCCAACTCACTCAAAGGTTGAGTACACTCTGTGATATTGCGCTCTATTTTCCTGTACGGCCGTAACGCATGGTCTCTGAAAGTAATAGATATGGAGATGTTACAAGTGTTTTTTCATGGATGGCGTCATAGTCTTATTGGTCTGAATTAGAATCACATGAAGTGTCGGTATGACTGTAGACGTTTACTAGCGTTACTTTGACACGTTTCACTCACCAAGACATCAGCTACCTGACCATGCAATGTTAGCTGACGTAGGGTTGTGTTTAAAAACGGTTGGTGGTGGTCAGACCAATAACTAGTACCAGTCCATTAAGTCCTTGACTATTCGCCTTAGCTGTTTATAGAGATGTAGACTGCCTAACTGGAGTCCTCAAGAAGATAGTAATCAATAGTTGAGGAATCAAGGTTATGTAGTTTGAAATCAGTCACAGTGACATAAGTGTATGTATTCTTCAAAGTCTTGAACATTTTGTTGCGATTTATATGCTTTGGCTATTTGCTCACACATTTATCACTTTTCCTCTGCACATTTTACTTGCTGCTGTAAGAAGTAGAAACTTGAACTGATACGCTTCTGTCTCAGATTATATGTTGATCTACGCGTTTTTCTGTTCGTCAGTAAAGTTAGGTTTCATTAAAATAGTGTATGCTTCTATCGCTTCATACTCAACTATTCATTTCATTAAATTGAGAAAATCCTATTCTCAGAATTTTACATGACAGTATTTTTTTCTTCTCAGTCCATGAATTTGTTCAATGGTGTGTGACTGGATCATCAGATTGTGAATTTACTGCTGATCTATCCGTTTTAACTTCAGCAGGGTGGAGCTCCCTTTTACCATCACGTAGCTTTATGTACTTATAGTCTAATAATACTGTAATCTGCTTTTGGTGGCTAATTCTTAATACAGTGTGATTTCTAGTAACCATGTTGCATTTAATCGGATAATTAAATCAATAATTGTTGCTTTTTATCATGGTTCGTTTTTAATGAATGATTCGTTTATTATATCACAGGCTAAAATGGGAGTCTACAGTTCGCTTAAAGTTTATATCACCAGACGCCGTGGAAGGAGATATTTTTGTTGTTCGGGTTGTTCATCATCTTCACCTCATGGAATGGGTGATATTCGGAAACATATATTAGGTGTGCATGCAAAAGTACCTGAACGCTATAAAGCTGCCGCTATGCACTGTAGCCGTCTCAGTCGTGAAGATAATACTTTATTACCGAACCATGTGTTACTGCACTTAGCTAAGATGAAATGGAAAGGAACTGTGATCAAACCGCTCTCTGAAATGGATTTAACTCAGTTTGGGTCACGTCGTGCGTCAGCTGTTGGTTTATCTCGCCCATCTGGACAGTTTGCATCCCAGGTTTATCAGCCTACTGTTCACCGAGAAGTTGAGAAACTTGTAAATATTAATCGTGTTGACCATCTTCCTTCCAGTGCAAGCCAATATTCAATGAACAAAAGTTTATCAAAGGTAACTCAAGTCACTGAATAACAAACAGTTTTGCTCAAAATGATACATACTTTTCAAAAGTTGCGTAGTAAATTTGATATATATCATATAATCAGCGCTTTTTTATTCCCCTACTGAGAAATTAATTCCCTAATGTACATGTGTGCGATTATCTAGATGTAAAGCGAAGCTTACTTGTCAAAAACTCCAAACGCGAAATCAAATTATATTGGTCAACTTATTAAATTCACCTAAAGTCACGAGGTATTCATGTGAATGTGTTTCGCTATATGCATCTGGAAATAGATATGCCTGCATGTGTTTATTTGCAGCAATATCACCTGCCACTCAACTATCTTTGTGCCAATAAACTTATGTGATTCACAAACTCTTATAGAATATACCACTTGAATCATTTCTTTGACTCACTTAGCATAAAACTTTGTGAGTAAATTATATTTCACGATTCACACTCGTAAAGTATTTTTTTTTTACTAAGCTTCATTTCTTTGTCGATCTACATGCATTAAGGTATGATAGCATAAAACAAAGTTTGTTAGAAAGCATATGATTGACAATCTCACAAGTTGGCAAGAAAAAGAGGTTTGAAAGAAAAATCAAGTATATATTTCAGGTTTATTGAAAAAATAGGGGAGCTGAAGTTTAATGCGTTCTAATGTATATCATCCTCCTACATCATTCTTTTTCATATCATTATCACCTGACAATCGAATACTTCTACTCAGTGATAAAATGAAGAATTGTTCTATAACAACGAGAAGGAATCACCAGCAGGGTTGCGGCGCAAAGCCTTTTTCATCAGTGCAGAAGTTGACTATAAACTGAAGGATGGAAAATGTGACACAAGTGGTGTGTTTCGTAATTTTTCTGTGAGTTATGTAGGCGAATTTCGTTTGCATCTCAATCTTAACACGTGTAAATCAAAAGGTATTAACATCGTTTGGTTTTCACTTTTTACATCATTTCTCAATCCTTTCAATAGTATGTAGAAGTTAGAAATTAATTTGTTCAGTCTAGCTGTACTGTTGAAGCTGTTATTAACTGATTTGCTTTTTGTGTTGGATATGAAAAGAACAAACAAAACGCACTCAGCAGCCCTGTTCACACTCATATAGTAGGTAAGGAGCCACATATTGTGTGAGTTCTAGTGATACTACCTGGCTGCGCAAACCTCAGTAGGTGGAGCGGGGTTCGAACCCGTTACTCACTGATTGGTAGCCATCTCTTTAAGCCTCTGTGCCACATCTCCACTATGTGGGATATACAATTGTTCAAGTCATCTGTCTGTTATCACCTTTATATACCAGCATGCTTTAAGTCTTATAAAATAAGTGATGATAAGTATCCTGTGTTTAATATCTTTCCGAACCTACTATATCCAGTTTTCTTGTTGGAAGAGTTCTGCAATAAGCTGAAATCAACTAGGAATTCATCGAAAACTGAGAATTTATTTCGTTCTGTTTTTCCTTGGCAATGTATACTCCCTTAAGGGACTGAAATTAGAACCTTTAGGCTTCGCGATAAATACGTTACCGGTCGACCACTCACTTGCAACTACATGGTCCAAATTGTTTCAACTTACGATACCTGGTGATCAACATTTTTTTGTTTGTTTGCTTTTTATCAAAAGTTACTCACCCACTGTAACAAAACTGTGTGAAATGTTGCCGTATTAAACGTTACTGTAATTGAATGCATTAAGGATAAATGAGGAACTATGAATAGCAGGGACGCAGTTGTGAAAGCGATAATGTCAAATGATACGAGTCACTCAAACATTTATCGCATATTAACATTTCAAAAGATCCGACCGTATGGAGTAGTTTTTTCTCTTTTTACAAGGAACCGTCTACTAAAATGTATGATAACTACCCTACTAATTACACTGACCATACGCTCATTGTTTATTTTCATTTTCATTTAAGATTTCCGTACAAGAGGCTGATTTGATTGATGAAAATGGAATGAAGTCGAATAAGTCAATGGATTTACCTGATGATGATGGGACGGATGATCATGATAATGAAGAAGTTAGTAGTGCTACCGCCGATAATGATGAAATTGATCTACCTGAATTGCCTTCCAGCATATTTGACAATTCTTCAGATTTCCAGTTGGATGATGACACCTTTGAGTTGTCAAAACCTGCTAAAATACCTCGACTTAATGATGATACTGTTGTTGTTTTTCCGTTACCAGTTAATGGTACTTCTGTGCACAAATTGCATGGAAATGAATCTAGTGCTTTTTCGACTGTTCCAGTATCTAATACGCCTATTGTGGGCATACGAAACAAACCTTCAATTACGCCTAGTGGATCAAGTCGTCGTAAACCTAACAAAATGCAGTTAGTACAACTAAGACCTGATCATTATTCGGAGTCGAATTTCAGTTCCATTCATTCAATTAGTCCTATAGAAAACTCTATAGTTTCTATGCCAAATCAACAGTCAAGTGACACAACTTCGATACATCCTCAAGTAATAGATGTTGATGGCAATGGTATAGTCACAAAAGATTGTGATCATCTTACCAAAGTTAGTCATCCCCTCAATTCAATACAAAGTCGTATTGGTGTTTGAAATATCCTTTGATTAGTACTTTGTATCATATATGATTTCCAATCTTTTATTTATTCTTTCTCCTATGTTATTTACAAATGCTTCCTAGTGTGTAAATAAGTAATTTTGTGGGATAAGTGTATTACTTTTAACTTGTTTTTGATCTTATCTGTTTTCTCAGTTTTGTATTTGTATCTGTTTGTTTGTTGTACCGTTTCCTATAGGTTTGCTAATACTACTTAACTCGTTCCATATTTCTATCTTTCTCTCACGTGTCCAATGCATCTATTATTGTCTACAAATTGTGGTGTCTATAATTTTTTAATGGTTTGTTCGTATTACCTCTACAGAAGACAATTTTTAACTTGTAGTTCATTAATTCGGGAAGTAATGTTAACCAACAAAAAGTGTAAGGAAAAAAAAACAAAGAACAGTTTTACTGTTTACTTTTTCGTTTATTATTTGATCCACCTACCTTTATGGTGTTTTTGTATCCTGTCCTACATATTGGTGTGTATTTAGTTAATCCTTCTCAATTTAGCTAAGTAAGAAAAAGGCGATCGCATTTATTATTACTACCAGTGATTTATGCTGAACTGCCACTTGCATGTTTTCTTTTTTTGACTCCTTTTTCTAACATAGTCTATGATTATGGTTATTGTGAATAACATCTGTGTTTTTGGATGTAATCTTAGTTTACCTGTTATTATCTTTTTTCTCAGCATTTTCTCTTTATGGTAATGTCTACTCATATGATTATTACTTGATTTATATTACATAGTTGATGTCTATCATTACTTTATGTTTAAAGTCTAGTCGTTGAAAAAAAGTGATCATTTCGCCTGTTCATTAAATTGTTCCAGACTTCTATGCTTTTCCTGATGTTAAAGTTATGTTTGTAATAAATAAATGCATCTGTTCCTCCAATTCGACTATATTTGCTTGTACAAGAAGCCATTGCTTTTGTTGCTGCACTTAATTGCAGGATTTGTTTTGTGATTGCTTGATTTAGTGGACTCGACTAAACTTATAAACTGTATTCAAACCACCTTAAATTGATTCGTGCAAACTTCGTTACTGCTGACTAGAACAAAGATTATAATTCCACTTCTTCTTTAGCTTGCTATTAAGTACCATCTAAGCTGATTTCATTATTTTATCTCATTTAGTTGCATTTTTCAACTGATAATTTCCAAATAAGTCAGTTGTATTGTGCTGTTGCTGCTGCCTATTTTTGAGCGCAATCACTCTGTTGTTATCTGGTTTTCTTCTTTTGTCTTGTGATCAGTTTTAATTTCGCTCTTCATTGACTGTTAGGTTTTGTTTGTTTGACTTTCTTTTCCATTATTCTGAGTTATACATCCATATATATACTTTACGTAAATGTACATACATTTATTAAACAGTGTTATGTATGTATGAACAACTATATCTGTTTATGTATACTTTCTTGACCAAGTAGGTTTGGTAATTATGTTGAACGTTTTGTTTACTGTCTTTTCTACACTGATTGCCTAAAAAAATATAGTATAATTTTTAAATTCTTCTGACTGCTTTTTGTTATTTTTTGTGTTTTCACTGAAATATGTTCTGAGATTCTTGAAATATGACCATTTTGTAGTACCACGTAAGTAGTTGAAGTCGCTAATTGGCAGTCACACTATAGATATGAGAAAGTCATTAAAGAGGTGGTAGACATTCAGGATTTAGAAGCCTAAACGGTCGGTAATCACTCAAATCTGTTCTCACTCAACTTTTATGTTGTTTCATCCATCTAGCTTTTCACTGATTTCTGTATTTAAAGAAATTTTTATTAGTAAGTAAGCAGTCCTCTATTAGTGCACAAACGTTATGACAAACATGCCTCACACTTGTGATTTTCAAAATTTTTGAACATCAGTTAATTGAAGCAGCTAGTCCTCTATATAAATTTCGACAAAAACATCTCGTTTTGTCGAGACTTAAGTTACTGTATTTATAATTAATGAATCTGGATGCTCCTTCTACCTCATAAAAACCTGTGGCTTATGCCTTGAATGATGAAACTTGGAGCAGTTTTCGCGCAACTAATCACTTTTTACACTGCACATAAATTGAAGACTTCTAAAGAACTAATGAGGTGTAGCATTTATGAAGACTGGTGCTCATAGAACTTGTGTTCTGTGATGTACTACTATAATACCAAACAGTGAAAGGGGGGTTTACTGAAAATGGATCTGGGTAATTTGACCATAATATGTCCAGTGTTTCCGACGGATTTTGTATTCATTTGAAAGTTGGTAATAAACTAGAGCACTTAGAAAATTCCCTTACTTGAACGTTTCGATACATGCACCGCTTGACGGATTTCTAACTGCTTGTGCATTACCAGTATACCGATGGAAGTAGCAAGAAATGTGTACTCGTTCGATAGTAATGTTGTTGTGCAAGAATGACTATGATGGCCATACTAACCGCTACATCTACTGTGTTACCATTACAATAACAGCTATGTTATCGAGCATATTTTAAATAGTGTAACCAGTTTGAGATCACTTTTTAGTTGGCTAGTTCTTCCTTGAAATCCACGTAGGATTTATTTTAGGCAACTTGTAATTGGGTTTTAATAAGCATAGGTTGAAGATTATGATGAGTACCATTTATGCCTAAGGGATCCGTATATTCAACTTTGGGATATCGTTATTTTTGGAAGCTGGTATTTGTACATAGATTGTGTATGATCTCTAAAGTGATGCGTGGTTTATCTTAGGGGGTTAAAATCATTGTTTTTGCTTATATTACCAGGGGAGCTATGACTCAGTGGTTTAGGGAGGTCACTATCATTTCATATTAGATTGCTTATTTGATATTAGCACACAGTGACACAATATAATTTATTGGATGACGTTTCGAGGAGAATTTACTGCTCATATTCGTATCAAAGTATTTGTACGATTATGAAACTTCATACAGTCCAACAGTTCATTCATTTATTTTAATGGTAGTAAAATGTTCCATATGTCAGCAATATGTGATGAGTCATTCTTGTTACATGTGTTAGGTGGGGATTCAATGAACAAAGATTCTGTGATCAATCTCTCTCCACCTAGCTATATCGAATTTTGGAACTGTCACCTTATCCCTATGGTGTGATTATGCACCAGTGCGTACAGAGTGATAGCCGAGTTTTTCTCCAAATTACTTATCTTAGCAGGGTTCACCATTGTATGTTTCGCTTCATTTTTGTGTTCTATTCTGGCTGATCCAGATCGGCTGCTCTGGCCTATATACTTGACCTCACAATCATTACATAGTATTTGATAGACCAGGTTAATTTTCTTAATTGGTTGTATCGGATCTTTTAGCCTACAAAGTTTCTCTCTGAGCCATTGTGTGAGTGCCACCCTAATCCCATCATTGTTAAGAATTTTACGTAAAATTTCCGACATGCCTTCTCTATGCAGTAACACTACAGAGGATTTAAATTCTCTCTTAGGGTGACAATTCTAAAATGCAATATAGCTAGGTGGAGAGAGATTGATCACAGAATCTTTGTTCATTGAATCCCCACCTAACACATGTAACAAGAATGACTCATCACATATTGCTGACATATGGAACATTTTACTACCATTAAAATAAATGAATGAACTGTTGGACTGTATGAAGTTTCATAATCGTACAAATACTTTGATACGAATATGAGCAGTAAATTCTCCTCGAAACGTCATCCAATAAATTATATTGTGTCACTGTGTGCTAATATCAAATAAGCAATCTAATATAGAATTATACTCTAGCACAGTGCCTAAGTTTTTCCCTAATATAGATGACTATCAACTAGTGGGTCACTGGTTCGAGCCCTGTCCCACCTACCGAAGTTTGGGAAGCCAAGCAGTATCACTAGCCCCCACACAAAAGGTGTAGCTCGTTGCCTGCTACACGGATGTGTACGAGGTGGATAAGTGCAGGCTATTTTAACAAGTTGAAGGCTACTTGTGTTATTTTTACTAACTGTCGTGTTCATCCTGTACGTAATTACTTTTTATTCAGATATTTGTATCGCTGACTTACTTGAATCAAGATACCATCGTATGATTAAGAATACAACTCTATAGATATTGGTTTATGGCAAACAACCATAAGGTTGTGAATAAAATGCAAGTATCCATTTTATCTGAAATACTTATTTACTGACGGCTCTTGTTACTTCGTCCATGAATGAGTGAAACTGTGACATTTTGTACTGTTGGCGACTATGTGAAACGTTTACAGAATTTTTAGAACAGTGTCAGTTATGCTTTACCACATTTCACTTCGACAGGATCATTTTAACGTGAAATTTGATACTCATTGGAATCATACATAATAATGTGAGTCACGAATTTGTCAAGTTTTTTTCCCCTCTTGCTCCAAGGTATGCATACCTTTTCCCTGAAGTCTCCACGCATACTCACATCATATAATTTAATGTAATGGGTTGCCAACACACCCTTTGTTTCCAGTGGCAATAAAACATGGACTTCTGAAACATTCTTGTAGTTTCTGTCGAATTTATATTCAAAACAAAAACTACTTCAGCACTCTACTTTTGTGATGCAATTCAATCTGGAATAATCGTCTTTTTGAAAGAAGTTAAATCATTTTGGAACTACCAAATGGTTATGAATGAATTGTTATGTAAAACATTATTTACTAACGGAAAATAAGATTTTATCGAATTCTCCTGAAGATATTTCCCACTACAAATTTGCCGTAATAAATGTTGTACATCTAAGTGTCTGCAGAGTATATGAAATATACAAAAAATCAAGCGTAGTAGTTCCACTTAAAAATGTTATTTGCATCTGGTCTCAATATCGATTCACTACCCTCAATAGTAGTAGTCTTTAAGTGTTCACAAAATTCCAGTTACCAAAAGTCGATAGTTCCTCTTGGTTAGGTCTCCATAGGTTAACTGGAGTTTGTACCATTGACTCACTGGTTGAAAGCCAGGTATCTAAGCTGATATACTAAAGTTTTTAACAACCTGAACTGACCTTGCAGTAGTGTGAAACGCCTGTCAAAAATCCTAATGACTATCCCTTTGGTTATAAAAACTCAAAGTGGGTAGTTTGACTGATATTCTGAAATATAAATATCAGGTTATAATGTGCTGCATTATTAAGTGACCTTAGTATTATATGTTATGAAATGCTACCTGCCAGTTTTCAGACTTCAACATTTTCAGTAAGATGAAATGAAATTGACATTTCTCCTGTCTGGTTACTGAACAGTCTGTGATTTGTTTTCAAGGAAAATGTGAAACAACAAATTTGAAATACCTAGTTTTTCCAAAAAAGTATAACTGTAAGTGCGCAGTAACCAATTGGAGTATGCACGCGCATACTTTATCAATACGATTGAAGTTTACCATCAGCTTTAAACAAATACTACGAAGTTTTAAATCGTACAATCGCTACCCAAATTCATAAGGAAGATCTACAATTGTGTACACTGCTTGAAATGACTATATTGATTCCCTAAATAATATTTTCATCTAGTCGCTTCTTAGTATAGTTTATATGGAAATATACGTCAGAAAATACTTGGCAATAATACATATTTCTTGACTTGACTTTTGTTAGGACATTAAATTTCATTCTGAATTCATCACTAAACCTAAAAAAAGTTTTTACTTCAACCAACGTGTCAATTACTCTTGAAAGCTACAACAGTTAATGCTCACTAACAATGGGGATCAAAATATCTTGCAACGTCTTAAGTATACCGTGTTAACTCTATTCACTGAATTACCACAAGGTATGATAAAACACACAATGAAGCCAATAAGTAAGATTTATATGTAAACTTAATCAAACAAATTACCTTGCATCTATAACCCTGTCTGACGTTTTTACGTTAGTTTTTCCACCACTTTTAACTCATTTACCTTTTCCTCACGGCCATCAGGCTTGACTCCACCGGTCACGACTTCTTATTGGAACTTCCTCCAACTGATGTCAGTCTTCGATGAATAACAACTTGAAATATTTCCAAATCTCCACAACCCCCTCAAAATTTAATTGAACTAGTGCTCGTTGGTGACTAACTTCGAGAAGTATTCCCGAAGTTCCAATGACAAGTCGTGACCGGTGGAGTCAAAGCCCGATGGCCGTGAGGACAAATACTCAGCGATGACATTAGGTGGCGGTTCGCGCTATATCGTGAGCTAACAGAAGTTGGAAATATGGAGCATTGGATTCTGACCCAGTGGCTCAATGGTAACGCGCTGGTCGCGGAACCTGAAGGTTGCGGGTTCGATCCCTGCTGGTGGGTCGTGGGTGCGCACTGCTGAGGAGTCCCATACTGGTCGGACGAAACAGCTGTCCAGTGCTCCCAGGTTTCCTTTGTTCCTCCAACTGATGTCAGTCTGCGATGAATAACAACTTGAAATATTTCCAAATCTCCACAACCCCCTCAAAATTTAATTGAACTAGTGCTCGTTGGTGACTAGCTTCGAGAATTATTCCCGAAGTTCCAATGACAAGTCGTGACCGGTGGAGTCAAGCCTGATGGCCGTGAGGAC